TGGTGATTCGCGATAAGCTTTAGTTTTTAGAGGCCCCTGAAAAAAAATAATAAAATAGCGTCAAGTTTAAATAACCAGCCGGCGATGAAAATCATAAAGGTATAAAAATAAATTGTTATCTCCTTTTTGTCAACTGTAGTTAGAAGCCGTTTTTGTCCTGGCAACGGGACCATTAATAGTACTAGTTACTTCGTAGTACTTTTCGGGCTGTTTCGTCAGATACAGTTTTGTGGCAGAAATCCCGAAGAAGGGCATTTATTCTAGGAGCACCTATTTTAGAATTTCTTCAACTTTACGGATAATAAAACGCTTTTTCGTTCAAATTAATAATATTTCTTTCTGCTGCGACCCGCCTGCTTTACTTTCTATTCGTCCTTTGTTTTTATGTTTTTTAAAATATTAAAATTTTTGTACCTAGTCCTATTCAACTGCTGCCTGTACCCATAAGTTTGAGACTCACTGTAAATAAAATTTTAGCAGATCATTTGATAAATATTTACAGGGTTCAACCAATCGTTGAAATAAGTTTGAGTAAGATATTTGTCAGATAAAAATAAACGTAAAGTCAATTGCTATTAAACTATTTTATCAACAACGTTTATGGTAGTATTTCAAGCTGAGATAAATTTTTTGTAAATTTAAATGTTCACCGACCGAGACGAGCTTTTGAAAATAAAGTGACTAATTGATACCTGTTGATAAATACATTCTAAAAAGGAACTTTTTATCTTTCGCGTAAGCATTATATTTTGCGTACTTTTAATTCCAAGTTGAGCGACTGGCACGAACACCAACAGAATAATTGCTTGTTTTACATTGCGATGTTGACCTTATAAATGCTTGAATTATTATTATCCGGCGCTTAACGGCCTATCTCACGAGACAAAATAGGATAAATGTACGAGAATAGATACTATTTGAATAGAAATCTCTTTACATTGCGCAACATTCCTAGAAATACGACTAGCCGTGTGAAGTAATTTAACGGCTGAAAATGCAAATGCAAGGTGAAGTGTCCCATTTTAGAATTTGATTCTCTACATTGATTACTTTGAATTTCATCTACAGGGTGGCCAATGTAATTGTAACGTGTCATAACTCTGTTATCATTCTAATTAGAAATTTTTCTCTTACTGCATTGATAACAAAGTTACGACCTGATACAATTGCATGGATCAGCCTGATAGCTTTAGTTTTATTTATTTGATATATAGGTTTTTAACTTCCTATGTTAACTTAACTTCCTATAGTTGTTTGTCGTCAATATGCTGACATTTCAATAGGGACGCTATTAAACGTGTAAAGTAAACAACACTTACGTCCTTAAATAGTCTGTTACACAAACGATCACACACACACACACACAGAGTTTAAAGGCATCGATGGTGTATAGCATGTTGTTTGATGAACAATATTGAAAGACTTGAAAGTTGAATTTTACGAAATTTGTTTTCCAGTTAGCGTGTCTCTTCGCCGAAACTCGTATTATTTATTCTCAAGCTGACTGAAAAAAACAGCGAGCATCTTTTATCTCCGGATACATCGCAATTCTCACTTCGTCTGTTTATAATTCCGCTTACGACGAAGGGTAACATAATTAAAGTATACATGTAAGAAAACCTGGGTGATTCAGATGCAAAATCTAAAGAAACAAACACTTGAGACACGTCTTTTTGGCTTTGCGGGGCTTATAGTATCACTTCATTCAAATATCACATATGTTTGTAAATATAGTATGATATATGACTTACGAGAGTAGCTGTTTCAATAAGCATTATTTGTTAATTCTTTAAAGATGGGACGTAAAGTATACTTCGACACGCATCAACTTGTTCTTTTTCATAGGAAAAAATTAAAAATTTATCACTAAATTACGATATATAAGTAAAGACTGAATATTTATTTCATTTGCCTTCTAATACAGACTTGTAAAACGAATATAATGACCTAAAGTTCAAGGTCGTTCATGGTCACTAAAATGCAATTACGACATACTGAAATGTTGTTTGTTTACATATTCTGCAATATTCAAGGTCACGCCACGTATACATATGTATAGCGTAAGAAGCGTATAGCAAAATAACAACTAAGGAAAATATTGCGAACGACCGTATAAGAAAAACGTTTCGGAACATGTATTGCCGTTCAAGGTCAACATTTCGAATACTTAAATTAGAACTTGGAATGCAAAGATGCAAATTCCTGAACTGCTACACCTGTCTCTTGAAAGAAAATATTTCTCTTCGTAACAGTCTTTTAGTGACCCTGGATAGCTTTGTACTATAGGTCATGATATTCGTCTTGCGAAACTCTGTTAGAAGATAAATCAAATAATGTATCATTTCGCTTAAAAAAAAATAAATGTCCTTTAAATATCTTTGGCGCTTCCACTTGGAACCAACAAAATGTTACTATACTATGTTCTCCATTAAATCAAGTAACCTCTAAATCCAAAAATTCTTTTTACATTTTTTATCAATAAATTGTTTTCTTTTATAATTTAGAAAAATTAATTCAATTCCACAGCTGTTTAAAGCCGGATGTTTCCATGTTGTTTACGCTTTAATCATACGATATCCTCCCGCACGCGCGTTTCGTATCGCGCGCAGGCGCGTTGTCAATTTCAGCAAGCAGACGCCCGCGCAATATTCACGTGCCGGTGACCCAAATTATTTAAGAGAAATGATCAATGATATAATTACCCGATTAACGCGATATCGCTAGTCAATATTGCTTCCCGAAACGCTTCACGTGTGACTACCAGCTGCTGTTCGATCAACGATTGCAAAAGTGATCGTTCATAAGAGTGTTTTAATGGTTGGCCAGTTGACCCGGCGTCGACTACACGCCGGTCGATCGTATATGCACAGTTAATCGATAAAGCCTGACGAACTGAAAAGAGACGGTTCCGCGACAGGTGAAATCGCTGGTCGTTTTAATCGCGTGTGAAATGTTTGTCAGCCTTGTAATACCTGTCAGTTTGTCATGGGATCGCAGATCTCTCGGTAATTCACTCGATGCTTCACGGGTCTACAGTACACAGCAAAACGTCAAAAAACATACACGAACGAAGTAGAGGACAGGTCGAAGACCCTGTGGTACTGAACGCTTTCCAAAGCCATCGAAAGATGGCAGCCCGGGCGATTTACGAATTACATACCGAACATCCGCCACACTACTATGTGTGTACTCTTGTATACTCCTGTACATAAAATAACAAATATTTATTTATTTTTTCTTTTTTTTGTAGTTTCGTACATATTTGACCTCTTGCACTTTGATATTGTGCATTATACAGGGCGAATTACATAACTTGTCCACCATCAGTATTTTCATTGTTAGTGAAACGATCTAAACTTGTTTTATTTTTTATCATTTAGTTACGAATAACCTTTACAACCGTATATTTCCTCGTATATATTTCTTGGTTATTGTTTAGTGGTTATCAGCCGAATCAAGCGGCCGTGATAAAATATTTTCTCGAGATAAATGTAGGGCTTTCTTTTAAAACAAAACTAAAAGCGACATTAAATAATAAAAAGAATATGACTCATGGGATATACGTGCCTAATTTGTTAGCCGCTTTAAACCATATTACCCACAATAAAAAATGATTTAGGTCACTCAACTAACAATGAATATAATCAGGGTGAACAAGTTACGTGGTTCACCCTGTATACTTGCACTTGACCTCTTGTCAAGTTTTATATTCACTCATATTGACTCATGCATATAATATCATTTGATAGCATTGAGAGAAATTTATGATTGCATCTGGTTTAAAATGTTAGCTCGTGTAAATCAATTGAACTAAAACAGAAGCATTCGCATTATGAATGTAAATAAAATAATGATAGTTAACGAAAACAATACTTTCGTAATTTATTTCTAAAACACTATCGATAGGAATACCTCGAATGGTGTCGAGGAGACACCATTTTTTCGAATCGCGTTACAGTCACAGTAACATGTGCTTTACCCCTTTCTTTTGGATAGATTAGCGTGCTAGTTACCTTGGCGTGGCTTCGTACATACATGTATGTAATTCGTACCGTAAAAGCTTTAACGTGGAACGCTACCAGCTCTACTCGAAACGATTGGCATTGACTAGTGACAAACGCGTAATCGCCTCACATTAACAGTATGTACATGTTCTGAATGGGACTAGAGTCTGGTTGTGCGACAACATCACGATGTAGTCGTCAAACGCGTCGTACTGTACAAAGAATCAGTCGTAAAATTGATTAAATTCTTCCGAACCATACAATGCATTTGTCAGATATAATAATCAATGTATCTTTTCGTTTAAAAATCCATTTACAGTTATTTGTACGTGACTACGATAACACGAATACAATCGAAACTTACAAGTACTTTTGACATTTAACGCCACCGTACGTTGAAAATTTAATCGCAACTTTCTCTCGTATTGGAATTATTTCAGAGCTTCGTCGATAAGTAAACATTTGATAATGATAACACTTCCGCGAAACACTTGAACACTTTGTTAACCTAAATGAAATTAAAAACAGATACGTTGTATGTATTATGGTTGTAAAAGGATGAATCTTAAAATTACATAAAGAAATTAAGTTAATCAACATTACTGATGATAATTGAGGTTAGGTTAAACAAGTCGCTTTAGCTAAATACCGTCGTTTTTGCACAATTGTTAGCATATTATTTTAGATAAATAAATAAATGATAGCATTTTTATACTTTCAGTATATGTATACATAAATGTATGTATATGCTTATATTTTTTTTCAGAAAAGGGTATTAAATTAGAGAAACGGACCTATTCTCTTCGATCTTAGTTCTCATTCACACCATTCACTTCCAAGACAAATGCTGGGCGATAATGACGTGACACCCTGTATGTAATTTACATCCATAATACACCTTTACAATTAGAGTATTAAAATGCGTTCGCAACTATGAAGAGATTCGCCTTTTAAACGCGGTAAAAAAAATGACGTTAGGTAGGTAATTGGGCTTACCTAGATCACTAATTTGATGAACTTTCGATTCGTCCCTCGTTGCACGGTCATTCATTATGCATAACTATGTTGCAACCGATCACCGATCACACAAAATCGTTCTACTAGTTCGAACAACACGTCATTCTGTAAAAAATTGTTTAAATTCCATTTAACACATTGTCCAGTTGCCACTTTAAACAAGATTTAAAAACGCACTCGTGTTTAAAATGTTTACAACGTGATATTTAAGACAGTATCGATATTTGAATACTGTACGCTATCGATCATGAAAAATGCATATGATCGTTATTCAGGTTGTGCTTTCGCCGAATGTTTATAAACTATAAATCTCCGATTTTTCTTAAATCTACGAAGAACAACGATACTGGATAATATCGATCGGTCCACGAAATACCCGTTCCCATGCTTTCCGGCAACGATTTTCGTATATATGTAAGTCGATTCACCACAGTCCGTTCCCGTTCGAATGTTCGCACGCGCTTAACTGACAATGAGATAGAGCTTTATAATTTCCAGGTCGTGTGCACCAATCTACAGTGGGTACGAAACAGATACAGCCAAGGACGTGTCAAGCACAGGCCACTCGTAATTTTGTATAATTCGCATTACTCATCACTAGTGTCATTAATACCCGAATAAATCTGACATGTAGAGTACCTGAAAACTATTCGAGAGAATAAAAACTGTTCAAGTATACTGTGCCACTTCGGTACTTTATCCAACTTATTATTCTTTTTTTCATAATTGTCAAGTTGATCATTTTTGTTCGGACATACTTACCTTCAAATAAAAATAGTAGTAAACTATTATCCATAGAGAATGGAGAACCAGGTTCAGAAGTAGTTACATTTCCGGCCGTTAAAAATGTACATTGACATTTGGCGCTGTTGCAGAAATTCCGAAAAATATTTTACCTAATTTTACTAGGATTCTTTACTAGAACTTGTTTCAAGGACATCAATTATAATTCTTTTGTATCACTAATAAATATAGGTGATACTTTTACGTATCGGCATCATTATAACGAAAAAGAAAACTAAATAACGTTGATCGGAAAATATACCTTGATGTCTCTAGCAAATGTGTAACAAACGTTCCGTAATATTCGAAATATCTCTGATAATAATCGTATTTGACTGTAACCGTTCTACTCTAATTATATCCGATATTACGGGATAGCGTCGAGTACTCGAGTACCTAACTTAAACTCGGGCTCAAATCAATAAAACTGCTCGTCACTATACAAAAGTAGTACATTTCGAGTATCGCACGTGGTGTCACCACTATAGACTTTCGATAGGCAATTTCCTACCTGACGAATATCGATTAGTCGATAGAACAATTCTTTTCCATTGAGTTGTGTCTTTACCACTTCAAATCTCGATAAGTTTGTTAATTCTCAAATACGTCTTGCTTTGGGTTACAACATACGACTCGATTTTCAACCAGACAAACAGCATATTGGTTTCTTGAGTTAAAAGTGTCACAATTTTGTTGGTACATCGTATTTGCATTATTGTATGCATTTCACGTCTATTCCGATTGGCCATCTTTTATTTAACTTCTCGCAAGTCGAAATGTAGAGTTGACATCCCATTATCCTATTAGGAAAATTTATTCTTTAATTTCAATTACGATCCGTTTCGGACGTAGACAATGATTCAAGGAGATTAGCTAATCGGAGTGACTTACTTCGTACAAAAATAATCATATTTAGAGTAAATTGTAAGCTATTACAGAAACGATTTATCACTTCTCCTACTTTTTACAATATCTTGGCTATCAAATACTCTTATGTATGTGGAACGAAATGTTTCCTACTGCCTCGTGCACCAAGTATAGAAAATTTGAACCAAGGGTTGCGGAAGTGGCGATCTCTACCGAAGATCAACGAAATGGTTTCGGACAAGCTATCGATTCCAACCGAAGATTCCCGGAAATAACCGAGGTCGTGAAAGTGACGTATGTACGTCAGTCAGTGTGGGCCGACCCGCGTATCGTCGGTAGAGTTCTGGAATTTTTACGATTCGCCCTCTCGGGAAAGGATCGCTAAAATCGCGATACACAATCATGAATTTCTTTTCGTAAAGTTGTAGGAGGGCTCATGAGCAAGAGAAGCGGCTCATTATCGTATGTTTGTACAACTGGCGTGAGAAAAAGTCCTGCTCTTATACGTGTGCGTTAGAGCCCCGATCAATCTTCAAGTTCACGATCCCGCGCTTATTTGGTTAATTGGATTTGTTCGTGATTGAATCCACGCTAAATTGATAGCGTTTCGACAATTCTTCTCTCGTGAGGTATATCTCGAGTCATTCTTGCCAGGATCAATCACCGTGACCTAACCTTGAAATCACAAATTCCTTGTCCGACTTTCTAGAAAAGTTTCCATGTAAGTCACGTTTTTCTTACCTTGCAGATTCAAGTCGGTGGTCACCTACGGGTGAACAGAGATGGCCACCCAACAAAATCTGCGTAAGTCATGTTTTTCTTTCTCTACAATAAAATTAACAACCATGTTCATTTCATCTGTCATGTTGACAGCAACTGTTTATAGAGAAAATACAAAAGCTGTTGATAATTTTTAATTTGTTAAATATTATTGATTAAACTTTAGACTAAGTTGTAATTACTGGTACTTTCATTCAGAAACAATCCATTGATTAGGTGTTATAAGAAAGATAAAAAAAAGATGTCAATTCTTTCAGGTTTGGATCCCTGGCTAATCCAACCCAGAGAACTTGCAAGGTACAAAGAGCAATTTGAATCTTTAAAACCAATTAATGGTGTTGTTACTGGAGATCAAGCAAAAGAATTTTTGCTCAAGTCTCAGCTTCCACTTGTCATTCTTGGACAAATATGGTATTAATATTTTGTCATTGTATTCCCTTATGTTTAGTTTTTACAAGTGTCATATATAATGTGTCTCTTATCGTGTAGGGCTTTATCGGATGCAGATGCAGATGGCAAGATGGATATAAATGAATTTAGTATTGCATGTAAATTAATTACTTTAAAGTTACGTGGCTTTGAGATTCCAAAAACACTCCCACCAATTTTGGTGGAAAGTTTAAAAGTTCTTTCTAACGGTGAGTATAAAGAGGAGATAAGAAAGAGTTATGGTTGTTTTAATCTATAATTATATTTATACTTTTTTATATGACTTATGTCTAGGTGATAATAATGCGACAAACTTAACAAACGGAGCTGCCAATATTCCACAACAAAATAATGTCGCTTCATTAGTGAATTTAACTGGACCACCGCCAGTATCGGTGCAACCCTTGATTGGTGGAATGCCCATGAGTGGATCTGTTCCACGTCCTCTTATAGGTCCACCACCATCAAATGGACCACTACCAGGACATGGAATTAGACCTGCCTCACCAATGACCTTGCCAGGTAATTAATTCTTATATCAATAACTAAAATGGTCTTGGTTGTTCAATAACCAGGGTACCTGGATACCTCGAGTATCATGTTTGTATAAATCGGATATAAAATGATGATTCCGATCCATTCCTTAAATACTGTCCCAACCTTTTATTGCATCCTACATATTGTTTTGAAAAAATTACTTGCAATGATAATATAAAATTGACACCGAAGTAAACAGTTTTATACAATTGCAATGAGATTCTAGTGGCAAAAAGTTAGTGGTAAAAATATCGAAACATGTGTATCTCTCGATTAATTTGGATAATTGATATTCTACTGTATCATGAAAATAATATAAATTATGATAGGATTCGTCTAAACTCTTACACTATTGTTGAATATTGTATTTCACGAAAAATACCGTTATGCCATAGTTTACTTTATAGTTGATATTTTCTGTAATAATTAAATATTTAATTGCTAAGACTGGATAAAAATAACTTTCCTGTCATATTTGATATTTACTTTCGCTATTATTGTTCGTTATAATGGTCATTCCAAGCGAAATACATATCAACTAACAAACAGCATTATTTAGCATTATATTACTTACGCATCATACTACACAGCATCACGACAAAGTAGACAGAATGTGGCTGCCACTACACATGCCACAACTCACACAGCGTCAAAGCCACCTGCTCGACCTGCACCACCCTCTGTGGGTATGTTACAAGAACTGAATGTTTGCGTACGAATGATTATATCTGGGTTATTTTCTTTTCGATTCATTGATTTAAGGTTTATCAAAATATTATGATTCTTCTTTGAGGCATACAATTTTTTTATATTGAATGGTATAATCAGCAGTATGATATATGTATTATATGTTATGGCACACACGCTCAAATTTTGAATGCAGAGACTCATTTTTGCATGAGAAATATAAGACTATGTACTATATTTAATGTAACTTGCAATAGAGATGTAAATTAATGGCAGCTTGAAAATTTGTAAACAATTCTTAAAACAAACTGTGATAAAAAATACAATATGATGAAGACGTCTATACAAATGCATATAATAATTTATATGTTATTGTCAAAGTAGTAGTTTTTTTATAGAATGATATCATATGTCACATACCTATTATACGATGTGCACTAAGAACACAAACACATTTATTCTTTCATGCTTTGTATGTGTGTATTCACCTAATATGGATGTATCATCCTATATCGTGTTATAAGTGGTTATGAATATGAAATTCTTGCGATTGTATATATACAATATATATATGTTTTAATTTAAAAATATGTAATTTTATATAATCAATGTCGCAGCAATAGCTTTGTTTGTTAACTACACATATTTATCGTTCTGTTGTTTCTCTAATGTGTTTGGTCACACCTATACCACAGTTATACATTAATATAATATTTGTGCTGCAAAAAAAAGGAATCGTGCCTTCTGCAAGTACTACTACTACTACTACCACCACTACCACTACTCCCAGTGGTGGTCCTCCTCAAAGACCTGCTCCACCCACAAATATTGGTATGTTTAAAGGAACGAAGAAGATTTAAAAGGATACATACTATTTCCTTGAAAATACCATAGATGAGACAGCATGTAAACTTAGACAATAGTTTCTTGTATTTTTATACTTGAATTTTAGAAGAAAGAAATGATTCCTTTTTCTATCATATCATATATCATTACAACAAACACTTCATATTAAAAAAGATCATTCTATCACATTACATGAACAATGCATATGTGCAATTATAAATTAATTCTGTATTTATTGCAGAGCTTTCGAGTAATTGTAGCTTGAAGTTACGTTATTTTTGTTGGTAGACTATTATTTTATTTTCCAATATATGTTATATTTTTTCATTAATTTTGCACTGTACTTCATAGAATTAGACTAAAATAATTTAATTTTTTCCACAAATGATTAACATTATACAATTTCAGGAGCAAATTTTACTCCTGCTATAAGTGGACCGCCGCCAAAACCTGCACCTCCTTCGTTTCCTAATAGTCCTGTCGCGGCTGGAATTTCACCCGTAAAAGTTCCACCTATATCTGCTGCAACGGTTGTTCCTCCAGTTCAACCAATACAACCAATGACTACTTCTGCTATAGGTAAGTAGAGTTACGCCCATTTTATTATACTTTTATTTCATTTTGTTCCTCTTTAATATTCATTCTTTATTGTACAGACACGTTTAAATTAGGCAGTCTATTAAGTTGTCAATGATGTTTTTATTCTTTCTTTACAGATTTACTTGATCTTGAGTTACCAGGTACACTTAACACGCTAACAAATGAGTTTTGTAGAAAGTATAATTTTATTATTTTTCATGTGTTTTCAGTTGATAAGAAATTATATTCAGGTCTTTTTTACAGTAACTATTAATATATGATCGTACGGATGAAGACCTAACATATATAATTCTTATGAGATTATGCTATTTTGTAGTATTAATAGATATGTAATTTACGTAGAAAGTCATACTACATTGATACAACATTCACTAAATTATTCTTAAAATTATGTGTGTAGATAACCAAAGTATATAATTATAATTACTAACTTCATGATTACACAATTCTTAATGTTAACTCCTGTATTCCGGCTACTTACTATCCATCCAGGAGTAAATAGTTTTAATAAAAGTTTTATTTTTTAACAGGTATGTCCACAGTAGCTCCAATCGCACCCTTAAATACAAATCCAACTCCAGTTGCTGCTTTTGGTATGGGACAAACAATGCAGATGCAACCATTAGGTGCTGGTATGATTGCTCCAATTACAACTGGATCTACTATTGCACCATCTGTTGCACCAATACCTGCTGGTATGTACAATTTTAAATATATTTTGCTAATTTTTATTAATTTGCACAATTTAAACCTGTTATCTGAAAATGTTTATGTAACGTTTTATTCTTCTGTAGCAGTTATGTATTTTTTTAGGGACTGGTGTGATGACATCTCCTCCAGTTGTAGGTTTACCATTAGTGTCAGGACCCGCAGTAAGTGGTGCATTAGTGAACGGTGTAATTGCTCAGACACCAGTATCTACAAGTACACCACTGAGTACAACAGCACGTCCACCAAGCATAGATAGAGTGGGTTCGATTGATTCACAGCATAGTCAGCATTCAGTGGGTTCGCCTCAGTCTGTAGAATGGGCTGTACCTCATCAGACAAAATTAAAATATACCCAGTTGTTTAATACTTGGGACAGGACACGGTCTGGATTTCTGTCAGGTCCTCAAGCCAGAAACATTATGGTGCAGTCGCAGTTGCATCAACGTCAATTGGCGCAAATATGGTATAATCATATAGTCGTATATGTGAAATAATAATTACTGAAATAATAACTCCTAGTGCTAAAGAATATGGTTGTATATTAGGGCGCTAGCAGACATGGATTCGGATGGACGTTTGAGTTGCGATGAATTTGTGTTAGCGATGCATTTATGCGATATAGCTAAATTTGGTGAACAAATGCCTAGCACACTTCCAATAGAACTTATTCCACCTGCGTTCAGACGTCAACGGCAAAGTAGTTTGACGCTGTCGCAGTCTGGAGCAGAGAATGTGGATCCATCCGCTGGTATGCCACAGGTAAATTTAATATTTTTACAAGTTTTCATTGGAAAAATCACGTTTCATATATCACGATTATCGTTTTAAAGACGTCCTTTGAAGATAAGCGTAAAGAAAACTTTGAAAAAGGCCAAGCCGTATTAGAACGGAAACGTAAAGCTCTGTTAGAAACTCAACGTAAGGAACAAGAAGAACGTGAACGGAAAGAGAGAGAGGAGGCAGAGAAACAAGAAAAAATTAGGTAAGTTGATCTTCGTTTGCATCAAAGTGTTTTTGTATTAGGAGGAGGAAAAAAAAAAGCAATGATTATACAGACTGGAGCAAGAGAGACGTAGACAAGCAGAAATTGAAAAGCAACTCCAAAGGCAAAAAGAGATTGAACAGGAGAAAGAGGAACAACGAAAACGAGCACAAGAGCAAAGGGAAGCAGCACGAAAGTAAGTTAAAGTGATGTTAATGTACTTGAAAATGAAGCATGGTATTCTATTATTAATAAGCTTACTTTGTTTCGCAGGGAAATGGAGAGGCAACGGCAATTAGAATGGGAAAAACAGAAATCGCAGGAACTTCAAACTCAGAGGCAAAAAGAGCAAGATGTACTGCTTAAGTTGAAAGCAAAAAATCATACCCTAACTATCGAACTTGGAACTCTTGTAAGTGTTAAGCAAGTTATCGTTAAAGCAATTAGTATCTATTGTACATAATCTATTTTACATAATTTGTTGGTATAATTCGCACAGAATGATAAAGTGAAGGAGTTGTCGCAAAAGATTTGTGACACTAGAGTGGGTGTCTCTGGTGTGAAAACGACCATCGATGGTATGCGATCAACGCGTGACGCACAGTTGCAAGAGATGGCTGCCTTAAAGAATAAACTTCGTGAACAGAACCAAAGATTGTTAGCTTTGAGTCAAGAGAAAGCTCGCATAGAAGCAAAGAACAAAGTTAACTCGGCCATGGAATCCGCAAATCAGGAAGCTATTAAAATGGCGTTCGACAATAAACAAATTACTCTCAAACAAATGAAGGATAAGATAGCTGATTTGCAACAACAGGTATATATAAAAACATTCTCGCTCTGTCCCAAAATTAATAATTTTAATTGTTTGTATATAATGATTATTCGTATCAATAGATTGAAACTAAGATGGCTGATATAGAAAATAACAATGGTCAACTGCAAGATATTAAGACGCAAATGAAAAATTTGGCGACCGATTGTAAGAATCTTCATGTTACGTTTGAAGATAAAAAGTTAAAGGTGTTAGAACTTCGAGGTTGCGGTGTTGCTGGCACTGGTACCGACTACACCACATCTGCGTGGAGCGATACTGCTTGGAACGATACTACAGGAACAGGTAACGATTGGCCTGTCGACGATGTTGCTACAACTAACGAGGTGGAAGAAACTACTCCAGGTGTTATGAAATACAGGGCACTGTATGAATTTGTAGCCAGAAATCAAGACGAAATATCATTCCAACCTGGCGATATTATCTTGGTAACTATTGTCAAAGTAGATAATAAACCAGTATAAAGAGCTGAAAATTAACTTGCTCTTGAAATAGGTACCACCTGTTCAGAATGCAGAGCCAGGATGGATGGCTGGAGAAATTCGAGGCTACACAGGTTGGTTCCCTGAGTCTTATGTGGAACCAGTGGATGTTGGAAACGGAAACGGAAACGGAAACGAGAATGCTTTTATACAGCAAGATAGTGTGGAAAAGAGAACATTAGAGTTAGTAGATCAACTACAAATTAAACTTAATTAACGAAATAATTGTAATTATCATATTTTTTATTTCAATTTATTACAGAGGAATCGCTGAAGTTCCTGAGAACGTATCCGATGCAGGATCATTAGGTGGTGAACCTCCTGTTATCGAACCCATCATACCTACCCTTGGTTTGGGCACACCTTGCGATATACAAGTAACAGCTTTGTTTCAGTACCGCCCTGCGACAGAACAACATCTTACCTTCGAGAAAGGAGATATTGTTAATGTTATTGAACAACAGGTTAATATAAATTATATATCGTTTGTAGTACATACACTGTCTTGACTGTCGTACCGATTGTACGACAATCTTTCTAGGGTCATTTTAAAGGTTGAACCATATACTTTCACATATTCAGTGTATTGCAGTGTGACTTTCTTTTTTTGTGCATTGGTATTAATTTGGTCACTACTGTATTTGAGGGTTGAATTATATAGATGTTGTTTCATTGATCAGGGTGATTGGTGGTATGGTACATCTAGTACCGAAGCTAAGGGTTGGTTCCCCAAATCATACGTGAAAGAAATTACTACTAATCAAGCTGCAGTGGTTGATGGCCTCAACGAGTACTACATTGCTTTGTATCCGTATACCTCTGCTGAAGCTGGAGACTTAACATTCAATCAAGGAGAAATTATACTGGTCACTAAGAAGGAAGGGGATTGGTGGACAGGCACTATTGGAGATAGGAATGGAATTTTCCCTGCCAATTATGTAGAAAAATGTGATGCTCCGGATCAGGTATATTAATTGTTTTTGTAATTGTTTTACTTTCCTAACACAACGAATTTATAATTAAGTCTGAAGCTTGTGACTTTGATGTTAATGTGTATTACAAAAAGTAGTAAGTCTGTTAGAAAATTATGTGGTGATTTTAAAATTCTAACATCGTGCATAACATCGATCAGGGTACACCTGTTGTTACTAACGCGCCTGAAACAATCGCAACTATTACAACGACTGCAGATACAACCACAACTAGTAACGAAGCGGATGTTTCAGTTGCCCAAGAACCATTGGTTTGTAATATTTTTATTTTAACAGTCCCAATTTGTAGTTACTTAAGAAACATATTAATCAATCTGTGTCGTAAACAGTTAATATGTTATAAAACGCTAAGTAGACTTGACTTTGTAAGCATACCGTCAACAATTAGATTGCAATATTCGCAATAAGCTAGATGCGTGTATATCCATGTTTAGCAAACGACAAAAACTGCTGAGCAGCTTGAAGATGAAAGAGCAGCCGCAGAAGATAGGGCAGAATTGCCAGACTTTACTGCAATGGCTGCACAGCAGGTAATTAATATTATATTCGCTTATTGTGTGCGTAAAATCTTCGAATACATGTAGAACGTTTGTTATTTAACTAAATTTAATTGCTTCTTATTTCATTCCCATTGCTGGCATCCTGCTATCACAGTATTATAAGGTATTTTACCTCTTGGAAAATACACCTGCCAATTATTTAATTCCATGATTTATCCTCAGTACTTGTAGTCTATAACTTTGTAAAGAAACAATTCTGATTTTTAATACATATAATGTATAAAATCAATAATAGTAGTAATGATACAATGTACTTTTATAACGCATATTTTCCTTAATACAGCGAGGAAGAAAACCTGAAATTGTACAAGTTATTGCACCATACCAAGCTACTAGTTCTGAGCAATTAGACTTACAAAAAGGACAGTTAATAATGGTACGCAAGAAAACTGATAGTGGTTGGTGGGAGGGGGAATTACAGGTACAATACTATGTTGTTAAGCGTATTTCTATAATTATATAGAAATTTTTATAATAGTTACAATACGCTATGCCATTCTTATAGGCACGTGGTAAGAAGAGACAAATTGGTTGGTTCCCAGCATCTTATGTTAAGCCTTTAACCAGTAGCAATCGAAGTACACCTGTTTCTCATGGATATCAAGAATCTCCTACAGATCCAAGCGTTGGTATGCAGCTCTTAAATTTTACATCGTTCCATATAGTATTGAACAAATTTTAATCAAAGTAACAATCGACGATCACGATTATAAATGTAATAAATATAAGGTGTAATAATATAATTTACTTTGTCGATACAGAGCGTGTTATGGCGTTATATCCGTATCAGGCACAAAACGAAGATGAACTAAGCTTTGAAAAAGGTGACGCTATAATTGTGCTTGCAAAAGATGAGGCAGCATGGTGGAAAGGCGAATTGAATGGCGCGTCTGGTGTATTCCCCAGTAATTATGTATCTCCTATGTGTAAGTACATATATATTTTTTTTTTTTTTTTTCATAGTCTAACGTTCAATTTGATGAATTTAATAGAGAACTTGTTCTTAAGCAAATATCATTATTTTAGTAGCAATCGTAAGTGTTTATAAAACACAATTTTAGATAATTTAAATCTGTGATACACGGATAGACGGACGACCGTCAGGTTTATTTCTTATCAGTAATTATAAGATAGAATTAAATTGATGTTTTGGTAGTATCGATTACCAAAATTTAGTAATATAAAGAAACAATTTATTACGACGGTCGTTTAGTAAAAGCAGATAAATAATCTAAATACTAATAATCGATGAAAAAATAATTCTATTATTGGTCAAATGTAATTGTATATCTTATATTTACATGTAATGTTATTGTATTAATTTATTTTAATACATAGGTATTTTTAAACATGTTGTTATAAATGTACTGCATAGTTGCATCAACGATATTCATGTTGAAATAGTTGTCTTTTTATTTATTATTTGAAATTAGCTATAGGTTACAGGCATAAATAAGAATGCTAGTATAAAATATATGAATAGAATTAAGCTATACAATCCTATTCCACTAGATATGAACATCTATGGGGTTGTAAGAGTTGATCTTAATTGGTGACAGTTTTCTAGATAGAGCGTGTTTCTTTCGACAAATATTATTCACAACAGCTGTTGTGTGTGCTTTCTGCTCTGATATGGCTGCATTAAAATTAGCACTTTGGCTTGGAAAGCGGTACATCTTTGTTGTACAGTAATTGTTATTTCATTTCTGGTCTATTTATACCTAGTAGTTTGTGGTATAAATTATTAGAGAAGCGTACTTTCTCTATTGTACAGCCTGCCTGTCTGCCTGCATGCCTGCCTGTCCGTCCGTCTGTCCGTTTGAGGTAGCTACTTTGTTTCACTATAACACATTTAGTATACATACATATAATTAATAAGAATTATACATATATACCTTTAAATGTCATGTAACATATCTTATGATCAAAAACATTTATAACGTTATAATTTTCATTATTTATATCCGTGTTAGTAATGTATATATAAAAAATTGTAAATGAAATAATTAGATAATCCATCAGGTGATAATTAAAATGACATATTATGCAATTGTGATTTAAACTTTTTATGTTATTCGTTAAAAACTCTTTGTTGGTTTGTGCTGTACAACTTTTTAAAAGTGCTAGATTATAAAATCCTCAAACAGATCCATGTAATATTAATATTACTAAATATTGGTATTCAAAAATGAAATAGCTACTTCAAGCAATTTAAACAACTATCGTTTTGACACAATATCTAGAATCAGTAAATCCTTTTTACTAATTGTTATCTTTCGCCTCTGCTTGAAATGCAGCATAAAGGATAGCAGAGCAGCACCGCAGCATTGCAGGCTAAAATAAAATCATCTGAAGTGCAATAAGAATGATAGCAGACTCTACGCTCACCAGCGACGTGTTACAACACCAACAAGTCTTATCGGTGGAGACAGTGAGCATAGAAATGAGAAAAAGTATTGTGAAAGAAAGACTCAGGGGCTGGTTCTTCGTTTCTATATTACCCTGAATTTTTGCAAGTCTTTTTCCTCTGGTGCGGGGTCCTACTCGTTCCTTTGTTTTCATTGTCATTCAGATTGTTACCATGCGTCTTTATCGATCGTTGTCCTTCACGCTATCAAAACCTCTATGTATGGTTTCGACGGGAATATTATTGCGCAGTATTTATAAATATGTGCGTACGCGAGAGCGCTAAATATTTAATAACAAGTTATATATCGTAATTATGATTACGACCACCTGACATGTGCACCAAATTCTACCTCAGCCCTCTACTTTAATCCAAGACAAAACTTAAAAGTCGACGTATATAATTTGTTTATCTACTTAGAATAGTATCTAGTACCACCAATGCTTAATATGTCAATCAAACGTAAATTTATTTAAGACGTTCTATTTTTAGAAAAAGGTTAATTACAGTTTTTATTTGTACTAGCACTTTCAGCCCGGAATTTCATTTTTTCATAGATAATGATGTTTTTCTCGTAAAAAAGAAAAGATTTTGAAGAATGGCTTGAATAAAAGGAATTATATTTGATGATAGAAATTGTAGTAGAACGGAAGTACTTTCTATTAAGAGCAAGGACAATAAATATTAAGCTACCTTATCTGTAAAACATTCGTACTATTCTACGTATATTCTAACAATATTTGATCAGCTTTATGTGTAAATAAAAACCTACAAACACACCAAATTTGCAGTAAATACAAATTATTCGTAAAGTTTGTTAACATCGGGCTTAAAGTGTTAGGCCAATAGAAAGTAGATACACAGATTGTTAATAGTAATCCTGAATTTCCGTGATCAGTGCTCTTAAAAAAGACTTTAGCATTGAGAAATGTTCAATGCAGCCTCTTTTTTTACAAGCACTGTATGTAGCATATCATTTGGTGCGCAATACAGATGGTTTGTACAGTTATAACACACCGCGCCAAGGCCTAGTGCAAATGTTTCACAGCATTCTGAAATATGAGCAACCAAACATCATTTTTCTGCTTGCCTTCGATGTAAAGGGAGAAGGAGTTGTTGAATAATCACTAGTTAAATATATTGTTTAAATTGTCGCTTTGCCATGAAAACAGGTGAAGAATCTGTTATAATATATAATGAATACTCCTTCAGTCTCGAAGTTTAGGATAATCATACAATTTATATTTTTGTTTGAATTCAAAATTTTATTCTAAGCATAGAAGTCGTTCAAAGATCTAATATTCTTGCAGAATATTTACAAAGGGAATGAAAATATTGCTCTCTTTTAAATTCAATGTGTTTAACCAAATCTGTTGTTCCTATTTATTTATTCTATATATAGTTATTATTTGTTTTTCATTAATCCATCTAATAATACACGATGAAAGATGATGTGCTCCTTTTTCGCAGCCTTTTATTATAGAGCCTAAATCATCATTAAAATATCAGTAATAACAATCATAAAAGTTACAGATAGATATTATTACCACTGGTGGGAATGATTTGTTAAGTAATGTTATATTATCGTAAACCAGTTCTTCCATCAATTTACTCCTGAATATGATAGTTTACGTTATTTAAGAATAGGATACCTAATCATTATTATTTAAGGATGTTACGTTTGACGATTTTTTTCTTTAACGATTACTGTTGAAATAATTTTTTTTTTTATATATATATACAAAACAATGTATAAAATATTTGATTATCCCGTTTTCTAAAAATTAAGAAATAATTTTAAATACTTATTTGAACAAATAAGTAAATATATTTTATATGTTTAGTATTCATTCCATCGAAAGAATCAGGAACTTGATGGAATAACTAGTTTCGAATAACTGCAAGAATCAAGCGCACAGTAGACCAGCATATTTATACACTGGTTAATCCTTTTACACGTTCTATATGACTCTTTGCAAGAAAGGTGTATAAATATGCCTGATCGTAAGAATGAATATTGTGTGCTTAATATTAAATATTCTAGATGCGCCCATAATCTTGTAATCTTTATCTAAACATGTTGATAATGTGTAAAGCAAGTTATGCAACTGGTTATTCTTAGACGAGATACTTGTGTAGTGCTACATCCTTAAGATTGTTACTATTTGCAAAATATCCATATTGTTTGGTTGTTGTAATGTCGAATCTCATTGCGAATCTCTGCGTGTGGCGTACTTCCGAGCGAAGGTCACTGTACGGATGTGAACAAGTTCAGATCACTGTGTATTTATTACAGACTTTTGTTCACACTTCATGTGAATATACTCAAAATCTTCTCACATGCATATACACACCGTTCTTATACATATGTACACATATCCATACATATACAGACGTGTTCGCAAAACTGCTGATTGAAATAAAGTATCTGTCTGTTGTAAAGTATCGTTGTGTATAACAACTCTGTATTATTTGGTAATACCCAACAATCGATTTAAATAACTATATTATTATTTTACAAAATATGTTAATTTGTATTTTGTAACGTTCTCTTTGAAAGACTTCTAAACTTGTCAAAAAGTATAAAATTTATTTGTTACGTATGAGTTTAAGCTTTTGTACAATAAAAACAACAAGGTACATCTAAGAAGCAACGATACCAAAATGATAAAGAAAATTATTACATAAATTTTATGTGTAGTTAATGAGATGACAACTGATCTACCAGTGGTGGGTGGATTGGATTCAATGGAAAGAAAACGTCAAGAATACATCAAAGAGCTTATTACAACCGAGCAAGCATATATAGAAGACATGAGGCTTGTACACGAGGTAGTTGGAAGTTTTAGTAAATGATTTTCTATACTTTGTACTCGATTCTTTATTTTATTAAGAAGAAACCAAAGAATGAAAATTTTGTTTACAGGTTTTTGAGAAACCTCTTATCGAAAGCCTAGTTTTAACCGTGGACGAAGTGGATAAAATATTTGTTAATTGGAGGGATATTATTGCTTGTAACGACAACTTTTTGAGGTTTTAACATTTTACGGATACTTTGTGCAAAATAAGAACATTTTTTTAATGGGTATTTTCTTTTTAGAACATTGAGAATACGACGCGATAACAGCGAAGGGGAAGTTGTAAGAATGATTGGAGATATTTTATGCGAAAATGTAAGTAACAGCTTATTCTTATGTTTCATTTAATTTCACGATGCAATCCAGTGCATATAATTATGTATTTTAGATACCGCGAATGTCAGCTTATATCAGATTCTGCAGCTGTCAAATATCTGCTGCTGTTTATCTTCAACGATTGACAGAGACTGTACCAGAATTTGTTCAAGTTGCACATACTTGCCAACAAGATCCACGCACGAAAGGAATGCCTTTAAGTTCATTTTTAATAAAACCAATGCAAAGGATAACAAAGTATCCGCTTATTATTGGCAAAGTATATTTCATTTTTGTATCGCTAATTTTGTTTCACGTTTTACGTCATCCATATCTGTCATAATCATTCTAGATTTTAGAACACACTTCGGTTGATCATCCTGACAGACAGTATCTTCAAGAAGCATTGGCTAAAGCTGAAGAATTTTGTACTCAGGTAACGTTTAAAAAAATAAAGAATTCTGTTTAAATTTTTATAATATAAATACTTGTTATTTTAATCCTAGGTAAACGAGGGAGTTAGAGAAAAAGAAAACAGCGATAGGTTAGAATGGTTACAGACGCACGTGGCTTGCGATGGTCTTGAAGAACAACTTATTTTTAATTCATTGACCAATTCTTTAGGTCCACGGAAGCTTCTACACTTTGGTATACTTCATAAGGTATTCCTAGAGCAGAACTTATGTTTCTTTGTATTATGAAATGCTTCTTACATGAAATGTTATCCTTCGCGCGTGTTTTAGGCAAAAAGTGGAAAGGAACTTGTTGGATTTCTCACAAATGATTTCCTGCTATTTGCTCAGCCGTTACTTACCAAAAAATCTGTCTTCTATGGGCAACAATTTTCATTCGATCGAAACGAACATCAGAAATTTAAGATGTATAGGAAGGTACTACCTAGTGGAATATTAATATATGTATAAATAATAATATGACGATACTAATGGAAATATTTCTGTTTAACAGCCAATATTTCTAAATGAATTATCGTTACTAGGAGATTCAGACACAAATGGAAACCTTAGCTTAAGTTGGGGCGAAGGTACAGAAAACTCGACCAAGATACTCAGGTTAAGAGATCAGAAGAAACCAATGATATTGCTGGCACCATCTTCGAGCGAATGTTCCCTGTGGGTCAGAAGAATTACCGATGCAAAAAAGAAGTTTTCGGAAAATGAGAAAACACGCTTGCAAAGGCAACGATCGAGTGAGTTCAATTTTTATTGTTTCGAAATATTTGTATTCGACAAATCATGGTTCATTTGGTGTTATTTATCTTTGTGTAATTATGTTAGTCTTACATATTTAAGTTCGATTTTATTAAAATCAATGAAAAAAAGTTAATTATAGTAAATTTGTCACATAATAACATGTAATATGTATGAGTAAACAGAACAAGCGCAGTTCGGAGCGTGTGGCAGAATTCTCGTTACAGTGCTTGAAGGCTTCAATTTAAAGACAATACCTGGTAAGCGATTGTGTATGCTTAAGGTGTTTGGTTTCTTCTGTGCGTGTGCTCTTATTGCTTTGCTTGGTGGTCTTGATTCTTTTCTATACATATAAGCATGACATAATTAGAGAAACGGCATAAAACCATCTACCAAGAGGAAAGAAATCATCGAATATCATCGCTGTCACAATTACATCATCTAACTGCACGACGCGTTTTTACTAACAAAAACCTGGCATGATTATAGTTCGCAGGAGACCACCCGATGGTAGACTTCGGTTAGTAATTGAAGAAGCCGAGGATCTAATTATATCCAAAAAAGGTAAAAAATTATATTGTGTAGCGGTTTTGAACGAGTATTAAAGCGAATTGCTTTTCCACTTTTCACAACACACAAAGCACTTTGATAGCACTATATAATAACATTAAGTTTAGTAACATTACCATCATACATTTGCTTTGAATTTCTAATTTTCTACACGCGCAATTACTTATGCAATTATTAACAGCAAACACAAGTTGAGTTCAAGTCTGTGTTCAACCTACAATACAGTAACGACTTTTTCTTACTAATTTAAACAAATAACTTTTCTAGGCAAATGTAATACATTCTGCAAAGTGAGTATGGGTTCGCAAGAAGAGAGAACAGGTGTCGTATCTGGAACTGATTGTCCTTTGTGGGATGCATCGATGCAATTTCAAGTAAAGGATTTACTTGAAGATACTTTGTGTATCACAGTATTTGATAAAGGCTATTATAGCCCCGATGGTAAAGTTAACCGGTCAATTTTACTAGAAATAGACGACAAGACGAGCAATGGAAAAAATTCGATAAATATTATTCGCAGAATTTCTTGGCCGAGCCGAAATAAGGGTCGCTGACATAATGAGAGACAGTAGAGACTCGTGTGGACCTATTCAGAAACGTATTCGGTTGCATGAAGTTGAAAATGGAACCGTCGTGTTGAAGTTGGATCTACGGCTGTTTAACAATCGATAAGTGGACGTTTGTTTACGTTTATAGGTAAATAAGATTTTTCAAGTTTCTAATGTATATTTTTGTACTTTATACAAAGAAGAAAGTTCTTGCCTTAATCTAACTGAACAATTTTAGTAACAATTGATAAAGGCGCGACAAAAAAAACATTTTTTTACATAAGATTATTTATTATACTTTACAAACATTGATGAATTGATGTTACTTGATACGTTTTTCTAGTATTCAAGGCAATTCTGAGAGTTAATTTATAAAACAAAGGTACTTTTGTTTATTTTTTACATCTTGCATATCGTATAAAATTCAACAAATAACAATGATTACTTTGCTTCTTGTTGAATTACAGTATTATGTAATAAATGAATGAATGTTTCGTACGATGTACATGGAGGAGTACAATATTTGTTATTTTAAAGACTCATATTGTTATTATAGCTTTCGTAGCATATAACAAAAAAGCATTTATTTTTTTGTATTAAATATATTGTACAAAATATGGAGCATTAAAAAAGGGCATTAATATGAATAAAACAAGAATAGAACATATAATTTAAAAATGATTTATTACATGAATACTTATTATATAAGTGTAATTATTAACGCAAATCATACTTTCAAGTACGTTAACAATTTTTTAATAGAGTGTTTTTCAAACTGTGATCTGCGAACTTACGAAGAATTCGTAAGCTCTCGAAAAGAGAAAAAATATACTCTTTAATGAAATATAAAATTACTTTTCTCCTGCAAGATGAAGTTTGAAAAACACTGCTGTAATAAAATAAATAGTATAATGTACATTATTTGCGCTGACTTGTGCATAAAAATGCATAACATATTCGAATTTACATGTACAAAGTATGACGACGTGTATTCCATCAATTGAGATTTTATAAATTATTATGGAGCTTAACAATAAAACTGACAAATTAATATAACGATTTGTTGGTACGATGAGTGTCTCAAGTGTTTCTGATTATATTTAAGAGGATTACATGCAAAAAGGGTTCAAGTACTTTAATAATACTTTGAAAGCGTCTATACTTGGATCCCATTTAATTATACATGTTGCGCATAAAACAATGTTCCACGGATGAGTATAAACAGATTCATTGTTATTAAATTTGTATAAATTTAAAATTCTGTCCAAACGTATACTCTTGGACCCAGTTGCATTTAATCCTATTCTTCGAATTCAATGAGTGACATTTATAAAAAAAAAAATTGTATGAATATTCAGACTTGTATAGTTAACTTCGATCCCCTACGAAGACAACAAATCTTCCCAGTCACCAATGCACCAAGTTTCGAGATATTTAGTTCTTCCTTTACAAAAATGTTCCAATTAGCATTACTTCATAAATATTGTATATCTTAACGAAAAAATTATGCATAGGATGGTAATGCCAAAAGGAGCGTGACAACGATCAACGAAATACTCGAAACTAAGATTATGCTTGTTTGAGTAACATATTTCCTACACGATAAATCTATTCTTACATCAAACAGCTAGATCGACGGAATCTCGAAGATTCTCTGGAATCTCCGATTCCGCGTCGATAGACTCCCTGCGCTCTAGCCTGTCTACGTCTTCCGTGGGAAATTCGTAAATTGGTTTAAACCCGCCAAACAGCTGTGGTTTAAAGTTCTCAGCGTCAAACTCGTTTCTCTCCGTCTGTGATTCTTCCGCGTCGGAAGTGTCTTCGGACGATCCACGATCGTCGTCTGATTTCCTATTAATAGCAGGCTCCACAACGACCACGCTCCAGCCATTCTTGGAGGGAGCTTCGGCGCTAACGCTGGCAACGAACGGCGCCATGAAGTTCTGCGGCGAGGGTGCCGAACTAGAGGAACTAGACGGTTGTTGCGACGGCAACAGGATAGGCTTCTGCTCGTTACCATCGTTCTTGGAGCCCTCCTCGTCTCGTACGTCCACCTCTAGACGGTGAGATGCTTGCGCGGTTGGCGTGTATACGTAAGCAATAGGTGTGGATGACGGCGGAGATGGTGAGCGATGAAGCGTCGCCGAGATGGGTTCGCTTTTCCTCGCTGGAAACGGTACAAAGTCCTGCAGATAAGGTATAACGTTCACGCTGGTATCCTTTTCCTCCTTTTCATCGTTATTTACTTTTACAGGCTTCTCGTCTTGGCGCTGATCACTGGGAACCAGGAGTGGCGTCTCCCTCATCCCACTGATAAGAATCGAGGGATCTGGACGTTCGAGGAGGTAGGGGAAATCCGACGCCACGGGTCGTCCACGAAATATACTGTGAATAGGCGGACTCGGTTCCTCGTCTATCTCCGGATCCTCGTTGTCTTGCAGAAGCGTATCTGGTGGAAGAGGTCTATGAGGACCCCGTGTCCCCACCACTACGCTCTCGTCCTTCTCCCTGGAGTCATCCGGGTGTATATTCACCGCAGTGTTGACGGGATAGACCACGTAGACCGGTGGCTCCGCCATCGTTTCCCGTTCGTCGTACTTTCTTCTGTCCGCGTCTTGGTCGATCACGATCCTGTCCGAATCGTCGTTCACGTTTGTGCCAATTGGTGGTAGGTTGGGTTCCGTGATGTCCTCATCGAACTCGCCGTGTTGCTGGATCATTTGAAGGGTCGCAACGTGTGGCGGGTCCGCCGTTCTTCGTTTAGGGTACAACAGAGGTCTCGGGGGCACTTGGGGTGGCTCCTCGGAGTAACGGTCCGATCGCTCTTCCTCTTCCAAGCGCAGCTTCTGACCGGGCAACCGTTGCGCCGATTTGACATCGTCCTCGCCTCTAGAGGTGGCCGGTATCGCTGGAAGACGAAATCTCTTAACCGTTGGTTCTGTGTCCATAGGGGGAACCACGCTCTCGGACTTGGTGGAAGCCATAGTCGCCACTCTGAGCGCGTGAATCGGCGGAGGAGGAGGATTCAATCTTTGAAGATATGATGGCGGCGGCGGCGGCATTGGTCTTCTCGTAGGCGGATGAGACTGCACCGGCGGCCTTATTCTCGCAGGGTAAGCCTGTCCAGCTGGAATCGTGCCGATCGTCTCCGAGCCACGGTGTCCATGCGACGTTTTCGCGTTCGGCCGAAATTGCGGCAGAATATTTGGCAGGTTAGCGTCAGGCGAGTAAGGACGTCTTCGTATGCCTAGATCTGCAGGCGGAGGAGGATGAGACGAAGGCGGTGTCGGTTTTCCACGAGACGGCAGTGGCAGCCTTTGCGGTCTCGGATGATCGGGCCTCGTTGTGCCGCCGTGATGATAATGATAATAAAATTGCGAAGGCGGCCTCGGTCGTTCTGCTGGCGGAGTCAGGTTCTCCGAAAGTTGTGGAAGATGTTTCTCGTTCGACACTGCCGGATCTAACCTCACGGGTTTGCTCGTTGTGGGGGAAGGTGTGATCTCGTGTACGGTGCCGTCGGCTTCGTTCACGACGACGATGTGCTCTTCGACAGGTTGTTTGGGTTCATCCTTGGGGAATACCACGTAGTTTACATCTTTGTCATCTTTTTTCTCGTCCGTCTGTTCCAGGTGCACGGTTCCCATCACGAACGAATTTTGAGTTCTGGGAGGTTCTACTTCGTTGGCCAGCTTTTGGATGGCAGAAGGATTCGGCTGTCTCCATGTCTGAGCAGCGTACATGGGATTGCTATCCTGTACGGATACCGAGGGCAAGCCTATATTCCCACGATGGTCTTGCAGATCGTAATTACCTTTGTCGGATGGTGAATTATAAAGAGGCCGGAAAGACGCGTCGATTCCAGACGAACCGCCATAAAGATTCTCCCCAATGGCCGTACCCAACGAGTAATATCCACCTTCAACGTTTTGCCTATTACCCAGGACAAACGACACCGTGTCCTGGTCAGGTGGTATCACGATATTGCTGGTACTCTCTACCAGGATTTCTCCGGCCAATTCGCTTGGCCTCTGATTAACGATAGGATTCGGTCTGTAACTTTGATTGACGATAACGTTATCCGCAACTCCATGCCTTTTGTTGTCATTTCCAAATGCCGATGGAACTCGGGGATCGTTGTCCAAAGGCATCGAAGTTACAGGACGATGTGACAGAGCTTGGAACATTACTGGATTAGTTTGAAAAGTGCTCGAAGAAGGTGTGAAGACAACCGAAGAAGGTACCACCGATGGCGATGGGACAGGCGTACTACTTGTGGTTGTAGTAGTAGGACTAGTCTCTGGAGTTCCAATGGTCGTTGTTACATTCTGAATAGTCGACGTTGTTGTGGGTAAGGTGGTGGTCTTAACGACGACATTGGTCGTCTCTTTCGTTGCAACGTAATCTTTTATATCTTCCTCGTCGTTGATCTCGTAATCCTCGTAACCGTCTATGTATTCGTCCTGCTTCACAGGCGGCTTCATCTGTGGATCTCGATTGTGCACTATGTTGTTCGAACCGTGGTGATTGTTGCCGTACATGGAAGCTTGAAGTTTTTCTATTGGAAGAATATCTTCGTAATCGTCCAAAACGTCCATATATCGTTTTGGTGTGGTTACATGAGGTTTCCAAGTGGTTATAGCAGGCGTCTTCGTGGAAGTGGAAACGGTAGTCGAGGGCGGAGTGGTTGTCGTGGTGGTAGTCGTCGCCATGGTCGTCGTTGTAGTCCTAGGAGTGGTAGTAGTGCTGGTAGTGGTGGTCGTGGACGGCGTCGTCGTTCTAAGAGACGTTGGCGTTGTCGACACAGTCGTTTTAGGTATGTACGGTTTCCTGGTAGGATAATAGAGAACAGTTTCACCGTGATACGGTTTATGATTGTAGGTGCTGTAGCTGTTCGAGCCACTTTGAACCTTTGTGTTCGCGTAGGAACTGGATATCAACGGATACTTGTCTTTGCCGTATTTGTCGGACGAGTATTGGACTGGAAGATTGAGGAAATCGTGGAAATTGGGTAAGTAAGGATTGATCTCGTTAGGACTAACGTCCACAGTTTCTTTGTTCTCTATCTTTTTTGTATAGGGGATATTCTCCTTGGAAATTTCTTTGTCGTCGATCTGTTCGTTGTCGTTGGCGTGTTCTTGATAACGACTGGTGTAATTCAGAGCTTTTACAGGAGGCGCCTTTTCAAAGTCGATCTTCCCGGTAATCGGATCCTTTTCTAGGGAGAATGGTCTGCCCCCGTTGAAGGCGAAAGGATACGGAAGGTGATAATGCAACGCTTCTTCTTCGTTCGACGTCGGAACGGCAACGGTGCTCTCCTCTGCATCGAGATCCAGGTCAAGGTCATCCAGCTGCGCCGTCCTCGCCAAAGCCGGGGAAGATTCGATCTCTTCCAACAAGGACTTCGGTGGACTGTTGTCCATGTGACCGCCCATCAAGTACTCTGACGACGTACCCGTCAAGCAGGCCAATGCGACCACGACTGTCCATGGACCGTATCGCGTCATTCTCCCCATACCTGAAACAGTTTTACATTATTTATTTTATATTTTATTTGGCTTTCTAGGCGGGAAGAACCCATTGCTGTATACAAGTGTTTACGAAAATGCGATATAGGGTTACTGCACGTTTGTACAATAAGTATAATTCCGGTACACTGGATTCTATACATCTACAATACCGTTTATAATAAAGGTCAAGTGTCCATTGTTAGAAATAAAATTATAATTCACAGCGTATAGTCCAGACATTGGATCACCTTTTACGAGCAATAACATACTTTTGAACAGGAGGTGACTTGACAATTATGACGTCATCATACATGGATAACCGTACACATATAGTTTCTTCCATCTAAATGGCCAGACGCAGCGTTACAGAGGAATGCAATCCCTTTCAGAACGGTAACAGTGGACTAAGGTCATTACTTGATAAATTAATCAACTACCTCAATATTTAAACAAACACGAATGATCTTTGTAACCCTTGTTGTTTTCAGCTCGAATAATTTCATTCTCGTATTATTAAGAATATTTTATAATTAAAATCAACTGCTGTAATCTTCTACAAATGTAGTAATCGTACATTGGTACTAATTTACAATACAATTTATTATCAATCGTGGTTTTAATTGTCGTGAAATTAAGCTTTACGATACTGAAAATGTTCGTGTGACCTGTTGTTTTCTGGGCTACGAGTTTATTGGTACGGCAAAGTAAAAGGGGCCGGAAAGGAGTACCGTCCCTTGTGTCCTACATTTAATGTATATCTGGACATGGTGAGGAGCGTGCATGCGGGATACGTGTTCACGGGTTCACGGTACGCCCACCGGATTTGTCACGTTGTACCATCGGCGAAGTTACTGTAAACGCGTCAACGGTTCTCGCGTGTAATCTGCATCAGAGTCGTCGAATGAAACCATCACGAGCAAATTCGAACGTTAGAAATAATGTCCCATTTCCTGGTCTCATTTTTCGATGGTAAAATAAATGTTTACAAACGCTGAACGAAAAAATAATCAATTAAAATATAACACCTTATCGCTCTTTTGTTCTGAATTAATTACAGATAAAGTGGCTTCGTTACGAAAAAAAATAAACCATGTACAATCCGGTACAAGTAGAATTTGGACGAGGACTAATAAACGTTTAGATACTTGTTCAAGAAAAAGTTCCACGATGGACTAGGTGAAATAAATACATACATACTGTATAATTTGAAAGAAAAGGATGTGCTATACCTACTAAAATACGTATATCCCACCGATCCAGCATCCTTCCTTCAACACTCTTAAGAACTCTAAAGAAGTAGGTATGAGACATCAAACTTGTAAATAATTATCAAAAATTAATTGTTTAATTAATTAATTCGAAGGTAGACTACGTGCGTGCGCGTGGAGTGCGTGTTGTTGAGAAATTTCGTTTCTTCTTCTGAAAAAGGAAATTGTATTCCTTCTGAGAATGCGTAGACGCGTAACAATGCTAATGATCTAATTTGCAATGAAAATTTGCCGTTTCGATTGCGTGTAAAAATGAAATCGTCGTCCTATCGTACAGTAGTAATCGTTCTCTGTCCGGTGTAATTGCTGGTCAGTAACACGTTCAGCCTCTGGCCGTAATTAACGGATCCCCCCGACCGTGGCGAAACATCTTCACAATGTAATAATAAACAGGGACATGCTGCTACATCTTCCATCAAGCGGAATCGGCGTTCCAACGCGTAACGGGTTTCTCGTTCTCTTTCGCTTCCGTTCTTTCTCTCTCGTCTCCGTCGGTGGTTCGGTTCCCTTATGGCATTCCAGCAGCTTTTGTCGAGGTTGTGCCGCAATCTCGATCGCTGTATTTGGCATTAGCATTTCGTTACTCGCACTTTCGAGCGAGCTTTCGTTGTCGCGAACGGAGACGAGACGAATGATCAAGAGGAAATTCCGCCGTGTCACCGAGGATTAGTTTCACCGGCATATTTCCAACCGCGAGTAACGTGTTTCGACAATGGTCAAGATTATATCGTGGAATATTGGGACACGCGTTTTTAGGTCAAATAGAATTACCAAAGTAATAACTGTAATTTGTAAAACGTAGTTTGTTTAACTTTATACGTTCTTCGGTCTTTGTAATTGAAACTACTTAATAAATCGACTGCATCGATGCAATTGGAAAAAAGTTATGTCGTAAAATAAATTTGCCTCTTGGAATTATAGTCTGGCCTAGTTACTAGAATCTCTTTGTATCGTAGAACGTTGAAACACGTAATTTCGACTCGAGTTGAACTAGAATTACTAAAGTAATAACTATAAGATGTAAAATGTAATTTGTTCTACTTTCTCGCTGTAATTTTTAAACCGTTGTCCTTCATTCCTTGACCCACTTATTCCAATTGCTGTACTCTTCGATTTATTTTCTTTTAGTTTCATTCTATTTTTCAATTTGAAAATTAAAAACGACCAAAAGTACCCAATGAATTTATTTCTGTTTCAGCTGCGTCGAATCAACATTTAACTATTTGCTTTGGAATTTAAAAGAATACATAATTATACATAGAGAAGGCTTATTTTTGCACAAGGGTCGAGAACAAGAAATTTAAAAATAATCACAGGTAAAGGAACGAAACGTTGTTTACGTGGGCAGGCAGGAAGAGGGAACTCGGACACGTCCAACGACCCGAAGCAAGCAACGACTCTCTTCTCTCAGGGTCTCTGAAACCTCCCAAGGTCTCTCACGATCCGTGACCATAATATTCGTATCTCCTGACCGTGACCGTCTCATAGTTTCCTAACTCGGTGACTGGTACACGAAACAGAAACGTCTCGTGCGTACTAGCTGATCGAGACGACCCACTTTTTGTCGTCGGTTTCATCCTCGAAGACCGTTTCGGGTACAGGGTCATGAATCATCCGCTTTTCCGTGACCAACGTCACGGAAGAATCTTGGACCATTCGGAGATTCCTTCTCTCGACCTCTTTTATTCATTATTAATTGCTGGACGACCAAATTTATATAAGTTTTGAATATCTTGAATGAAACCGATATTGGAACGCTACCTACACTACGTACGTTTCTATTTCATGAATCACACGATCGTATCTCGACCGTCGATTAGGATTATTTTACGCCGAGCAGCTTATCGAGCGATTTCTTCTCGATCGAACGATTCTTGCTCACCGATGCAAATTAGAGCAAGCAACCGGTTCGAGATTCAATTTTTCATGCGCTCGAACGCGCCGCTTATCGCGCGGATTTTTTTACGTTCTTCCGTGAAACGGTTTGAGAGTTTCAACGCGGCGTAAACTCGTCCTAATTATAACGGTACAACTGATTGCAGAATATTCTAATTGTTCGCTATCTGGAAGAGTATTCTGTTCATCGATGTTATCTATAGATCATGTCGAATCTGCCTAAATTTTGATAATCCGTACGATAGAATTATAATTTTCCGCCAAGTACAAAACGTACGATCTCATTTGAGAAACGATACAATTGTACAGGTGCTAGAAAAATAGACTTTAAAGCTGACAATGCTACACTGGGTTGCTTCAGAAATTTTTCGTTTTTAATTAGAATTCCTCGAGTAATTCAATTATAATTCTGACCAGCTCTGATCCAAGTTATGGAAGAGAAGGATCATCGAGGAATTAAATGGAATGACAATGGAATCAAAAGAAGAGATTACCTGGATTCGACGAGAAGATCGACTGTTCTCCAAACGACCTCGCGTCAGAAGTTCCTGGGTCACTCACTGCTCCATGCGTGTCAACTCCCTTTTCACTACCGGTTCCCTTCTTCGCGAATAAATAAAATAAATAAAATAAATAAATTGAGCCGCGTGCACGACGAAGGCAACGGAGTCCGCGAAATCTGTCGATGCGATAGAAGGTCACACGTCGACTGAAGAGCATCGACGACCGGATGGCAGAAGGAAGACGATGTGGTGGAAGCGAAAAGTGGTGGAAGGGCCGTGGACGAAATGGTACAAGAACAAGAGGAAATTCCGACGAAAGAAAAAGACGCTTCAGGAAGATTCTCCCGTGGTCGACGTCACTCTACACAGAATGAAAGTACATCGCTGAATTTTAATAAGTTCAATTTCATCAAACAGCCAATGCAATGGAAAAACTTTCGATACGATTGCGTAGCTGCTGGTCACATCGTACGTCGTTAACGGATTACAAATATCTAACGAAATTCACTCTCCGAGCGATGATCAAAGTAATGCACTGCTATCGAAATGTTCCAAGAAATTTTATTTATTTATTCGTTATACGGGTAGAATCTATTTCGTATACAAACACTAAACAAGGCGAAGAGAAAATAATTGAATTAATTCCAGCTAGCTATTTAAAAACAGAACTCGGTATCCGACGTCGGACATTGTATTCTAATTCTAACAAGAAACAAAGGTCGTCAGCATCTGCGGAATCTGCTTACTAGTTTTTTATGACGCGAGGGAAAGAAACTTGTTGTGCACAAACAGAATATTTTTAAATGTTTGTATCGATCTTTCTGTTTACAGAATTGTCGCGTTCTTCGTCAGACTCGGAAGACATCCTCCCTTTCACGGATCTCCCTACCATTTTTCCTGTTAAAGTCAAAGGAACAGGGATAAACTTTCAAAGGTTTTCTCGACGAATCGATCAGCGAAAGATTCCTCGGGACATCGTGGCTATCGATAGAATAGGAAGGAAGGAGGCGAGGTGAGATGCTCCGTCATTTCGCGGCTACCGATGATAGAGGTGAGAAAGAGAAGAAGTTGGATCTGACTAATGGACGGCATCGAGTCGACGGAACGGTACGTGGAACAGTTAGACGACGACCCACATTGCGGGGAGTCGCTCAGGGCCGGCCAACGTGCCAGTTTCCTCGACCTTACCCTCCGTTAAACACAAGAGACGCTAGGATCATGTTGAAATTGTTTAATCGTCGAATCTCCCTTTTTTTCTTTTATTTCTACATTCTTCGAATTACCTACACATTATCCAAATGTAATTATTTGCCTCAGTTTTGCTTTCTCCTCGCCTCGTCGTGATTCTCCTTGCGTCCTAAAGTTATTTCCATGCCGTTTGTTTTTGTGTTCCTGTTTTCTGGAACGTTTATCCAACATAGGAAAGCAATTTACATTCGAATACAGTATCCGTTTAAATTATTCGTGGTTAGCAGGTATAAAGCATAGGAATTTTTGCAAAATCCTGAATATAGCAAAGACAATGCAAAACGATAAATTATAAAAACAGTTCTTTATTTATAAACAGACTTTTACTCGAGTTAAAAAATTTGTTCCTTATGATATCGGATAGTACTAGATTAAACATATTTTATTCATAAAATGATATTCTATTAAATATTATACGCTTTTTACAGCTACTTTTTCTTTCCCTTTTTTACAATAGATACCGGTGGTGGCAATGGAACTTTTAGAGTGATAATTTTTTTGTCCTCTTTGTTGGGTACAGCACCAATGATTTTGGCAAGGTCGGTTAATTTCTTCAAACCCATCCGGTGATTAAATATCGTTGCAAATAATTCCATATCAAGTACAAAGTTATAAATTATCAAAGCCAAAATCATACAATGTATTACTCCTTTGTCTTTTACACTGGTTGGTCTCAACCTATAAATTATGTTAATTTGGTTACATGAATTCAGTTTCGTATGTCTGTTATATTTATGTATATTTTCATACCTTCCATGAGTACTCTGAACACTATATGTTTCTATTATATACAAATTCACTTCCGCAGAAGCTGGACAAACTTCAATGCCTCGCTTCTTGGCATCTTTCATTGGCATATTTAACCATGCCACGACTGATTGTACATAAACTAGGAACGCTACTTTCTTAATATTGTCTGGATCAGACTGTATATATTTCAATGTTCTACTAAAGAACTTTGATTTCCTATGCATGTAACAAAAAACTAGTTAACATATACCAAAACTAACAATATTTAAAGAAAAATCACTAATCTCCAAAAACATACCCCTCTAAACTTATGGTATCATCGTTCAAAATTTCTGCAGCTCTTTCATACAAGGTTTCCAATTTATTCTCTGGTATAATATCGTATGCGTTATATACATCATTTACGCTAGTAGCACTTCTATTACATTCTGGCAAAGCTTTATTCATTATGAATTCATTGTCTAGTAACTGTACCGACAAATCTGTCCTATCGATATCGACATCTGGAAGGAAACATTTGAAAGAACGTTAATATTAATTCACCTTATAATGCCTGAACTTTTGAACAAACAAGTTCTTACTTGATACAGTTTGTTCTAATTGCTCCTTAACAGAATCTACATTCACTCTCAGTTTTTCATTTTGTTCCGTTCTTCGTTTTACTTTCTTCGAACCAAATTCTTTGTTTAACGTAGCAATTTTGTCATCTTCTGTGATCTTGTTGTTATCCAATACTGGTTTCTCCAGCACCGGAGTCACTTGCCAACGTTCAACTTGAACAAGCCTGACCTTTCCTGTTTCTCTGTTATGTAGAACGAGCATGGTTCGCATTAAATCTTGACTCATGTCGGGTTTATAACCTCTATAAACAATCTGTCCATTTGACAGAGCCAAGCAAGATTTCCTTTTCTTTTCGTCATAAAACAGACCGCACGACATCTTCTTGGCTTCGTCATCTTTAAGTTCACCGTTTTGGAAATTAACTGTAAAATGATTGTTGATAAAATACTTGAATGAAAGCGTGAAAATTGTATAGAATACGACACTGCAAATTCAGAAAGTAGTTTTTTTAAAGTCCGTTTTACAGAAACAATTGATGATCACTCAAAATAAATTCATTTCAAACTGTCCAAAAATTATATTTTCTCATAATTTCATAACATTATTTTATTCAAAGAAGTGCAGAACACGCGTCAACTTAGTTACATTGGTTCTTAATGAACGTATGTTTAATACCAATGATCGGTTGAACCTTGGATGGATCTGTAATTACTTCTTCGATAACTGCCTCGATTGGTCGTTTCATCTTCTACGAGAACTGTTATTGCCTCCTTTTATTAACACATTAAATTCGTTTTCGTTGAATTTTGAAACGTTCTTGACAATATTTAAGGAGATTGGTTCGTTCCAATGATGCCAGATACGCGTACCTGAGCTCGTGGAGATTCGGAAAGACGACAAAGGCAAACTGACGCATGCCCTCTTTCTCGATTCTCCGACGCTGCCCGAAGTAATTTCGGACCGCTTCGTGGAAGTCGAGAGAGAAAGGCTCACATTTGCCTTCTCGCTCCCACACAACTGAAATCCGACCTCCCGTCAACGGCATACGATTTGGATTCTCGACTGCCCAGGCATTTTTACTTTCCGACCTATGTAGGCGCACATAAGCAAAGTACCCATAATGAAAAAAAAATTTTGTAAAATTTATTTTACGGAAATACACGTTTTAAGACCTCCTGATCATATTTTAATTATTGAAAAAAAAGAAATTTTTTTTTATTCCCATGTATGAGCACACATATGTATATTATTAATACGATTTTTGAAAATAAATAAAGTAAAACTTATCTCATTGAAATTTTTTGTAGAAGTTGAGCTGATGAATACCTAGAAAAAAGTATTAGACAACATTTCATTTTGATTAAAAATCAAATTTATATTGTTTTAAATTCGCAGCCATTAGCTCGGTGTTACCCATAATGAAGAAGTTGTTCTTCAAAGGTAACACCGATTACCAGGTCTCACCACGAGGAGGTTGCTGCGAGTGGAGACCCAAAGTGAGATCGATGGAACAAAGTTCGATCGACCTTCCTTTTTACACACTTAGAAACTAAAACGACGCAAAAAAAAAGATGCCAAGTAATTACTTTTCTAAAACAAAGGAGGAAGCTAAATTGTGGGAGACGCGACACGACGAAACGCGACACAATACTGCACAGTGCAGTAGGAACATGAGGTGCGACACGTACCGAATAGCGGGTCAAAAGGGGCAGCTCGTTACCTCTTAGCAAGTCCAATTGAAGGGGAGGAGAATCGACGCACCAGACACGGGTTCCCCATTTCTCCAACGCGTCCTGCTGGGAGCCCGTAGGACCCAACCCGGGACGTCTGACACAGGAGAGAGATCCTGAGTCGGGGCTACCGCAGACAGGAACAAGTCCCCTCTACGGCCGATGACTCTTTCCCTAGAATTGTCTCACCAGAGGACGGCAACCGACCCTTCGAACCATCTAAACGGCCGATCACTTGCTTTTTACATGAAAGCAGCGGTGACCGGAGCTAGAAACGGGGAAACGAGACTGGAAAATAAGCTATTAATTAATTCATTACTTGGCAATCTACGCAGTAAATAAAATAATATACAATGTAAATTGAAAATTAACGTCGTAGGTGGAATTGAGAATTAATGTGAATTAATAAAATATAGGAAACATCGGAAAAACAAGGAAAAGAAGGAAAAAGAAAAATTCGACGTTAATTTTTACATTCGCGCCGCGCCTTAAAATTAATCGGCTTACGTTTAAATCCCGGCCGATGAATCCGACGTCATCTATTGATCTCCTCCTCCTCCTAGAAATTGATCTGGTAAAAAACTCAAATAAAAATTAGTAGTTATGTGTGCATGTAGACAAATAATAAAACCTAAATAACAAATTAATTTGAAATAAGGAATTGGAACAATCCAACGAAGTAAATTAACGAAACGAATCATTCGAAAAAAAAGAAACCAACGATGTGTACTTTGAATTATAGATTAATTTTGAAAATTAAAAAACCAACGAAGCGCAAGACGAATAACAAAATAAATCGTAAAAGAACAAACCAACGATGAAAGCGAGACGAAGATGGAATAGAATAAATTGAAAAATATCAACCCAACGATGGTAATTAATATAGATAAAACTAGATGAACGAAGAACCCAAATATGAAAATACCTATATACATAAAAATGCAGAAAAACACAATATTTTCATTAGTTATATTAATATTAATTGTATCTATACCAAAACCAAAGGGTGATCCTTCCTGGTCAGCATCGCAGAAGATATCTGAAACAGAAAACAAAAACGCGTGACAGTACCCCCGGCGGTTCCAGGAGTACTGAAAAAATTTGCCCAGCTGTGTCCACTTTTATGCAGTCAAGCCAAAGAATCAACGAGCCAATCAGCAGCCAGTCCGCTGGAGGCGACCATCGCCCGTGTTCCTTGAAACGTTATAAGAGCCCCCTGAGGCCCTCGCGCGGGAGTTATCTCCCAACCACCAAGCAAGACGGACCGCATCGAGATGAAGAATTTAATTGAAGATTTACATTCGATCAAAATCGAAGATGGCGGCCAAGAAGATGTTTCACGAGCAGCGGCCAAGGGACAAAACCGGTCTTTTTAAAGACCAAGAAAATCTCATTTGTGGGAACAACTTATGCAATGAACTGAACAACTTTTATATTTAACAACTCAGAGACACTTTACATCTCTGTTTTGTAACAACTTTTATATTTAACAATTCAGAGACACTTTACATCACTGTTTTGTAACAACTTTTATATTTAACAATTCAGAGACACTTTACATCTCTGTTATGGAACAAGTTATGCAATAAAACTGAACATGGTATATTTGCCTATATGTATAGGAAGGAAATTCGTCGTTAGTATTGTCGCCCGTCAATGCACTTAATTATGCAAGATCAGTATACTATCTAATTTTATTTTTTATTATACCGGTTTGTAATATCGTAAAGATCAATGCAAAAACATTTATGCACAGCTCTTGTATTTCTTTGATTTATCCAAGTAGTCAAAGTATAATATTTAACAAACTTTTGATTCAAATAAAATAACGAATGACACAAGAGTAAGTACCTGTTACATGCAACCTATGTATAAATGCATAATAACTAATATTGATATACGCATAACGAACTTAGTTTGTGATATGAAACATTAAGAAAAGTGTAATTTAATAAATAGGTTTCAAAATGGGTATTCCAGGTTTAACAACTTTCATAAACAATCGTTCAGATCGTTATTTGGAATATTTCGAGCTACGTGATACGTATTTAGTTATTTAGCTGTCAAATATATAATTCGTACAAGTGCAATTGTGTTTTTGGCGGTGATTACGATAAATACGCTCAACGAGTATCGGATTTTTTTGACGATTTGTTAAAGTGCAATGTAGTACCATTAGTTTTGATCGATGGCGGTTGCGAGGATAAGAAACTGCAAACAGTTATATCTAGAACTAAAGAAAAGATTCGTACAGCATCATCTTTTTCTCCGATCTGTCAACAGAAAATGAAATTTTTGTCCTTTACATATTTAGGAAGTTTTCAAAGATGTTACGAGAAAGAAGAATGTTCGTCATGTGCAATGCTTATTCGAAGCTGATAATGCTATAGCTACTGTAGCAAGGGTATTGAATTGTCCTGTATTGAGTTATGATTCAGATTTTTATGTGTTTGGGACATTGTACATACCATTTGATACATTGGACAATTACACGGTGAAAAGTCCATCTGGAAATGGTTACACGAAACGTTTGTAAAATTTATAAATTTGAACACTTATTAAATTCTTATAGAGGTCTAAGTCAATCTACACTGCCATTAGCTGCAATATTACTAGGCAATGATTATGTAAAACATGGTACATTTAAAAACTTCTTTCGTTATTTAAAGTTACGACGAATAAGAAGAAAAAGGTATAGTAATCGACAGTATTGTATAGAAGCAACTTTACAATGGTTGAGCAGGTTTTACACCTTGGACAGAGCAGTCATTGGAATACTATGTAGATCACCTAAAACCGTAAGACAAAATATATTAAGCATAATAGAAATCAATATAAATGGCTATACAAATGCATCTGCAGAAATACTTGTTCCATTGGGGTTTTTACAGGAATATGCAGCTCGTGCCACAACACGTTCCATAAACAGAATTTTTAAATTTGATGGGGATGTTAATAGTCTAATGTACATAGAAGAAACTGATAAAAATGGAGACTTTGAATCAGCCGAAGAAGAAGAAGAAGAGGAAGAAAACGAAGTTGAAATATTAGACATGCTTAAAGGGGTCAGAATCTGCTGCCAATAATGCACTAGCTAATATACCTAATTTGTTTGTAGATGAATTTCTTATGGGCAATTATCCTGCATATTTCATGGACTTGTTGGTTCGACGTTTATATATTTGTCCTGTACAAATAGAGGATTATTCCTATCCATTGAGCAATGTAATAAGTTTAAAAATTATTAGAGTTATATATGCATTTCTGTAATCAGGAATGAATAGAAAGAGAGGTTTCATGAAATACATGATGAGAGACTGTAATAAAAAGCTTAAATGTTACGAACTAGAAGGCACTGACACTAAATTTTCTTCCCCATTACTGTCCCTATCTAATCTTAGAGAAGTACCATTAACGAGTCCAGGATTAAAAAATAATGTACAAACATGCGTCATTGATTTTTCATTACCATTTGAATTTAAATTCAAGTTATATAGACACAAATATATAAGCAAAGCCCATATTGAATGAAAAATTGACACGTAAATACACGTTTCAAGACCCTCTGATCATGTTTGACATAAAACAATACTTTGGAAATAAATCGTTTGAATATAGTTTATCGAGTAAGATCTTCGAAATTATTTTCAAACAATTTATTTTCTAATTGTTCTACTATTTGAAATAATAATTTTTTGATCTTATAGCAAAGAACGTTTACTTAATATCAATTCAATAAATTCAATTTGTATTTGTTCAGTTTTATTACATAAGTTGTTCGAAAACAGAGATGTAAAAAGTCTCTGAGTTGTTAAATATAAAAGTTGTTCCAAAACAGAGATGTAAAAAGTCTCTGAGTTGTTAAATATAAAAGTTGTTCAGTTTAGTGGTTCCCACAAATGAGATTTTCTTGGTCTTTAAAAAGACCGGTTTGTCCTTTGGCCGCTGCTCGTGAACCATCATCTTTGGCCATCTTCGATTTTGATTGAATGGAAATCTTCAATTAAATTCTTCATCTCGATACGGTCCGTCTTGCTTGATGGTTGGGAGATAACTCGCCGATGAACGGCTCAGGGGGCTCTTATATCCTAGGAGCACGGGCCCTCACGAGTGACCGAGCGACATCTGTGCAATTTTGATACATGAATTGTTAACGAATTGTCCCCCAACATAAAATTAAAGAATCATTATTTCGATAATGAAATACTTATAGGTATATATAAAGCATTTCTACATATTCTCCGTCGAAACACGCGTTGTTTGCAACTTGAAACATTAAGATCCTTCAATCCGTTCAGAAGTTATAATGTTTTAACCATACGCATGAAATTTCGAGCGAACATTTCTGAATCTTTAAAACATTATAACTCTTGAACGGATTGAAGGATCTTAATGTTTCAAGTTGCAAACAACGCGTATTTTGATGGAGAATATGAAGAAATTGAATATTGAACAACTCAGAGACTGAACATCTCTGTTATGGAACAACTTTTATATTTAACAATTCACAGACACTTTACATCTCTGTTTTGTAACCACTTTTATATTTCACAATTCACAGACACTTTACATCTCTGTTTTGTAACCACTTTTATATTTAACAATTCACAGACACTTTACATCTCTGTTATGGCACAAGTTATGCAATAAAACTGAACATGGTATACATATTTGCCTATATGTATAGGAAGGAAATTCGTCGTTAGTATTGTCGCCCGTCAATGCACTTAATTATGCAAGATCAGTATACTATCTAATTTTATTTTTATTATACCGGTTTGTAATATCGTAAAGATCAATGCAAAAACATTATGCACAGCTCTTGTATTTCTTTGATTTATCCAAGTAGTCAAAGTATAATATTTAACAAACTTTTGATTCAAATAAAATAACGAATGACACAAAATTTGAGTACCTGTTACATGTAACCTATGTATAAATGCATAATAACTAATATTGATATGCGCATAACGAATTTAGTTTGTGATATGAAACATTAAGAAAAGTGTAAATTAATAAATAGGTTTCAAAATGGGTATTCCAGGTTTAACAACTTTCATAAACAATCGTTCAGATCGTTATTTGGAATATTTCGAGCTACGTGATACGTATTTAGTTATTTAGCTGTCAAATATATAATTCGTACAAGTGCAATTGTGTTTTTGGCGGTGATTACGATAAATACGCTCAACGAGTATCGGATTTTTTTGACGATTTGATAAAGTGCAATGCAGTACCATTAGTTTTGATTAAATAAAATTAGATAGTATACTGATCTTGCATAATTAAGTGCATTGTCGGGCGACAATACTAACGACGAATTTCCTTCCTATACATATAGGCAAATATGTATACCATGTTCGTTTTTATTGCATAACTTGTGCCATAACAGAGATGTAAAGTGTCTGTGAATTGTTAAATATAAAAGTGGTTACAAAACAGAGATGTAAAGTGTCTGTGAATTGTGAAATATAAAAGTGGTTACAAAACAGAGATGTAAAGTGTCTGTGAATTGTTAAATATAAAAGTTGTTCCATAACAGAGATGTTCAGTCTCTGAGTTGTTCAATATTCAATTTCTACATATTCTCCATCAAAATACGCGTTGTTTGCAACTTGAAACATTAAGATCCTTCAATCCGTTCAAGAGTTATAATGTTTTAAAGATTCAGAAATGTTCGCTCGAAATTTCATGCGTATGGTTAAAACATTATAACTTCTGAACGGATTGAAGGATCTTAATGTTTCAAGTTGCAAACAACGCGTGTTTCGACGGAGAATATGTAGAAATGCTTTATATATACCTATAAGTATTTCATTATCGAAATAATGATTCTCTAATTTTATGTTGGGGGACAATTCGTTAACAATTCATGTATCAAAATTGCACAGATGTCGCTCGGTCACTCGTGAGGGCCCGTGCTCCTAGGATATAAGAGCCCCCTGAGCCGTTCATCGGCGAGTTATCTCCCAACCATCAAGCAAGACGGACCGTATCGAGATGAAGAATTTAATTGAAGATTTCCATTCAATCAAAATCGAAGATGGCCAAAGATGATGGTTCACGAGCAGCGGCCAAAGGACAAACCGGTCTTTTTAAAGACCAAGAAAATCTCATTTGTGGGAACCACTAAACTGAACAACTTTTATATTTAACAACTCAGAGACTTTTTACATCTCTGTTTTGGAACAACTTTTATATTTAACAACTCGGAGACTTTTTACATCTCTGTTTTGGAACAACTTATGTAATAAAACTGAACATGGTATATTTGCCTGTATAGGCGAAAAATATACAAATACAAATTGAATTTATTGAATTGATATTAAGTAAATGTTCTTTGCTATAAGATCAAAAAATTATTATTTGAAATAGTAGAACAATTAGAAAATAAATCGTTTGAAAATAATTTCGAAGGTCTTACTCGATAAACTATATTCAAACGATTTATTTCCAAAGTATTGTTTTATGTCAAACATGATCAGGGGGTCTTGAAACGTGTATTTACGTGTCAATTTTTCATTCAATATGGGCTTTGGTTATATATTTGTAGGAAGGAAATTCGTCGTTAGTATTGTCGCCCGTCAATGCACTTAATTATGCAAGATCAGTATACTATCTAATTTTATTTTTATTATACCGGTTTTTAATATCGTAAAGATCAATGCAAAAACATTATGCACAGCTCTTGTATTTCTTTGATTTATCCAAGTAGTCAAAGTATAATATTTAACAAACTTTTGATTCAAATAAAATAACGAATGACACAAAATTTGAGTACCTGTTACATGTAACCTATGTATAAATGCATAACTAATATTGATATACGCATAACGAACTTAGTTTGTGATATGAAACATTAAGAAAAGTGTAAATTAATAAATAGGTTTCAAAATGGGTATTCCGGGTTTAACAACTTTCATAAACAATCGTTCAGATCGTTATTTGGAATAATTCGAGCCATGTGATAGGTATTTAGTTATTTAGCTGTCAAATATATTATTCGTACAAGTGCAATTGTGTTTTTGGCGGTGATTACGATAAATACGCTCAACGAGTATCGGAATTTTTTGACGATTTGATAAAGTGCAATGCAGTACCATTAGTTTTGATCGATTGTGGTTGCGAGGATAAGAAACTGCAAACAGTTATATCTAGAACTAGAGAAAAGGTTCGTACAGCATCATCTTATTCTCCGATCTGTCAACAGAAAATGAAATTTTTTCCTTTACATATTTAGGAAGTTTTCAAAGATGTTATGAGAAAGAAGAATATTCGTCATGTGCAATGCTTATTCGAAGCTGATAATGCTATAGCTACTGTAGCAAGGATATTGAATTGTCCTGTATTGAGTTATGATTCAGATTTTTATGTGTTTGGGACATTGTACATACCATTTGATACATTGGACAATTACACGGTGAAAAGTTCAACTGGAAATGGTTACACGAAACGTTGTAAAATTTATAAATTTGAACACTTATTAAATTCTTATAGAGGTCTAAGTCAATCTACACTGCCATTAGTTGCAATATTACTAGGCAATGATTATGTAAAACGTGGTACATTTAGAAACTTCTTTCGTTATTTAAAGTTACGACGAATAAGAAGAAAAAGGTATAGTAATCGACAGTATTGTATAGAAGCAACTTTACAATGGTTGAGCGGATTTTACACCTTGGACAGAGCAGTCATTGGAATACTATGTAGATCACCTAAAACCGTAAGACAAAAAATATTAAGCATAATAGAAATCAATATAAATGGCTATACAAATGCATCTGCAGAAATACTTGTTCCATTGGGGTTTTTACAGGAATATGCAGCTCGTGCCACAACACATTCCATAAACAGAATTTTTAAATTTGATGGAGATGTTAATAGTCTAATGTACATAGAAGAAACTGATAAAAATGGAGATTTTGAATCAACCGAAGAAGAAGAAAAAGAGGAAGAAAACGAAGTTGAAATATTAGACATGCTTAAAGGTGTCAGAATCTACTACCAATAATGCACTACTAGCTAATGTACCTAATTTGTTTGTAGATGAATTTCTTATGGGCAATTATCCTGCATATATTATGGACTTGTTGGTTCGACGTTTATATATTTGTTCTGTACAAATAGAGGATTATTCCTATCCATTGAGCAATGTAATAAGTTTAAAAATTATTAGAGTTATATATGCATTTCTGTAATCAGGAATGAATAGAAGGAGAGGTTTCATGAAATACATGGTGAGAGACTGAAATAAAAAGCTTAAATGTTACAAACTAGAAGGCACTGACACTAAATTTTCTTCCCCATTACTGTCCCTATCTAATCTTAGAGAAGTACCATTAACGAGTCCAGGATTAAAAAATAATGTACAAACATGCGTCATTGATTTTTCATTACCATTTGAATTTAAATTCAAGTTATATAGACACAAATATATAACCAAAGCTCATATTGAATGAAAAATTGACACGTAAATACACGTTTCAAGACCCCCTGATCATGTTTGACATAAAACAATACTTTGGAAATAAATCGTTTGAATATAGTTTATCGAGTAAGACCTTCGAAATTATTTTCAAACGATTTATTTTCTAATTGTTCTACTATTTGAAATAATAATTTTTTGATCTTATAGCAAAGAACGTTTACTTAATATCAATTCAATAAATTCAATTTGTATTTGTATATTTTTCGCCTATACAGGCAAATATACCATGTTCAGTTTTATTACATAAGTTGTTCGAAAACAGAGATGTAAAAAGTCTCCGAGTTGTTAAATATAAAAGTTGTTCAGTTTAGTGGTTCCCACAAATGAGATTTTCTTGGTCTTTAAAAAGACCGGTTTGTCCTTTGGCCGCTGCTCGTGAACCATCATCTTTGGCCATCTTCGATTTTGATTGAATGGAAATCTTCAATTAAATTCTTCATCTCGATACGATCCGTCTTGCTTGGTGGTTGGGAGATAACTCGCCGATCAACGCCTCAGGGGGCTCTTATATACTAGGAGCCCGGACGCTCACGAGAGACCGAGCGACACCTGTGCAATTTTGATACATGAATTGTTAACGAATTGTCCCCCAACATAAAATTAGAGAATCATTATTTCGATAATGAAATACTTATAGGTATATATAAAGCATTTCTACATATTCTCCGTCGAAACACGCGTTGTTTGCAACTTGAAACATTAAGATCCTTCAATCCGTTCAGAAGTTATAATGTTTTAACCATACGCATGAAATTTCGAGCGAACATTTCTGAATCTTTAAAACATTATAACTCTTGAACGGATTGAAGGATCTTAATGTTTCAAGTTGCAAACAACGCGTATTTTGATGGAGAATATGTAGAAATTGAATATTGAACAACTCAGAGACTGAACATCTCTGTTATGGAACAACTTTTATATTTAACAATTCACAGACACTTTACATCTCTGTTTTGTAACCACTTTTATATTTCACAATTCACAGACACTTTACATCTCTGTTTTGTAACCACTTTTATATTTAACAATTCACAGACACTTTACATCTCTGTTATGGCACAAGTTATGCAATAAAAACGAACATGGTATACATATTTGCCTATATGTATAGGAAGGAAATTCGTCGTTAGTATTGTCGCCCGACAATGCACTTAATTATGCAAGATCAGTATACTATCTAATTTTATTTAATCAAAACTAATGGTACTGCATTGCACTTTATCAAATCGTCAAAAAAATCCGATACTCGTTGAGCGTATTTATCGTAATCACCGCCAAAAACACAATTGCACTTGTACGAATTATATATTTGACAGCTAAATAACTAAATACGTATCACGTAGCTCGAAATATTCCAAATAACGATCTGAACGATTGTTTATGAAAGTTGTTAAACCTGGAATACCCATTTTGAAACCTATTTATTAATTTACACTTTTCTTAATGTTTCATATCACAAACTAAATTCGTTATGCGCATATCAATATTAGTTATTATGCATTTATACATAGGTTACATGTAACAGGTACTCAAATTTTGTGTCATTCGTTATTTTATTTGAATCAAAAGTTTGTTAAATATTATACTTTGACTACTTGGATAAATCAAAGAAATACAAGAGCTGTGCATAATGTTTTTGCATTGATCTTTACGATATTACAAACCGGTATAATAAAAATAAAATTAGATAGTATACTGATCTTGCATAATTAAGTGCATTGACGGGCGACAATACTAACGACGAATTTCCTTCCTATACATATAGGCAAATATGTATACCATGTTCAGTTTTATTGCATAACTTGTGCCATAACAGAGATGTAAAGTGTCTGTGAATTGTTAAATATAAAAGTGGTTACAAAACAGAGATGTAAAGTGTCTGTGAATTGTGAAATATAAAAGTGGTTACAAAACAGAGATGTAAAGTGTCTGTGAATTGTTAAATATAAAAGTTGTTCCATAACAGAGATGTTCAGTCTCTGAGTTGTTCAATATTCAATTTCTTCATATTCTCCATCAAAATACGCGTTGTTTGCAACTTGAAACATTAAGATCCTTCAATCCGTTCAAGAGTTATAATGTTTTAAAGATTCAGAAATGTTCGCTCGAAATTTCATGCGTATGGTTAAAACATTATAACTTCTGAACGGATTGAAGGATCTTAATGTTTCAAGTTGCAAACAACGCGTGTTTCGACGGAGAATATGTAGAAATGCTTTATATATACCTATAAGTATTTCATTATCGAAATAATGATTCTTTAATTTTATGTTGGGGGACAATTCGTTAACAATTCATGTATCAAAATTGCACAGATGTCGCTCGGTCACTCGTGAGGGCCCGTGCTCCTAGGATATAAGAGCCCCCTGAGCCGTTCATCGGCGAGTTATCTCCCAACCATCAAGCAAGACGGACCGTATCGAGATGAAGAATTTAATTGAAGATTTCCATTCAATCAAAATCGAAGATGGCCAAAGATGATGGTTCACGAGCAGCGGCCAAAGGACAAACCGGTCTTTTTAAAGACCAAGAAAATCTCATTTGTGGGAACCACTAAACTGAACAACTTTTATATTTAACAACTCAGAGACTTTTTACATCTCTGTTTTGGAACAACTTTTATATTTAACAACTCAGAGACTTTTTACATCTCTGTTTTCGAACAACTTATGTAATAAAACTGAACAAATACAAATTGAATTTATTGAATTGATATTAAGTAAACGTTCTTTGCTATAAGATCAAAAAATTATTATTTCAAATAGTAGAACAATTAGAAAATAAATTGTTTGAAAATAATTTCGAAGATCTTACTCGATAAACTATATTCAAACGATTTATTTCCAAAGTATTGTTTTATGTCAAACATGATCAGAGGGTCTTGAAACGTGTATTTACGTGTCAATTTTTCATTCAATATGGGCTTTGCTTATATATTTGTGTCTATATAACTTGAATTTAAATTCAAATGGTAATGAAAAATCAATGACGCATGTTTGTACATTATTTTTTAATCCTGGACTCGTTAATGGTACTTCTCTAAGATTAGATAGGGACAGTAATGGGGAAGAAAATTTAGTGTCAGTGCCTTCTAGTTCGTAACATTTAAGCTTTTTATTACAGTCTCTCATCATGTATTTCATGAAACCTCTCTTTCTATTCATTCCTGATTACAGAAATGCATATATAACTCTAATAATTTTTAAACTTATTACATTGCTCAATGGATAGGAATAATCCTCTATTTGTACAGGACAAATATATAAACGTCGAACCAACAAGTCCATGAAATATGCAGGATAATTGCCCATAAGAAATTCATCTACAAACAAATTAGGTATATTAGCTAGTGCATTATTGGCAGCAGATTCTGACCCCTTTAAGCATGTCTAATATTTCAACTTCGTTTTCTTCCTCTTCTTCTTCTTCTTCGGCTGATTCAAAGTCTCCATTTTTATCAGTTTCTTCTATGTACATTAGACTATTAACATCCCCATCAAATTTAAAAATTCTGTTTATGGAACGTGTTGTGGCACGAGCTGCATATTCCTGTAAAAACCCCAATGGAACAAGTATTTCTGCAGATGCATTTGTATAGCCATTTATATTGATTTCTATTATGCTTAATATATTTTGTCTTACGGTTTTAGGTGATCTACATAGTATTCCAATGACTGCTCTGTCCAAGGTGTAAAACCTGCTCAACCATTGTAAAGTTGCTTCTATACAATACTGTCGATTACTATACCTTTTTCTTCTTATTCGTCGTAACTTTAAATAACGAAAGAAGTTTTTAAATGTACCATGTTTTACATAATCATTGCCTAGTAATATTGCAGCTAATGGCAGTGTAGATTGACTTAGACCTCTATAAGAATTTAATAAGTGTTCAAATTTATAAATTTTACAACGTTTCGTGTAACCATTTCCAGATGGACTTTTCACCGTGTAATTGTCCAATGTATCAAATGGTATGTACAATGTCCCAAACACATAAAAATCTGAATCATAACTCAATACAGGACAATTCAATACCCTTGCTACAGTAGCTATAGCATTATCAGCTTCGAATAAGCATTGCACATGACGAACATTCTTCTTTCTCGTAACATCTTTGAAAACTTCCTAAATATGTAAAGGACAAAAATTTCATTTTCTGTTGACAGATCGGAGAAAAAGATGATGCTGTACGAATCTTTTCTTTAGTTCTAGATATAACTGTTTGCAGTTTCTTATCCTCGCAACCGCCATCGATCAAAACTAATGGTACTACATTGCACTTTAACAAATCGTCAAAAAAATCCGATACTCGTTGAGCGTATTTATCGTAATCACCGCCAAAAACACAATTGCACTTGTACGAATTATATATTTGACAGCTAAATAACTAAATACGTATCACGTAGCTCGAAATATTCCAAATAACGATCTGAACGATTGTTTATGAAAGTTGTTAAACCTGGAATACCCATTTTGAAACCTATTTATTAAATTACACTTTTCTTAATGTTTCATATCACAAACTAAGTTCGTTATGCGTATATCAATATTAGTTATTATGCATTTATACATAGGTTGCATGTAACAGGTACTTACTCTTGTGTCATTCGTTATTTTATTTGAATCAAAAGTTTGTTAAATATTATACTTTGACTACTTGGATAAATCAAAGAAATACAAGAGCTGTGCATAAATGTTTTTGCATTGATCTTTACGATATTACAAACCGGTATAATAAAAAATAAAATTAGATAGTATACTGATCTTGCATAATTAAGTGCATTGACGGGCGACAATACTAACGACGAATTTCCTTCCTATACATATAGGCAAATATACCATGTTCAGTTTTATTGCATAACTTGTTCCATAACAGAGATGTAAAGTGTCTCTGAATTGTTAAATATAAAAGTTGTTACAAAACAGTGATGTAAAGTGTCTCTGAATTGTTAAATATAAAAGTTGTTACAAAACAGAGATGTAAAGTGTCTCTGAATTGTTAAATATAAAAGTTGTTACAAAACAGAGATGTAAAGTGTCTCTGAATTGTTAAATATAAAAGTTGTTACAAAACAGAGATGTAAAGTGTCTCTGAGTTGTTAAATATAAAAGTTGTTACAAAACAGAGATGTAAAGTGTCTCTGAGTTGTTAAATATAAAAGTTGTTACAAAACAGTGATGTAAAGTGTCTCTGAATTGTTAAATATAAAAGTTGTTACAAAACAGAGATGTAAAGTGTCTCTGAGTTGTTAAATATAAAAGTTGTTCAGTTCATTGCATAAGTTGTTCCCACAAATGAGATTTTCTTGGTCTTTAAAAAGACCGGTTTTGTCCCTTGGCCGCTGCTCGTGAAACATCTTCTTGGCCGCCATCTTCGATTTTGATCGAATGTAAATCTTCAATTAAATTCTTCATCTCGATGCGGTCCGTCTTGCTTGGTGGTTGGGAGATAACTCCCGCGCGAGGGCCTCAGGGGGCTCTTATAACGTTTCAAGGAACACGGGCGATGGTCGCCTCCAGCGGACTGGCTGCTGATTGGCTCGTTGATTCTTTGGCTTGACTGCATAAAAGTGGACACAGCTGGGCAAATTTTTTCAGTACTCCTGGAACCGCCGGGGGTACTGTCACGCGTTTTTGTTTTCTGTTTCAGATATCTTCTGCGATGCTGACCAGGAAGGATCACCCTTTGGTTTTGGTATAGATACAATTAATATTAATATAACTAATGAAAATATTGTGTTTTTCTGCATTTTTATGTATATAGGTATTTTCATATTTGGGTTCTTCGTTCATCTAGTTTTATCTATATTAATTACCATCGTTGGGTTGATATTTTTCAATTTATTCTATTCCATCTTCGTCTCGCTTTCATCGTTGGTTTGTTCTTTTACGATTTATTTTGTTATTCGTCTTGCGCTTCGTTGGTTTTTTAATTTTCAAAATTAATCTATAATTCAAAGTACACATCGTTGGTTTCTTTTTTTTCGAATGATTCGTTTCGTTAATTTACTTCGTTGGATTGTTCCAATTCCTTATTTCAAATTAATTTGTTATTTAGGTTTTATTATTTGTCTACATGCACACATAACTACTAATTTTTATTTGAGTTTTTTACCAGATCAATTTCTAGGAGGAGGAGGAGATCAATAGATGACGTCGGATTCATCGGCCGGGATTTAAACGTAAGCCGATTAATTTTAAGGCGCGGCGCGAATGTAAAAATTAACGTCGAATTTTTCTTTTTCCTTCTTTTCCTTGTTTTTCCGATGTTTCCTATATTTTATTAATTCACATTAATTCTCAATTCCACCTACGACGTTAATTTTCAATTTACATTGTATATTATTTTATTTACTGCGTAGATTGCCAAGTAATGAATTAATTAATAGCTTATTTTCCAGTCTCGTTTCCCCGTTTCTAGCTCCGGTCACCGCTGCTTTCATGTAAAAAGCAAGTGATCGGCCGTTTAGATGGTTCGAAGGGTCGGTTGCCGTCCTCTGGTGAGACAATTCTAGGGAAAGAGTCATCGGCCGTAGAGGGGACTTGTTCCTGTCTGCGGTAGCCCCGACTCAGGATCTCTCTCCTGTGTCAGACGTCCCGGGTTGGGTCCTACGGGCTCCCAGCAGGACGCGTTGGAGAAATGGGGAACCCGTGTCTGGTGCGTCGATTCTCCTCCCCTTCAATTGGACTTGCTAAGAGGTAACGAGCTGCCCCTTTTGACCCGCTATTCGGTACGTGTCGCACCTCATGTTCCTACTGCACTGTGCAGTATTGTGTCGCGTTTCGTCGTGTCGCGTCTCCCACAATTTAGCTTCCTCCTTTGTTTTAGAAAAGTAATTACTTGGCATCTTTTTTTTTGCGTCGTTTTAGTTTCTAAGTGTGTAAAAAGGAAGGTCGATCGAACTTTGTTCCATCGATCTCACTTTGGGTCTCCACTCGCAGCAACCTCCTCGTGGTGAGACCTGGTAATCGGTGTTACCTTTGAAGAACAACTTCTTCATTATGGGTAACACCGAGCTAATGGCTGCGAATTTAAAACAATATAAATTTGATTTTTAATCAAAATGAAATGTTGTCTAATACTTTTTTCTAGGTATTCATCAGCTCAACTTCTACAAAAAATTTCAATGAGATAAGTTTTACTTTATTTATTTTCAAAAATCGTATTAATAATATACATATGTGTGCTCATACATGGGAATAAAAAAAAATTTCTTTTTTTTCAATAATTAAAATATGATCAGGAGGTCTTAAAACGTGTATTTCCGTAAAATAAATTTTACAAAATTTTTTTTTCATTATGGGTACTTTGCTTATGTGCGCCTACATAGGTCGGAAAGTAAAAATGCCTGGGCAGTCGAGAATCCAAATCGTATGCCGTTGACGGGAGGTCGGATTTCAGTTGTGTGGGAGCGAGAAGGCAAATGTGAGCCTTTCTCTCTCGACTTCCACGAAGCGGTCCGAAATTACGCGTATCTGGCATGTGTGAGTGTGCACCCGACGGTGCTTTTCTGGCATCACTGGTTCGTTCACAAATGCCTCGACGGAAGTGAATTCAATTTGGTTAAATTTCTAAACAATGTCCAGTAAAATCGTACACTTATTTTAGAACAAGACATTTATTCTCTTTCCAGCGCGATTTATTCCGTATTTTATTGATAACGTCTCGTAATTTGTTATACAGTTCAATCGGTGGACATTACAGGTACGTTCAGTTTGAGTGCTCTGATTAGCTATAAACAATTATGTATATACTTATGCGTATAGAAATACATATTTGAAATTATTTGATTTTACTTTTAAACCCTTACGCTTGTTTATTACAAAATTATTAGTAGCTATATCTATTATAATATATTCGAAATAGTTATAAAATCTTTCAAAAAACTATCCTATGTTATCAAGTGTTTATTTGATCACGGTTTTATGGTATTGGTACTACTTGTTACGCTCCTGGCACGTAGTTTTCGTGAACTTTCGAGAAGTGCGGTGTTCGCGAATTTTGTGTTAAATTTTCAAATGATTTAGACTGATGATAATTATTAAAAATCAGAATGGCTGGTGAAGAAACTTTTACTCAAGTATACAATAATGAAGTAAGTGTTACAGTTAATTATCGTGAAAGGAAAAGGATTAAAACAAACATGTCCAAACGTCAGATAAAAATTTCGTATATTTACAGATGCCAATTCCAAAAACAAGGTACGATTGGTATCAAACGGAAACCCATGTCATAGTTACAATTCTTACGAAGAATGCACAAAACGTTAAAGTTGTCTGTGAGAAACACACGGTAAAAATATAGGTTGATTGTAGAAAAAGTCTATTTTTATCATAGAGTCTATGCAACGTATTTACTGATCAGATTAACAAAAGTAAATCTATAATCTTTTGTTTGGTTTCAGTTAAGCGTGTCTGCTTTGTTACCATCGGGAAATGAATATAGTCTGGAGTTAGATTTAGCTCATCCCATAGTACCAGATCAGTGCCTGCATAAAGTATTTCCATCTAAAATAGAAATCAAGTTGAAGAAACAAGATGGGATTAGATGGAATGTCTTGGAAGGAAACCCAGTCGAACAAAGCTTACCGCAACCTATACCTCAAGGTAAACTAGACTGTGTATTGTGGCTACACTTGTGTAATGTTTCCTGTAAATTATAACATCGAAACAAAATTATATTTTTTAAAGAAATTCTACAAGCTGGTAATCAACCACCAAAATATCCTACTTCTTGTAAGAAGCCACGCGATTGGAATAAGATGGAAATGGAAATTAAAAAACAAGAAGCAGAAGAAAAACCAGAAGGAGAAGCTGCTTTAAATGCATTGTTTCAACAAATATATGGCAACAGCTCGGATGAAGTTAAGCGTGCGATGAATAAATCTTTTGTAAGTAGTTTAATTTTAATTGGATTTGATAGAACTGAAAGTTTGACAAGAACTATTAATGTTATAATCTTTCTAAAAATAGCAAGAGTCTGGTGGTACAGTCTTAAGTACTAACTGGTCCGAAGTAGGCAAAGGGAAAGTTGAAAGCAAACCACCAGATGGTATGGAATGGAAGCCTTGGAATGTGTAAACCAATTAACATAACTGTTATTTAAATTACTTATTACTTAACAAAATAATTTGATTTTATTTTTAATAAAACTATTTCGTATATGTTTGCAGTACAAATATGTAACTCATATCTTCTACACTGCAGGTATTCCATTGTCTATCAAAAGGTTAATTAGTTAAATAATTATCAGTTTATCAAATACATGAGCATATTTTTTTGGTATATTGTAATCTTTGTTCTTTACACAAAGTTAAAAAAAAGTCACATATAATAAATGCAACTAAATTTTTTGTAAAATTATTTAAGTTGTATGCAAATGTATTGTCCAGTTCAATGAGAAAGAACTCGACAAAAATACAATAACTATACACTTGGCAGGTATTACTTCACTGACCCGCCCACTACTAAATTTCAATGTAAATTATTATATCATTTCATCCTGTTATAGCTCTGATTATGTATACACCAACAATACATAATCCCAATATAACATAACCTTGTGATATATGGTTGGAAAGGATTTTATCTGATTCGTCAATGGCTAAATTTGTATCTTGTTTCGTGTTATTTCTATTCTCAACAAGCTGAGAAATCCATGCATTCATATTACGTTCTAGTGACTGAAAATTACTTTGAAGAGCACTTTCATTACTTCTTTGTGCTTCTGCTATAACATTTCTGACATTTGCTATTCTTTTATTATTGTATATCATTGAACCAGCTAATGATACAATTGCTAATATAGCAGATGCAAGTATAGACAAATATTTATACTTCTGTGCATTCATTGTCTGGCTATCGTGATATTCTTTTATAGCTGTTGCTAATTGGGTGAAATGATCTTTTTCATCATTTTCCAATAAATTAAGCTGCGATACGATTCTTGTATGTTCTTGTAAACTTTTGTTTTCTATAATTGTCAGCTGCACATATTTTGGATCGTCTCGTTTAGTCTGAATCAATTCTGAGTACACTTCCTTTAATTTATCATTTATTATTGTTGCTTGACGATTCAGTTTCCTCCTTTCATCTTGACACTTGAATAATTTGTCCTGTGCTGAAATTACTTGATGCTTAGCAAGCTCGACTGAATCCAAACCTGTTAATTGCTGATACCATTGCATCCATTTAACTACTTTTTTTGGCAATGGACTTGGCTCTAGTTTTGCTGCATTTAAATTTTGTATTATCATCATATCCTTAGAGACTTGCTAAAATAAATAAAACAAATTTAAAGTATTATCACCCATATTATGTATAATTATTTACGAAATAGTAGAATAGAAAATTTGTTACGAATTGTAATCGCTAAATTTTTATTAAATTAAGCATATAAAAGTATATAAAAGGATTTAAAAATAATACAATACCTTTGCAACAACATCGTACTTTGAAGCAACTACATTTTGTATATTACTTAACTTTTCTTGTGCTCTTTCAGTAACATTATTGATTGTTAAAGTTGCATTATTAAACAACCGGTATTTGTTTATTTCGTTTGCTATAACCCTTATTAGCGATCGAAATTTTTCTGCCATTGTACATATATATATATATTTGAATCATATAAAAACTAATAGAATCTAAATCAGTGATTTTATTCAGATATTACAGTGTGTAGAACATCTCTTAAGAAGTATTATTGATAGTAAAATAACAGTGAAAAAGTCATTATTGTTAAATAAAACATTTCGGGGAAAGACACCAATTAAATGAATATGTATGTACACTATAAATTAAATACGACAAACTTTAAATTTTCATCTAAAACATTTTCCATAGATACTACAACAATGTTATCTATAATTCTTTCATAAAAATGTAATATTACTTATAATATGATCCAAAACTAGGTAAAGGCATGTTTTCAACGGTTACTTAGTCACAGATCACACTGTGATCATCACAGCCGACAACATGTAATTTTCAAATTACATTTCAATAACAGATTTTTCCAAGTCAACATTCAGGCGAGTAAAGCTACGAGAAAAAGTTTGTTTACAAATAAATCCAAAATTAATACTCATTATTCGTGAATAAAATTTACTCAACACTGCTGACAGATGGCAGATTGGTAGCAAACTCAAAATTTTATCATGGATTGCCGTGGACTATGCCTTATGGCGTCACAATAGCGGGTTTACCGCTCTGTTCTAGCCATTAAACAGTTGGCCATTATTAGCAGCAAGATTGTAACGATAAAATCATAATCAAATAAGAGGACAGATTGCTAATGGATCTGTCGTTTCGCGCCATTTAATTTGGCGCCAATCTGCCCTGTCCCTGTATCAACAAATTGCTTACTAGGTATACGATCCATGTTTTATTCTAAGATTTAGAAAATATTTAACTTGAATGGAGTTATGTTCTTTTAAAATGGGCGTTTAAAATGTCATAAGGTATATGCATTTGCATTTTGCCGCAAATTTCATTGCTTTCATGCCTTATGTATCTGTTTCAAACAAATGGCATTAGTAATAGACCATTGTAAGATGGCGGGAGGATATCCTAGAGATCGTTTTCCTTCGTATTTTGAACTTAAATTACACTTTTGCCTATAAGTTTACTCTTTGAACTGCTCCTCAAATCCGTGTTTTTTTCAGTCGTATTGGGTGAAACCATACTAACTCTGTTCACCATCGTTTACACCGAGTGAATGATACTTTATACGCGTACCAAATATACGATATGTAAACTAGGTCACAGACATTGGAAGTGATTAAAGCCTCATATGGCTCGAGGTCAATTTCGAGGTTCGTCTTGTTTTCGTTAGACAATTCTCATTAATATGTTACATATACATTTATAGGCATAAAATACAAATTTTAAACGTTTCATTTGTTATTAAAATTGTAGTCTTGGCATTTGTACAATCTCTCCGATCGACAACTATTTATTTGTTAAACTTTTAATTTTATATTTAGAATCCTCACCTTTATAAATTTCATGTCGATCGAAGAGATGTACATACTATTCGGAAGTATGTACATATATCGATATAAACGTGATGGGTACTACGGGGAGAGCGAATGGACACGAAACATGAAGTAGATTTCGATAAAAGATCAAGATCATCTTCATCTTTTACGAGACTAAAACTTTGATTTTAGACAATTGTAAACCACATATTCTATAAAATTTGCAGCTGACTAGAAACTGTCTGAAACATTTTTTCGTCTGACTATCGAAAGTGTTTGAAAGATCATGGCGATATGTATACCTACCCCTTTATAAATATCACTTTGAATATTTATTAATTCATTTATTATGTAATGTCACGTGAACGACATGCAGCAGGTAATTCCTTATTAAAAAATATTTAAAACACATAGGCTAACTTTATTTCATTTCAAGTTTCGTTTTCAAGAAAATCGAGTTTGAAGATTCGCTTCGTGAAAATTTGATGGAGATATCTTTAGCCGGTATATTTTAACGATTTTTCATAACGACTGGCGATCTGACGAAAGCATACATTATGTAATAATGCAAATGCATGAATCGTGTAAGAACAGGCCTCGCTTTCAGCGTGAAAGTTTCAGGACACGCTCCAAAGTTCAGACGATTGGTCATGCCATACACGAGGTCAATTAGTTATTATTTATCTATAGGCGATTACTATTAAATATGAGGTATTGAATGTTATATCTTGTCGTTTAATAAACTTCATTTCGTCACGGTAATTGCAGTTCAGTGCACTTCCGCATCAAGTAAGTTCGCGGTAACGGTATGTCGGAAATGCAATTAGAAAGTTACCGTCTCTCGTAGAGTGTGTTCCGATATAATTGGAATCGACATGACAGATCCCTGTTGCTATAATCAGAAATTTACCGAAAGAGCAATTTGTCGTTTTAAAAACAATAGAATTTATAATGCAGACTCGGTGCATTGTCGAACAATTCATGTATCGTTTTATACAATTCTTAACGCACCAAATGTTTGCATTGTAAATTATATATTATACGTTAATACCTCTGTGATATTTATGGCAACTTCTAATAAAATTGTAACTAACTTTTTCTTTTTCGCTTTCAAAGTCGTTCACGTTTTTAAAATTGTCTTATTATAATGCTTTTTTCATTTTTTTATCATTTCATTAGGAAATAAGGTTTAAGGTCGCTCGATAACGCGAGCCAGCTAGCTAGAATCAAGATTTCTGCACCACTGACCACTGTCTGAGGTCTGAGTGTCTGCTTTAGTCAGTGACGAGCGGTCGGCGAGGTCGCACGGGTTCTCGCACTGCGCCGTGAGATTCTTTTATCTGCGTGCACGATCGCGAGCGTTGACGATCAGCATCGAGAGACCGAAGTTTAAAACAAACCAATTTTTTATCTAATCCACGTTAAATATCTTTAATCGATACATACAGCCTTGCCGGTTCGCGATCGGATTAATTCTCAAGTTCTCGTTGCGCAATTCTAAATTGATGTGTAGCTACGGCCAGGAAAATGGGACCAACAAAAGTATTTTATGGTATCAAATGAACAGCAATAAACAGTGACAGGAGAAGTGTCATTCTGAGATTTTTGCTGTATGCAACAATTACAACAACATTGACGTTTCCGTGATCAAAGAGTCGACTCTCGGAAGAAACTGTTTGTTGATTCCCGAAGAATGCCTTCTCAACTGAGCAAATTCTTTATAAATGCATCCTGCAGAGAATATGCGCATCCTTGGACAGATGATTGTATCAGTACAACAGCCGGTCTCGGTCTGCATGCCCTTCAAGAGAGCCTCAGGATATACTCTACTGTTTACGTAGTATGTTTACAGTTTCTTTTTTCTTTATTTTTCTTTCTTTCTTTTTTTTTTATACTTTGTTCTCGATACAAAAATGTAACGATTATAGAAATTATCTCGCACGGATAAATACGCAAACTTTCCTATAGTAGAAACGTATTTCAAAATACCTTTTCATTATTGTTTTCCATCTAAAATTACTCGTAACGCAAGGGAAACTATTCAAACGTATGCTAGTGTCGTAGTGCTTACGATTAGTCGAATAATGATTTATGATGGTCGTTTGGCAAATAACATTTCACATCTGGTATCGACGGATTTTTTAGGGGAATGGTTTGTCAATCTTTTAATTTAAAAATGACTTATAGTTTTTTTTATGAACAAATCCTGTATTAAACTAAAACACCGTGATATTCATCTCATGAATCTCGTACGATTTCTGTTTCCTTTAATATTTTACGTTTATATTTTTAGGTTACGTTTTTAATGAGAAGAAAGATGCCAACGAAAAAGGATGTCGAAAAAACAATATCGGGTATTTTACAGTCAACCGCTTTTCTCTCGTGGAGTGCCTTTTCGTATTCTATGTTTATTTGTAGCCTGAGGTGTGTTAAAATTAATTCTAATTTTATTCACATGACTTGCAAACAAGTTATTTGCCACTCAAAGAGTACATGTTAAATTGTTTTTATAAAACTGTATTAATACCCTTGATTTGAAAAATCAATTCAGTACTTACAAAGAGAATTTATAAGCGTGGAAATTGTTTTTAAGATCGGGTATAATTTATGGTATTAATATTAAACGATAAGAACCTCGTATAGTTCATTAAAATGGGTTTTTGTTATTGAGAAATTTCATTTTAAAGTTTTATTATAAGTATAAGCAATGTTAAACTTGGACACTTTGCTAGGTGTATGTAGACTTTCGATGATATTTATATTTCTGCACCAGTCTTTAAAAACATGATTTTGCATGGTATGCAGCAGATAGATTTAACAGTTTATTTATTATATCCGTTTGATGCAATCATATTTTTCGTTACAATATGCTCATGTGTTTATTTAAAACCTTATATTTCAGACGAATACTTGGGAGTTTTAATGTGCTGACTGTATCATTTCTACCATCGTTCCTGTCTAGTTTGATGGCTATTCTTATTGAAAGACCATCTCGACGTACTCTACTATGTTTATACGTATCTAACATTGTGAGTAGATTAGTTCTAATTCCATAATTCCTCATCATGGTAATATCATAATGAAAATCTACATTACTTCAGAAATATGTTAATTATCGCATTCCTTATTAGGCAACAGAAACTCTGTTCAGAATGGGACAAGCCAGGGGATATTATTCTTCGATTCCAAAGGGCGAAACGTACATTTTTGCTGTAAGCACGGCAGTGTTACTTTACTTTCTTCGATCCAAAACAAATAAACAAGATTCCGTATATAAAATACTTAGGTATTTACTCTTATTTTATGGTATTTGCGTTAATTATGAAATTGCCAACAGTTTTAAATATGTGTAAATTCTTTATTAGATTTGTCGTTGGAAAATACGAGGAGACTGAATCCCTTCAAGAGAACTACCCACAAGCTAATATATTACAGAGTTCTGCTACTAAATGCAATAAAGAAAGTTTAAAACAGAAACGTGATAAAACTAACAAACTTTGTAAAGAGAATATATTCATGAAATCCCTTGCAGTTTATAAGAGGATTATCGAAGCAATAAAAGGTCTGGGCAAACATGTGTCCTGTCCACATCCTCACGGTTGTGCTTATTATATATTAATGGTATTTATGTATATAAATAAATATCAAACAGGAATTTATACAAAATTTTAAATTTTAAATGTTTATTAATGATATTTTTATTTACAGGGCAGTGTAAAACTTTTTGGCTATGGTTTAAGTGCTCAGTTATTGCTTAATTTAATCTTTCAAATTAAGAAGTTACTTAAAAAACCACAATTAATAAAATCTATAATCTTAAAGAAAAACAACTTCAATTTGGCTGTGTTTTTAGGAGGTTTTTCAGGACTTTATAGGGTACTGTTATATTCTGTATCTTTGTATCATTATTTCCGTGTGTTTTATTACAACAGTTTTTATTTCAGCTAGTATCTTGTTCGTTAAGGAGATTTTTACAAAAAGATTCTTCCTATTATGCTATTCCTGCAGGATTTATAGGTGGTCTAGCATTTTCGTCTTACAATAATAGTACCGTAGCTTTGTACTTTATGTGGAAAGCATTACAGGTATCTCTTACAGATAGTTTTCTAATTCATATGTTTGATACTTTTATTCCATGTGCAAAATTTTCCTTTATCATATGAAAATTTCTCTTCAGTTGTTGTGGAATGATCTCGTGGAAAGGAAAATTGTACCTGAAGTAAAGGGATTTGTAATTTTATTATATTGCTTTAGTACGGCGGTACTCTTTCATGTAGCCATTCTTGAACCACAACTTTTACGACCGTCTTATTGGAAGTTTTTGTGCAATATATCCGGTGACAGGTAATTATTATAAACGTATTAAGAAACAGCATCACTTTTAGAACGGAAAAGATGCGCAGATCACAAATTCGTTTTCTTATCGAGTGGGCATTATACAACAAGGCCTCACTGATACACAGTAAAAGTAAAAAATAATAAGATACAATTTTATGGTTTTATCAACGTTTTTTTATAAAATTGCAGAATAGCGGTAATGTCTCGAATACCATTGGATCAGTTTGGTTTCCACTCGACTAAATATCTTGCAGAAGTGCTCAGGAAAACCAACACTACTAATAAGAAAGTCTACTCATTTTAATTAGAATTGGAAAGAAGGTATATTGTATTTTGTTTGTGTATAGATATGTTTGTTGTTTATATATGTTGAAAACATACAACCAAAGAAACAAACGGTGTCATAAATTTTACGATACTTGGACGAATTTTATTCAATTGGTTGAAATTTGTTAAAACTAATTTGTGTACCAAATGTTCAATCTATGATACGATGGGTGTACCAGGGATGCCAAGATTTTATATACATATTGTGATAAACAAAAATTTTTATTCTTTAATATAGCAATGTTGGAAATATATATTTCGACGAATTTAATTTGTGATTTTTATACATTTATAGTATGTATATACATAGTATATACCAGATGAGAAACTTACTTAAAACAAGTGGGTTCTATGGAATAATAGTGTATAAATTGTATTATGCTGTAGATATCTGTAAAAGCATGTACATACAGATTCATGTATAAAATTACATTTGATATTTGCAACATTGAGAAATGTATATTTATTAGTTAAAAGTAGACAATAAGTAGTTGAAGAATTTTTTATATTAGTACATTTTGATAGAATTATATAATTTATTTATTAAATTATAAGAATACATCGTTGAATTACTTGTTTGTTGTTTTCACATTTCCTACGAACATTTATAAATAAAATATTTGAATAGAAATTTAATGTATTATTTTTGTTTTTTGGCAGTCTCTAATGCTCTATTTATTATAATGTCTGCATTCCTTCGTTCGTATTTCCGTTTCGAACGTTTCTTTTTCCTCAGGACATTGTTCCAATTAATTTTACTTTTCATTTTCAAATCTTTACTATCTATAATTCCAGGAGTAATTTCAGACTCCAAAGCTAAAACATTGTATTTCTGTGATATTTTCTTAAGAGGATTTAAAACTTGCATGGAATCAATTTGCCAAGGAAGTAAACCAATTGGACAATTCACCCAATGATAATTCGCTAAAAAAAATTTCAATTTTCGTATCATATTCATGGTAAATATTTTTATTAAATAAAAACGTAATTTTATGTACTCACTAGACGGTAATTTCCAACATTGAGTTCGAACCTTTTCATCGCTTAAAAAATGAGACGTTGTACCTTTAGATTTGTTCTGTTCGTTATCTAAATCTAGGATACGATCATGTTGATTACAAATATCTTTAAGAGTAAAAATGTTTTGATACTGAGTGAAATTTTCATCGTTTGTTGTATTTCCTGTCACGCTAATGTTGATTAAATTTAATAATAATTGTTTTCTTTCTTCGTCTAGTTTTGGACTTGTTAACTCTAACATGGGTAGAATGAATTTCATAGACAACTCGTTTGCGTTTAATATAAATTTTAAAACAAAATTTACGTCGGTTAGACAAGGTAACACTACGCTCGATAAATTAAACCAGAAAACATCTTTCAGGTGTGGATAAGTATGATCCGTTTCTTCCTTCACTTTAAGTTGAAAAGTTTTTGGTGGTAATCTTTTTTCTGCGACTTGTAACTCGTATTCCAATGTTCGAGCTATACAATGGGCGGCATCTAATTTCACAAAACTATAACATATAGAACTTATCCATAAAGAAGCTAATAGTTTTCTATCTTTAGTTACTTGTTCATTATTCATTAAATTTAGTAATTCTAGAATTATGGTTTCCATCATTTCCTTTTCATATAATAAAAATATAATATCTTTCCAAAATGATATCATGTCTAACGGTAAGATATGATTTTCCAAGTCAGTTACAGTTGTTTCCTTTTGAACGAAAATCTGCAAAATATCTTTGCTTGGTAAAAAAGCTTCCGAATTGAGAAGCGCATTGTAAACTATATCCTTCTTATTGGGGATGGATTTTTTATTAAGATATCTAGAGATTTCGGACAGAAGAATAACTTTTGCGGTCACTAATTTGTATTTTTTGTCCTTTTTTATACCATCGGTAGCATCTTGTCTATAATTATCTTTATCGTTTTCTATGTTTTCGTTATTTTGTTCCAGCAAGGAGCTGGCGTACAAATGCAGATCTTGTAACGTTTCCCTAATAAAAAAATCAATTTGTCATTATAAATGTATTGTAATTAATTTGTTGCAGTTGAAATTTATATGTACTTGAGTCGAGGATCTGGAATATCCGATACTAAATTGTATCCCGCATGAATATACAAATTAACAGCGGTCCAAAGTTCAATCAAGTCACTAAATTCTTGTATCTCTTCAGTTTCTTCGACTTCCTTTACAGACTCGCCAGTGACCATAGATTGTTCCATTCTTTTAACTTCGGTTGCCCAATATTCTTCCTTTAAACATAACATTTAATACAATCGATAGATTATATGGAAACAAGAAATTATATTCAAAATCATTGCACAGATAGGAAGTTTGTACATAGCTAAAAAAATAAATACTTACATGCAACCAAGTTAATAATATATTTATAGCTATTCTCAATACACCTATGGATGGCAATTGGTGTCCATGAGCAGTATCGTGCCTCAAATTCACTATCCATTCTGGGATATTTAGCTGTTTGGCAATTTGAAACAGGGATGTGTGCTTTGTGTGTCCTAAGTTAGATATATGATTTAAAAATCTCATTATGGTGGTGGAGTACATCAGGGACAAATCATTTTCATAACTAATCGGCAACTCCCCATTGTTAATCTTGGGTGACCATTCACGATCTCTAAGACACACTTGCACGATCGAAAGTGTACAATCGACTCCTAATGGTAATTTTGGCATCCTAAAATTCATTCTGTTAGTTTACCTTATGTTTCACAATGTATTATAAACTCAAAATAAAGATGAAATATTACTTTACCTTGCTTTCCATGCAAGCAACGTATCGCATGCTTTGGTTTGCTCAACCGTGTCGTTCGAATAAATTTGTTTATACACTTCATACCATTCGGTTCTATAGAATGTAAATTGAACTTTTAAATGAAAATCATACGACACGTTACTGATCATAAGTATAATGACACTTGCTTGTAATGCTCACAATAATTGAACCAATGTGTTCAAATGTCTCTTCACGCTTTGAGTATAATGACCAAGTGAAAATGGTTATTTCCGAAAATAATTCATAAAAAGGCATTAGAGAAACCATAATTTAGGAATGTGAAACGTATGGAGAGTTTTAATCTTCGAAATGATCCCATGAAGGTTATTCTACCTACGATTACTTTCTACGAAATTAAGTGTCATAATATTTATGATCGATAGTCTGTGAACATTATTACAGAATTATTCTTGTACTTACAGTGAAAACCATGGAACTTGTTTCATACATTCCTCTTTCACAGAAAACACCATACTTACTCACGTGCAATCACAAACTTGATAAACTTTTCGACTAAATGTTTGGACGCGTCGATGTGTCTGTAGCACAATGTAGCAGGCCTTCCTTAATTCCTTAATTTTTATAAATTCTAAAGTTAAAAATATTATTCGAATTTAATTAAGTCCTTCAATCACTTCTCTAAACATTATTTCATGTAATTAATAAGTTATAAACAATTTATTTCAATATTGCGCAAAAATCTGCAAACAAACAGTATCGCCATCTAATATCAGGAATTCTAACTGCTAAAGTGCATATATATATATACGAGCTCACGTACTTACGTGAATGACCTATAGTTGTGTTAAAATCTGCAAAGAAACAGTATCGCCATCTACTATCAGGGTTTCGAAGTCAAAAAATCGTCCCAGGATCACAGAATGTTAGTGGAGGTATCCGGAGTACAGCTACCCCCACTCCTCCTACTCCTAATACGCAGTACCTTGATTATTCGTTAATTACTCCTTTCCTGGGATTAAAATAGGAACTTTTAGAATCGAAGAATGTAGTATAGACCCTTGGCTAAATTCAAGGATAGTTTTTAGAACCATTCCGCTAGTAATTAAGACGTTATTAACAAATATCGTAAGTCGGAACATTTACGGCTGTATCACCGTCTGCTTTAATCGATGAATTATCGAATTTTCAACTATAACACCCATATTCTGGCTATTAAGGAACCAAGTAGACATCTCTGGCAACATTCAAGGACCGATTTTGTAGCGCTCCATGCTCTAATTAATTAGTTATTAGCGATAAATGTCTAAGGTGTCACGTGAAAAAAGTTAGAAACCGTGGGACGACTTCCGATATTCGTTAATAACTATTTAATGAGGCATAGCATGGTCCTAAAAACTATCCTTGAATGTTGCCAAGGGTCTAGACTATATTCTTAAATTCTAAAAGTTCATAATTTGTACCCAGGAAAGGCGTAATTAGTAAATTAACGAGCAACAATTCATTACGAAGCCGAGAAGCCCATAGTACGCTGTTTTCGCCACTAGTTGGCGCCACCATCCAACAATCGATAATTCTCCGCTTGTCATGAATTACTGCTCGTTAATTTACTAATTACGCATTTCCTGGGAACAAATTATGAACTTTTAGAATTGGAGAATATAGTCTAGACCCTTGGCTAGATTCAAGGATAGTTTTTAGAACCACGCTATGCCTCATTAAATAGTTATTAACGAATATCGGAAGTCGGGACACTGTTTTTCACATTTTAACGGGACACCTTGGGGATCTATCGCTAATAACTAATTAACTAGAGCATGGAGCGCTACGAAATCGGTCCTTGAATGTTGCCAGGGATGTCGACTTGGTTCTCTAATAGCCAAAATATGGGTATTATAGTTGAAAAATGGATAATTCATCGATTAAAGCAGACGGTGATACAGCCGTAAATGTTCCGACTTACGATATTCGTTAATAACATCTTAATTACTAGCAGAATGGTTCTAAAAACTATCCTTGAATCAAGCCAAGGGTCTATACTACATTTTTCGATTCTAAAAGTTCATATTTTAATCCCAGAAAAGGAGTTATTAATGAATAATCAAGGTAGTGCGTATCAAGAGTAGGAGGAGTGGGGGTAGCTGTACTCCGGATACCTCCACTAACATTCTGTGATCCTGGGACGATTTTTTGACTTCGAAACACTGATATTAGATGGCGACACTGTTTCTTTGCAGATTTTAACACAACTATAGGTCATTCACGTACGTGAGCTCGTATATATATATATGCACTTTAGCAGTTAGAATTCCTGATATTAGATGGCGATACTGTTTGTTTGCAGATTTTTGCGCAATACATTGAAATAAATTGTTTATAACTTATTAATTACATGAAATAATGTATAGAGAAGTGGTTAAAGGACTTAATTAAATTCGAATAATATTTTTAACTTTAGAATTTATAAAAATTAAGGAATTATTGGGATAGGTAGGGGATAATTTAAATAAAAAGCGTGGAATATATGTACTGTGATTTTTATTTTTCATCGATATAAATATAAGGAATGTTTTACACATTTCTAACTTTGTTAAATAAAAATAAGCGTCGACATCTTGATAGCATGTTTTATAAATAAATTAAATTGGTGAATAATATATAATAATTCCGCCAGTAATTAAGACGTTATTAACGAATATCGGAAGTCGGAACATTTATGGCTGTATCACCGTCTGTTTTGATCGATGAATTATCAACTTTTCAACCATAATACCCATATTTTGGCTATTAGAGAATCAAGTAGACATCCCTGGTAACATTCAAGGACCGATTTTGCAACGGTCCATGTTCTAATTAATTAGTTATTAGCAATTGTTCCTTGAGGTGTTGCATAAAACAGTGTCCCGACTTCCGATATTCGTTAATAACTTGTTAATTAGGTACAGGCGGAATGGTTCTAAAAAGTATCCTTGAATGTTGGCAAGGGTCTATCTGCCAAGTGGAATGATGAGCATCGAAGGCTTCGTCTTCACTTTCGCACACTATGTGTAAAATATTCTTTATGATTATGTTATGAAAATGTGTACTATGGTTTTGAGATATAGATAAATACTATTTTAGTCGTGGTGTGCAAAAGTGGAATGACAAGTTCCCAGTGCACCTAGTGCTCGATCTGGAAACACTAACCGAAAACACAGCAGACCAATGAAATTCGGTTTCAATCACATGGTTGTACAATTTATGCGAGTTTTTCGTCTCGCTAGATCAAGTACAGAAACTAATAGAACCCAATTTGAATAATTGACGTATCGAAAAATTCACGTATAGAGACGTTTTAAAAGTTGAGTAATAACCGAACATAGTTGATGCATAAAAGTTACGTTTACTTTTTAAATAGGTGGTGTTGGACCGTTCATGTTCGGTCAGGTATTTTATAATTCATCTTTTCAGTTATTATCTACTTATTCGTGATCGAAACTTGGTTGATCAGAGAGTAGTCATAGTCACGAAAGTAGTGATATTGAACTCTCTACGTTTTCTAGTGTGTACAGTTAGGTTTGATTTGCTCTCTGATTTCTAACAACTATTCTGCGAAAATTTCTGACATGTTAATCGAGACCCGAAACGAATTATTGAAATAAAATAATACAAATGCATCATGGCTGATTCATCTTACGAAAAAGGGCTCACGGAACTTTCAAAAATGAAGGTAATCTATGTACATTTTGTTGATATATTAAACACCCGGAAAATTAACCTTAAAATTTGGCGAAAAAGCTTTTCTATTCACGGCCTAAAACAACTTCATTCATATGTTATACATATAAATATTCGTAAATAATTGATGCTTTAAATTTGTCGTGCCTTGTAGGAATTGTATATTTTATTAAGGTTCTAGAATAATATTTTAATAGAATTGAACACGAGTGTTATTAAATAGGTTGCAGACTTGAAAATTGAATTAAAACAAAGAGGTCTTCCTACAACTGGTAACAAAAATGAGCTGGTGGAGAGGCTTCAGCTAGCAATACATGGTGGTATATGTTTTTGAATTAGTTTTTAAGTACATATTTTTCCCTGTAGAAAGTAAATATTGATAGAACTGTGATTTTCATTGTCAGATTCTGCATTATCTTTGGACGAAACGGCAGAAGAAATTTTAGACGAAGATGCTGTTCTTGGCGTAAGTATTTAAGATAAACTGTTAATTTGAATTTGCTAAAAAGAAAAATAATATGTAACAATGCTCGTGATAGTTTAATATAAATTTAATATAGCATTAATGATGTAACCGTGGAGAATATTTCTGTTTACGTAGGATGAAGAAATAGAAGAGCTATCCAGTAAACCAGATTCGCAAGAAGCAAATGAAAAAAGAAAATTATCTACAGAGAGTAATATGAGTGCAAAAAAGATAGTTCTAAATCGTAAACCAGTGATCGAAGAAATTAAAAATGACCTGATAGAAAAAATTGAAACCGATACAAAACCGACCGAAACGGCACCACCGGAAAGAAAAATTATTAAATTATCAGAGCTTGGTATCAAAGAGGTAATAATTAATATTTTATTTTAGGGTATACAGATTGAAAACGGAAGATAATACATTAATGAAATTTATGTTATTTAAACAGAGACTAGAAATGAGGGCCAAGAAATTTGGATTACCGCTATCGGAGGCTGCTAGAAAGGAAGTTAGATCCGCAAGATTCAGTATTAATAATCAAAACAACAAGTCGGCTGCTTCTGTAAAAACACCTGTGGTATATATTTTTGTTTTATTATAATTGAAACATTGTGTACATGCTTTAGACGTGCATAATTTATTATATGCATTTGCAGCATACTACGTACGATGTTTTAAAGAAACGGGCAGAAAGATTCGGCACATCTGTTTCTAATTTAATGGAAAAGGTATTAAATTGAATGAAATAGAAATGTTATAACGTCAAATTATATTTAAACACATACGTACTACATATACATATATATATATGTATGTATGTATGTATGTATGTATATATAACTCTCGTAATCGTACTTCGTTTCAGGCCGAATTGGAAGCCAGAATAGAAAAAAGGAAAGCCAGATTTGGTGAAGTGAAACCTTCTACTGAGAAAGTATTTCACAATAAAGTTAAAATTGTTAAATGATATTCAGTGTTATATACCAAAACAGCAACCTAGATTGCAAAACTTATTCAAAGTTTTCTTATTTTCATTACAATCATTGTATACATAATAAAAGATCATCGTATTTGTTATAAAATACTTTGCACAATGGATCCAAGATTTTTTTTCAGTGTAACATTATGCTGAATGTCTGTTCGAAGTATGTTTCACGTGCATTCGTTTTAAAAGAAATTGTGAAAATACTTTTATACTTATATTTAAGTTTACTTAAAACATTATATAATAATGAACAGATAACATGCAGTGTTATGATATTATTTTTCCTATTTATAATGGGAAAAATTAATGTTTTTAAGACGAGTTCAAATTTTCTGACATTCATTTTAAAATAAATAATTGACTGGAAAAAATGCATACTTGTAATATCATGGTTTCATATTACTACAAGGTAATACAATTGAAAACATAAATAAATAAAAATTGCTTCGACATTGACGCGCGTCAACAATCGAATGCTTTTAAGAGAGAGGAAAGCATCCTATGATATTATTTCAATATATTGAATTTTATTACAAAATGTTTGTATTTAGGCTACAACATGTAATATAATAATTGCGTTTGGTCTAGACCCTTATGAAAAGAAAAGCTAAACTGCACCACATTTACTGTTGTCTCGACAAGACACTTCGTCGGTTTACGTTTCAAGGAAACACTCGTAAATGCGAAAATGTTTGGTATACGTGCAAAAATTAACGCATCTCTTTTGAGTTATCATAGATCACGTTTGAAACGTTTATCGTTCGTTTTGAGATCGAATCACTGTGTTATATCACAAATATTTCGTACGAAATATATAAATTCCACTAAATGCGGACGTGCCGTGCATAAAAGCAATAAAAATATATACGATTGTACATACATACATCATCTGGAAAAATCCAAGTCGCGTATATTTTATTTTCTGTTTTTAGTTTTTATTCAGCGGGATTAAAAGTCTGTTAAAAAACGAGTCTTCGGACATATCGAACAATTTTCAAGTTCCTTTGCACAAGTGTTCACGGTTTTTCTTCATTCTTTTTCTTTTTTCTTTGTTTTTTTTTTTTATCAAACAGATTAGATTTTAATATTGGTACGTGACAAAACACGAATCACACGAAAGAATACTTTATAGAAACTTATTCGATTCTAATCATCATTCGAACGTTCGATCGAACGAAGACATACGGGAATTCGTATTTTCCTTGAAGCGCACCCTAAGAACGAATGGTCCGAAGACACACGTTACAATTAAAGAAGACAATAGAGATTGTACATTAAACAGTATACAACCGAAATATATCGTATAGGTGTAAAAATAATAAAATTAGCAGTAGTAAACTCTCTATTACATTATACGACGTGTAATGGTGTATAATCGTTTAATTCGGTTATTAAACGTTCGACGAAGTAAAGGAAACTATCCCAAGCAGCTAATCCTACGATAATGTATTTTCTTCTTTTTATTTATATAACTTCTATTTATATTAGGTATGCACGTATGTGTGATAACTAAACAGATACACGATTTTTGTGGCGCAAAGACACTACCAGCTTTGCTGATAAATCAAAGAGCAGGAGGCTGTTGTATGATTAACGAAACTAAATAAACAAAAATAGTATTTCTATTTTTTCCCTTTGTAAATATATCTGTTCGTTATGTACACAATTGTATCTGTTCAGTGAATCACTCGATCGAATTGATTTCGTTTTCACCCATTTTTCGATCTTTAAGCATCATTAAAATTTCCTCGAAAGTTTAATATCCAAGGAAAGGATTCAACGAATAAATTTTTTCAAGCTGTGCTTTTAGGCACGAGCAATTCTGACCTTGCGTCAAGTCCATAATGACGTATAATAATACGACATATTCGTATAATATATCTTAATTAATTCTTTATACTTTATTACATATATAGTTCTGTGTGTATGCTGTATATATATATATATATATATATGCATTTACCTTTTCCTTAAAAACTTAAAAATATCTTTAAAAAGTCATTCGAAAACAAAAAGAAGTTATTATTTTTTGTCAATATGGTTGCACATGCCTAGAAAAATTATCATTCGCATGTAGATACATATATTTACGTATTTGTAATTGCACGCTATAATAGAATAAAAATTTTATCGTTTTTTAACTAGTTTTCGATTATCTACATGCTTGACATGTTAATTTTCGTTAAATTCCCCCCTCTCGACACCTCATTTTTAAAAAATTGGATTTGGCAGCCTCCTGTTCTCTAATATAACTATATATTCAATGTTTGTTTTTTTTTTTCTTTAATATAATTATCAAGTAAAATTTGTAAAATACAATATTATACTACCTATCATAATTTCTTAATCTTTTCTTTATAAATAATTATAGTAGTAGTCTTCACACCATTTGTTAATTTATTATAATCGGATGCCGTTTTCTTTTCGTTTTTTTTTTTTTTAAATTTAAATATTACATTTGTGCCCTTTGCACTAATTCAGTTTATAGTATTCTGCGTGACTGTGTGTTGTGTGTGTTTCTGTCTGCTGCTCTGTCTCTGTGTGTGTGTGTGTGTGCGCGTGTGCGCGCGCGTGGAGGGGGGTGCGCACGCGTGTGCCCTGTGTGTGTTTGTGTGTGTGTATATATATATATATAATACATGTAATATAATCTAAAGGACTTATTATATTTACATATATACATGTAACAACGGCGCATAGTCCGAATTTGTAAATAATTTTTTCCGATTATTACTAAGATCGACTTCATTAACAGCAAACGTTTATTCGGGAAAGGACATCTACACACCTACGACGGATTCGGATGTAACCGTGTACGAATTTCATTTGTGGATACTAATAGATTAATAGTTAAAATTCTGGTCAGATCTTTATGTAACTTTCCTCTAGCGTAACGCAACTTCTTGTTCTTCCTTTCTCATTTTGCGCTGCTACTAGCGTGTGGTCGTTTGCTTCATATAAATTTAATCAAACTCGAACTAATTACAAAAAGCTTATAACCCTTAAGAAATAGGCTCCATTGTTAGCGATATAGTATATTTCCCTTTTTTTTCTCGCTTGGCCAACCTTGGATTTGGTTTCGGCGGCTTTTTTCTTTTCTTTTCGTTTTTTAGTCTGAAAGTGCAAAGAATTCAAACAACTGTTTGCTTAAGAGGTCAAAGAGGAAGACGATTCTAATTCTACGCATTTCTTAAGATTTAAAACATTACAGTACGTATTAGTATAAAATAATGCTAGAACGTACATCGTTATCGTTATCTTTAATGTTACGCAAATACTCTTTCTTTCGTTATTTCAAACATTCCAATGCCCCGATATATACCTAGATTTTGTTTAAATTTACGGTTACATTACACGTAACTAAACTTCTTTTATGTTTCTCTTGTACTCGTTCCTCTCGAGCAAACGTTGCGATCTTACCTGGGCCGTTAAAATACGCCTTCGTAATTCAGCACATCCTACCTAACGATTCAGGGTTGGCCAAGATCTCATTCATGCTACGAATCAAGATCGTCCTCTCTCTGGCTACTAAAGTATGATACCAAACCACCGAATTCTCCGGAACCTTCCTCGTCGTATTGTTTACTTTCAGCGCCGGCATCGTTTGGATGCGCTTGCTGTTGAGGCGGCGGAGGCTGGGGAGGTGGTGGCGGTTGAATGGGCGGTTGATTGTCCGCAGGAGACGAAAAATGATCCGCGGGATACGGAGAGCCTTGGTACGCGGCTGCATCGTCTGCCGTGGACATCGGCGGAGGAGGTGGATAGGCACCGTAGTGATAGTTTGGCGGTGGAGGCGGATGATACGGGGAGAAATTGCCAGGCGGTCGATTAGGAGGTGGCGAGGGTTGTTGCATACTATGGTTAACCGGAGAAGCGTTTGTGAATGGTGGCATTTGATGCCTGGGACCCATTGGATTGTCTGTGAACCTGGACAAAGGGGGAGGCCCCCTGACATAAGGAGGAGGCGGAGGAGGCGTGGGACCACCTTTGGCCAGAGGACTTCCGGCAGCTGGTGGAATCATTGCGGGTCCGGGCCCGAGTGGAGAACTACGATCTCGATTGTTAATCGATATCGGTCCTCCGCCCGACGGTGACGGATCCATCGGATGATGAGACGTATGATAGAGTTGCGGACCAGATACTCGCATTCGCATGGGCGGAGTTCCTGATCTCACAGCTGCAAAGTGAGGCGGCATGGATGATTGACCCGCTTGTCTGTACGGCGAAGGAATCCTGCCGCGCGGTTGCATTTCGTAACCCGTTCTAGGTCCACCTATTATCGGACCTGTTGTGTTCGGTCCTCCAAAGTATTTGTGCCCCATCGCCGCGGCCGCAGCGGAGAACGATTGCGGACTACTTGATACGGGCTGAGATTGAAGCATTCTGGTAATAACGGAAGACTGTTGTTGATTGTTGGGTGGTAACGTTGGGTAAACGGCCTGCGAAGTCGGTGTCTGCGAAGATGGTGGTCCTTGCGTCGTAACGATACCGGCAGGTGGTGTGGACGGAGCCGATCCAGAGGTACTACTACCTGGTGTAGGAAGTACGTTAGGTATATCACCAGGTTTCATCTCCGGATTCGAGTCGGTGCCCATACCGATTAAACTAATATCGGCGACTGACTTCGCCGCCGCTTCCGCGGCTCTAGCTGCCTCCAGCGCAAGAGTTTTTTTACCTTTGCCGCGTCCTCTTCGTTTCGGTTTCATCGATGAACAGTCAGGACTGAAAAGTTGCCCATCCGGTCCTGTCATCATGGGGATGTGTCCTTCGCTCGATCTTTCCGCCTCGGGCGTCATGATGGTAGATATATTAGGAGTAATAGTAGGCGATATATTACTCGGTACGTTCTGCGGCACATTGACAGGTAGCGTAGTGGTGTTCAGGCTTGGAGCCCCGTCTCTGCGCATTTGTTCTGCAAGAATTTCAGCTTTACTCCGACGACCCCTTTTTTTTTTCTTTGGTACCTCTCCATCGATTCCTTCCGGTGCATTAGGGTCACGTTGCCTTTCAGCCGCCAATATTTCTAACGCCTTTAATCGCGCCTTCTCCAACTTTTTAGCTTCTCGTTCTTCTTTCTTCTTCTTTTTCGCTATTTCAATAGCTGCGAGCTCTAATTGTCGTCTACCATATTCTTCGTCTTCCATCATCATCTGTTCTAACTGTTCGTCATCCAAGTCGGCTAATTCACCGGGCCCGAGTCCTGTTAGGGAACCATCTGGAACATCCCCGGTAAATGAACCTGCTGCCGACATGGTCGTACCAGTCAATCCTACGTTTTCTGAAAGATTGTCATCAATTTTTGAATCTATCTCTCCTATAGGATTGTCAATGACGTTAGCCATGATATCCTTTTCCCCTTCTTGGTCATCTTTTTTATGAATTAGAGAACCAACCAAAAAGTTTTGCTTTCGTGCTTTATTCTTACTACCGGGTTTTGGACCAGGTTTTTTTCTCTGTTTTGGTGTTCCATCGCTTACCATTTTTCGTTTAGCTCCGGGACTTTTGCTTTTCCTCGATTTCCTACTTTTTGGCGATTTATTTTTTAATTTGTGACCATCCTTTTTCGGATTGTAAATGTCACCTGCAAGATACACGTTCAATGTTAGTATACTTGTACTCGATATTAACCGTTTGAGTCCCAAGTAACGCGATCGCGCCGATGCCGTTCCATGTCGAAAAGTGCCGACCCCAATAGATTCAACTGACGGTGCGCTTGGATCCTACTTGCAACAAAGTTTTCGTTATGTAATTATTTCAATTCATACGAGTCAAAGCATAACGTACGCGTATAGAGACCTTTCTGACATTTTCCACATATTAAAGTTTCATCTCTTAATGCGGTTAGTGATAAAGCAGTGCACGGTTAACTTTTACCAAATTTCGGACCCAACAGCGAAACTTACTCGATATAATACCGGCATGCTTGTTACGATACCGAAACCAAATATAATTAGTATAAATTAATCGAGACGCTGAGTGGAAGGGATTGATTGGGGGGATGAATTGTGGACAAGTTAATCGTGCATTATTGCATTGGTTTGGTACTTGCCAACCAAGAGAAGCATTATCGCGTCGCGTGACACTATTCGACACGGTTTTATTTATAAATTATCCCCGAGACTCAAACGGTTAATATGTTTTAAGAAATTACCTGAATCTGAACCTTTGTCAATATCCGCATTTACATCTTCGCCTTCGTTCACAATAAACTCATCCTCGCTTTCACCGGTTCTTCGCAATGCCTTTTTTAATTCCTAAGCGTTATAAAAGTATGTAGGGCTTTTACATAGTCGTGTTATATTATTTATTATTTAATTTATTACCTCTTCGCTATCCGTCGCGATTTCTTCTTGATAATTTATTTTTCTACCGCGAGTTCGTCTACTTAATATTTCCTCTTCTTCTGGTTTGTTTTCGTCTGGAAGGCCACCGTAAATAATCTAAAAGCGTAATTAAACTCTTAACGTCGGATTATATCAAGAAATAATTAAGTAAAAGTTACATACTTTTCTTCGAATGGTTGTGGTCTTCTTTGGTTTCACTGTACTTTCCTACAATAAATTAAGCGAAGTAATTTAAAAAATAAAAATCAAATGCAAACGTTGCGTTAAACTTACTTTCTTTTTTTTCTGCTGCCCTACTTCCACAGCGGCAGATATGTTAGGTATTTCTGTTTTCGTTTCATCCAATTTTAAATCTTTCATCTCGTTAATGGTCATGTTCTCGTTATCTTCATTTCTATTCTCAAGTTTGACATCCAATACTTGACCCATCACGGGTTCCTTGTCCTCTAATTCTGGCTGCGTTTCACATTGTCCTTCGATTCTTGATCCGTCATTCGATTCATCGTTTTCGCTTTGATTATCTGACTCGATGATACGTTTTCTCTTTTTTTTCTTTCTGCTTTTAGTTTTTGGTAATGTTTTATACCTAGACATCGGTATAGTTTTGCTTCTAAAATAAAATTTTGTTATGTCTATGATCTAATTTGTTTCTGTAACAATGAGGTATACGATATCTTACTTTTTCTTTCTTTGTCGCCATGAATTATCACTGTCTTCGTTATCCGAATCCCATGTAGATCGAGATTTTTTCCTTTTTGGCCTATCACTTTCTTCGCTATCATCATCGACTATAAAAAAATTATTCCATTATTTAAACATGTCTATATTATACATATTATAATAGAAACAAATGTACAGTTTTAAATTGTTTTATTATACTCACTAAAGTCTTCCTCGTAACGCATAGTTCGAGCTCTGGTACTTCTTCGTACCGATCGTGAATCTCCTTTTTTACCACGTCGTTTTGTATCAGCAAAAGTGCTTTCATCGGAAGATGTCAAATGATCGTCAAAATCTTCCTCCTCTTCTGAACTTGTGCCTTTAAAGTCTTCGTCGCTTTCTGGATCATCCTCGCTGCTTATATCAAGACTATTTAATTTACGGTGTTTCTTACGCGACAAGAATTTTTTTACTACTCGTTTATGATCTTCTTCCTCCGCGTCGATAACATCCTCTCCCTCAATTTTGTAGTCTTCGTCACTGTCCCTTTCCGATTTCTTCTCGATATTATCTTTGTTCTCTTGCATCATCTCTTCGCCGCTTAATATCTCATTTTTAAAATGAAGCTGGACACAAATTTTGATAAAACCATTTAAAATGCGAACGTGGTCGGTCCAGAAAGTACCTAATGAATAATATTACCTCAGCTTCTTCTTTTTTCGCGTTAACTATAGTTGCAATGTCTTTTCCTCTTCCTTGATTCCCAGCTCCCTGAACGGCTTCTACTTCGTCTTGAATAGCAGCATTAATCATTGCGTCGTAATCATTAAATTTGTATCTATTAGCAGATCGCCTTTCACGTAACTGGTACACAGGTTCACTCTCATCGCTGCTGGACGTTTCCGAACTCGAAGAAGAAGACGCAGACGAAGATTCTATAAAACAATTAATTATAATACATTGATGGTAATTCTCTAATAAATTAAATAATTTAATCAAGTATTATGAAAGATATAAGAATCACCGTTATCAGATTCTTGACTAGACGCCTTGGATCCTTTCTGACGTTGTGACTCGTTTTTGTGAAGAACATTATCTAGACTTATACCGACGAACGCTAATCTTTTTTTCCTTAAAACCTCATTTTCATGCCTTTTCGCCAACTGATCGTACGTTCTCAAACTTTCTCGTAATTTAGTCACAAGTAAATTCTGTAATTAACATTAGAGATTGTAAATTTTAAGTAGAATAATTGTTCGAACGTTGTATTAAGGCGACAGACTTACATGTTGACACGGAGGACAAAACCAATCACCTTCGGGTATGAGCATCAGCGCGGGTCTAAGGCAAGAGCAGTGCCAGCCTTTATCGCAAGAATCACATAGAAGTATCCATTCTGGATGATCTGCTTTGCTACATTTTTGACAAGCATATTCATCGTCCGCTTCTTCGACATCGCTTTGAGCTACGATTAAGCAAAATTTTATGGTTTTTTTTTTTTATTTAAATAAACACGTTGCGTACATTCACTTTGCAGGTGATCGTTTAATAAGTACCTTTCTGAGCAGTTCTGGCTCTCCTTAGTGGTTCAGATTCCTGATCTTTTTCAAGATCACTTTCTGGCGAGAACTCATGATCGCTCTTAAAAAGTAGAGATCCTTCGCTCTCCATTTCCTCTTCTTCGTCTTCTTCTTCGTCATTTTCATTATCTTCGTCGCTACTAGAACCTGAGGAACTCTGCCACGGATGTGCTTCGTTAAATTTAGCCAACATCTTCTTCTTTTTCCTCTTTCGACGTTTCCTTTTAGACTTTTTCTCCTTTTCTACTTCTTTTATTATGATCTCCTCTTCGCTTTCCATCTAAAAAAAGTTACAATCGTCGCGTAACATGTTATAATATACTACTTAAAAATTGGTAAAAAATGAAAATGTACTTTTTGTTTCTTGCGTTTCTTTTTCAAGTCCGCGGAATCTTTCTTGTCTTTCCGCTCGCTCAAACAAGTTTCTTCTTCGATTCTTCGTTTATCAGCTTCTTCCTTGATCTTTAATTGCGCTATTCTTCGAGACTGTCTAACAGGGGTTTCGTCCGGTGCTGCTCCCGAATGTACTTCGGCAATATCTCTTCCTACTTCGAGGCCCAAAACCATTTTTCCTATAAAAAGTTGATTGGTTGTAGAAGCTAAATAGAACGAAACCGTCGTTACTCGATACTTTAAACCCTCTGAACAAACAGATTCAACCCTTACTTTTCTTTCGTTTTTTTTGCGAAATCGGTGTCATATTCAAATTGACATCGTTATCAGGTGGTGTCCTATCAAGATGAATCTCGGGCGATACTTCATCGGGAACTTGATTACTCTGATATTGAAGATGTTTCGTTCGAGTCGAACGTGCATTTCCTCTGTAGCCACGCCTTCGTCTTCCTCTGGGACGCCCCCTTGTTTTTCTTTCAAATACGATCGAATGAGCAGTGCTTTGGTCATCGCTAGCATCCTTAAGTTCCTCTCGTTCGAATTTCGCGGTACTACATTTCACAGCCTCGTCCTCCGAGCTTATCGTCACCACGCGACTTTCCTCTACAGACTTCCGTAATTGTTTATCAGTGATACGTTTCCCGCGTAACTTTATTCTTTTACCTCCCATCATATCTGCGTCCTCCTGTTTTATTCCGACATCTTCCGAGTTGGACTCGTGAGAACTGTTACGCCGTTTACGCGATACTTTTGGAGACTCTGTAGAATCCAATTTCCATCCTTCGTAAATAAGCTCGGATACAGGTTTAACTCGTAAGCCTATTTTAGGTACAGATACGTCACTCTGCTCGGCATCGCCCAACTTTTTTAATGTATCCTCATCGGTACATGCCAAAGGATCAACTTCTTCGGAAGCAGTATTGAACAGAGTTTCGTTATTTGCTCCGATCGAGTCGTCCGACGACAAAGAAATTTCTTTTATCTCGATACTTTGAATTTCCGAGTTTTCTTTTTCCTTCGATACATTTTCAACATTGTTTTTTCCTTGAACTTTGTTCAATACGTTATCCGCCACTTTGGCAAATGTATTTGACTCGTCTTTCGTTAATTCCGTTACATCTGTATCGGAGAACCCGTCCTCGCTTACTTCAGCTTCGCTAACCGGCGCTTCCGCCGTTCCTTTAAAACTATCCAAATTTTTATCCAATTGCACTTTGGAACTTGTAAAATTTTCTAATAATTGATCATTAGATTCTATACACGGAGGTCTGGATTTTAATGGAGGAACATCTTTAATATCAGAGACTTCGCTTAATCTCTTATTACTAGCTTCTTTTTTCGTTTCGTTTTTTCCAACAGCTGATGATTCCGATGCTAGTTCTTGCGCGCTAAATATTACTTTACCGTCATTCACTACACTCGGAACATTTTCAGGGAGAGGTTCTACGGTTTTATTCAATATATGATGCGATTCGTTATGCTTTTCATGATTTTCTACGGTGTTCAAATTTTCTGACTTCTCCGACATAAAATTTACAAATTGTAAATTATCCATAGGCTTGAAATCTCCCGACATAGTTGAAATATTATTCTTATATATTTCCGATTTATTTATACCCGAGGATATATTGTCAAATTTCAGCGGTAACATGGTTATCGAGCGAACGGACGCATCGACGCGTTCTGGTAATTCTTTATTTTTATGAGTTTCTTCGTGCGTATTCATGTCGAATTTATTTTGTTTCTCGTTAAATTCGGAAAGTTCTTTTAATTTCTTATACGATTCCACATTCGAATGCCCCTCCGCGACATGTTTTATTTCTTCAGGTTTAATAAATTTAACATCATTATCCAAAGTTGCCACAAATTTTTCTTCCGCGAGAAGCTTTGAACGTTGTTCTTTGAAATTTGCATTAGCTATTTGATTGCTAACATCGTTGGGTTCAATGCCGTCTTTAGTTTGTAGAAGGATTCCAATTTTATGCAACGGTTTAGAATCACACCCTCTTTGTTCAGAAACCAAATTTTCCACTTTCTCTGCAATCGAAACCGACCATTTCTTTTCCTCTTCAATTTTCATGGCGTCTATTAAATTGTTTGTTTTGCTTAACGCAGAGTTCATACATTCTTTGTTTAATGGATTATTATATAGATTTTCAGGATCAGTTTCAGAAGGAACCGTCAAATCCGTGACAGTATTATTATCATCTGAATTATTAATAATTTTGCTTTCGTTTACCGATATTATCATGCCGCCGCATTTAACGTTTAAATCACGTTGAACAATAGTACAATTATGTTCTTCGCCAGCCGTTTCTTCCTTGTTACTAAATTGATTTTGTTTACGTTCAGCTTCTTCATTCGTCACTTTTCTAATATTATTTTTTTCTATCGATGAATCCGATTGTTGATAATCAAAGATCGGATTTTGTACTTTATTGGGCAACGTTTCCTCTTTCCTTGTAGTTGGTTCTTCAAGACTATCTCTTTCGATTGGCTCTTTACTATCCACAGTTTCTTCTAAATTACCAAAGTTCTTATTTTTAGTTTCGATTGATTCTGTTTCAACGGATTCGAAAACATCGTCGCTTCCATCGTTGGAATCACTGCTGTCGTCGTAATTGGGTACTAACGATTGCTTGATCTCGCTAATAGATTCTTGAGAATTTTCCGGACTTGCAACATTCGACCGATCCAATTTCGATTCTTCAACTTTTGCTTCGTCAATAATATCATTCTCTTCTTCAGGATTATTTGTTAAATCTTGCTTTTGATTTTCTTTGATATAACTTTTAACATTTTTGCACCGATTTCTATTATCATTTTCTCCAATTGTAGACTCTGTCTGCGTATCAAAAGATTTTTCCTCAATATCTACGATGTTCTCCGGTTTCTCCGTTTCAGGAACATCAAATGCATCGATTTCATTCTCTTCGCCAGAGAATGAACGTAATTCTGACAAAGTATCGCGAGCATTTTTATCCAGCGACAAAGATTCAGGGGAACGTATCTTTTCTTCGTGCAATTTAACAGGTTCCAATGAAATATTGTTAACGATCGTATCTTTATTCGATTCTTGATCAACACAGGAACTTTGGTTCTCCGGTATACAATCCGCAAATTCATTTCCAGCTTGAACAAAGTTAGATAAATTTATTCCTTTTGTAGTCTCAACAACATCAGATTTGGATGGTTTAAAATTATTTGTGTCAGGTACTATCTCTGGTAATACATTGTACATAGGACATTCATCTTTAAAAGACGATTTCTCAGAATGTGATTGCATTTTAACACCTTCGTGGAATGAAGTATCTTGAATGCAGACATCGTCTGAGCTACTTATTGTAGGAACTAATGCATCTTTGTTATACTGTTCGATTGATTCTGAACTAGTAACGGTAGAATTGTCCGCGAAATCTAATTCAGCATTAATATCAGGCACTGAGTTTTTGATAACGGAATCAACTAGTGTCTTTTCTTTCATTTCTTCGGAATCTCCTGAAACTTCGTCTTGCGTACCGACATCCGTTAACGCATCGATCCTTTCGCTATTTTTATCATAATTCACGCACATTGAATCCGCATCGGAACCAACTTGGTTTTTCATATTTTCATTGTCAGTGTCTATCGATCGTTCCTCTTGGCTATCGAATTCGGAAAAATTATCGTTTCTCTCGCTGTGCTTGCTACAAGTTTCAGCAGGCGAGCCGAATTCTTTTTCAGAAACATGTTCTATCTCTTTCTCTGCCGAACTATTCACTTCTTGATAAGTGGAACATTCTGTTTCGCTTCTATGATTCAATACGGAAAAGTTATTTTCATATTCTGTTTCCAACTGCGAACTTTGGATAAAAGATGATGAACACGAATTATTAACAGACACCAAATTTGTATTTAATTCAACCTTTTTAAGTATCGATGCATCGGTTTTATCTTCGGAACAGGAAATTGGAATTTCAACAGCTTTAACAGCATTATTTTCCAGATATGATTTTTCACTTTCCAGTTGTTCCTCGAACGTATTGCACTCTTCTTCTAATGATGCCTTATGTTGCACCGATTCAATAGGTAAGTTACATTGCGTTACAGATGATATTACAAGTATACCGTCTACCTTCATGTCTAAATCATCTTTACACGAATTATTCGTACTATGAAGTTGCGAAATTCTCTCCGATATTTCTCTCTCTTGCGGCTTCGAAAATTCATTTGTTGTATTTTCACTGCTAGAAGTAGGATCTTGTGTAATAACGGTACCGGAGGATTTTGAATTTAGTTTTGATTCCGAATTAGACAGAATTGTTTCTGCCGTTGCACAGTATTGTTCTACAGAATATTTCGAAGAAACTGTTTGTTCCCATGCGTTTGTAGTTGGTCCTTGAACATTTTCTATTTTATCTTTATTATTATCATTTTCACAGAGTGAACTGTTCGAGTTGGATGTATACGATTTGATTTTCAATGAATTATTATTTGTTTGTGTCACGTCAAAATCGTCCGATTTATAGGAAGTAATTATATCATCGACAGGTTTCGAGGAAGAAACGCATTCGTATTGCAACGTGTCTGATTTAGATTGTATAGTTGTTGAAACTGTATGATCGGATTGCGAGTCGGATAATTCTGACTTTGAGGTGTACGAAATACAATTAGGCCCAAAAAAAAATCTTGGCGGAGACGAGGCTGCCAAGTTACATTCATTGTCCACTTTCTCTAAAGTGTCCATGTCGCGCAAACCAATACTGTCCGAGTCGCAAATATTTTCCACAGTGTCCTTTTCATTCATCGAACATGTCGCGGTTGTTACCTCTGTACAAGAGTTAAAGGCTTCCGATGTGTCTGGTTGACATAAATACATGGACGAATCGCATTGCATGGAGGACACTTGTTTCTGTTCGGTGGAATTCTCTTCTGCACCTTTCTCTTCTGGATCTTCCGATTCCATACTCCTCTCTTGAAAGGTTGTATCTTCGGTATTTATAGAATTTCGGACAACCTTAACATCCTGGCCTCCTCTGGCGGAATTTTTGCATTCAGTTTCATTTTTCTTCGGTGATATGTCTCTTTCGTTTGATATGATACTACTGTCGCATTCCGTTTTTTCTCCTGGTTTTCCGACATCCCATCTTGATAACCTTTTCACGGAACTGCTGGAATTTTTAGGTATGATTTGAATACCCAACGTTGGTTTGAACTTGGGCTTTTCTTGCGTGGAGCCTACAAGTTGGCAATTATTCTTTACATTATCGCTAGATTGTGGGAAATTTCTGTTCAATTTTATGTTACTTTTATTCGCTACTAACGATCCCGTGGACACTTGATTCATAAGACTATCTTTAGTTACGTTTTTATTCAATGATAAAGATGAAGTGGCAGAGTCAGCTTCGTTTTTTGATTCGTTGCTTTCCTTATTGTCAGCCGGTGTTGTATCATCCCCAGGGTTACCTGTTTGACATTCTTCGCCAGATCCTTCCCCATAAAAAAAAATGATGGGTTCTTCTATCGCTTCGCCAAGAGCAGGATTTACTGAATCGCAGTCACTCCCGGATCCTTCACCTTGGACCATCATCATCGGTTCCTCGATAGCCTCGCCAACTTCATCTCTCCAGTTAGAAGCAATTATTGATCTTTTGTCCATAGTTCCTCTGATCGGTATTACATCGGCTCTTATTCTTTTTAACATATCTTGTTGCATATCGTCTACCTCTAACGAACGCTTCACCGGTGTCGTGTTCATCCTTAAAGCTGTTATTTTACTAGGATCTGGAAGTATTGCATAACTTGGTAATCTGTGATCTTCTTTACTAGGTATTCTCGCAGTGTTATGATACGGAGCAGACGACATGTCATAAGTAGGGAATGACATTTGTCTTTTACTTAAATCTGCTACCATTGCATGATTGCGCATCATCACAGCCCGTGCATCGTACGGTAAGTTCGTAATCTCTGGTTTATTTAACTTTTTCGTGCTAAGATCCATTTCTCTATGCTGAAAATCTTGCGTTCTGTAACCAGAAGAGGGTATGTCTATACTTTTATTAAATTTTCGACTAGATAAATCGATTCCGGAGAAATCCATGGGCTTATTTTGTTCGTTAGTGCCTTCCCAGCCTCTGGGCGATGTAGACAAATCCATACCTCTATGTCCTCTAAGTGCATTGGCTTTTTCCATTTGACTTCTTGCGTACAAATCTTGTGGTAATCTATCGTCGTCTCCATTTACTACGTTTCCCACAATACTTCCCGATTTCGCTAGATTTTCAGCAATTTTCTCCAACGATTTCATTGTGTTTGGTTTCTCATGTTTCTCAGATTGTATCCTCACAAGATTTGCAGCCAATTGATCTATTGGTTTCACAGATAATTTACAATGAGTTATTGGCATGTCTGTAGATGGAAAAGAATGATTACTTTTGTTAGGTAACTTTTCGAACGGTTTTGTAACTTTTTCCATTAAATCTTCGTGCTTTTTTGTTATATTCAACGCAGTACCGACGGATATTATACCAACTGTTTCCTTCTCTTCGTGCGTTTGTTTCATTTCAGAGGTATTTACCAACTTAAGAGGAGACGTAATAACAGGTGTTTCGATTGATTTAAGAGGTATTGCCTCTTCCGCGTCAACTTTTGAAGCATTCACTGTTGCATGTTCTTCAGATTTAAATATAGGTTTAGTATCAGATGCAACAGAACTAACTGTTGTTTCTTGAGATGTCTTTACTTCTTTTTCTTGGGATGGAATTGATTTCTTCTCCGACGATACATCAACTTTGCCATTTACAAGTTTTAGAGATGATACCGATACTGAGAGGGGCATCTCAACATAATTTGATTTTACCGTTTCTACTTTCATAGCCTCCTGGAAATCGTCCTCTTCGGTATTTTGTTTAAAACTTTCATCGTTTATTACATCCTGAGCCTCCATTTCTTCCTCAACGTTATCCGTTTCGTTACTGTCCTGCTCGTCTTCATCCTCAAAATCTCCACTATCTCCTTCCATCTTCTCTAGTTTTTTAATATCTGAAACTTGAATTTGAATACCATCTTCTTGCACAGTCTCTTCTTCCAGACTTGGCGACGTAATCTGCCCTGTATCGATAATAGGTTTTTCGGAAATTTCGAAACTATTGCTATCTTCATTGATTGGAAATGGCCCAACCTCTCCGTTCGATAAGGTATTTATAAGAGTAACAACACCTTCTCGATCCCTGGTATTAACAAAATGTTAACTAAGCATCTATATTTAAATATATTTAAAAGTAATTCAAACTTGTAGAATGTATGTAAATTAAAGACTTACTTGGCTACAAGTTCCCAATTTTCTTCATCTATATCTTCCTTATAAACCCTTATATTGCACTCTTCGTCAAGTTGACACCAATACGCCAAACCAGATTTATCTCTCCCCAATGGTTCCACACGTAACTCATTAGCTGCCACTTTATTTACTTCGTTTTTAAATTTTTGATTCAAGTCAAATTGTGTTTCCAAAAGTACCTGCAATAATAAAAATTTCACAAAATAAATTCAATTTGCAAATTATAACTTAAGCTTTACTTAATCTTTATCATTGCGAATTAATTAGTAGATCGGAGAACATAGTAAAGTAATAATATATATATATACTTTAAGTAAACGTAGCTTGACAGCAATGCGGGCTTTCTTGTAACCAAAACGTTCGAGTTCCCATCCATCTTGATTAGAGTACGTATGGCAAAACTTAACCAATGCTCGTTCCCACTTTTCTGGCGATACTGTTTTACGTGTTTTACGCAATAATTTTATGTGCAGATCTATCAATTGTTGTGGTACTACAATAAAAAAATTATTTGTAAATATAGATAAATCAATGTATGCGTAAAAGGTATCGAATGTTCATCTATAATGAAGTTAAATCTAAAATAAGGATACAATTTGCATTAATTTGCATTAAATTTGCACTATGCAAAAACGAAATGTATTCAAAAAAAAAAAAAAAAAAAAAAAGTGAGAGGTACAAAATTCGAAAATTTTATTTATTAATATAACATTTCGATTTACATACGACTAAAAATATAAATATCGATTAATGGTACATTGATAGATATCTTTCTTCGTTAAATAATGAGTTAAATGTTTCGTATAAAATATGAAAGTTCAAGTTCAAGGTATCCATCCGAAAACCTTGAACTCGATTATAAACTCGGGCCGCGAAAGCTTTGAATCTCAAAATATGAAAGTTTTTAAATATAATGAAAATTCAAATACAATACATATTGAGAATTCGACGCGCGATTCATAACTCGTAATCACGTGTAACCGACATTGACAACAAGGGAGGTGGCAGCACGGGAGAAAATAACAACAGAGCCAGAGCAAATCAAACTTGAATGTCAATAATATTATTATTCGAGCGTATCAATGAATCGTAAATACAAGTGACTATTGCACATCATTAATTCACTGCACTTGCCTAGTTACGGCTCAACAAAGCTATAAAAAAAAAAAAGAAAAGGAAAAGAAAGAAAAGAGAAGAGATCTGTGGGAAACGGTCTCGAATTGTAGTGGGGAAAAAAAAGGATGAAAACAGAGTCATGAGTGTCGTGTTTACTCAGGCAAAACGATCGATCCGAAAATAACTGAGAAGCAAATGATGCGAATCGAATGATGCGAAAAATGGTAGGAAAAATACGTTGAAACGTAGAAAGAAAAAACTAATATCGCACGCAAGACTTTTGGCCTCGCGGGGGCGGGTCAATCATTCTCTCTCTCTTTCTCTCTCTCTCTCTTTTCTATACATACACGTATGCATGCTCGAGTTTACTCACCATCCTGCGTGTTTTCAAGCATCTCCTGAAGGCGCGAGATATCAGGATAAACGATGCCGCAGGACTTGCCAAAGCACTCGAGAAACGAACAGATCACAGCGAAATTTGGGTCACTCGCGCAAGAGGCTTCGTTATCGGACGCCATTTTTCCGCCGCTTCCCTCTGAGCCCGTCGCCGCTAGGCGATATACTACGCTAGGCGGCCTAACAACTCGTATCGCATTTTCGTGAAATTGCTTCCAGTCGCCGTAGTCGAGCTACAAACTCGTACGTGAAAACGTTAATGCAGTCAGGAAACGATAGAATATGCCGGTCTTTTTCGAAGGTTCCGACGCCGCTTCCCGCTTCGTTGTTTTTCGCTATATACCTTGATGTTCTACCTGCCACTCACACACGCAACAAAACCACAAACGGACACGAACGAACACACGCGTCAAAGGAACCAGATCAGAAAGACAGCGGACAGAGAAACGTAGAACCGAGGAAATTGTACATACATGCGCGACGTTACGTTGCCTTCTTAAACTTCCACTTTGTTTTAGTATCGTTTAGACGATTCAAGAAAACGAATACTTTCTCGCGCGCGCCTCTACTCCCCTTAGTTCTCACTTCGCACTTTTCCACATATCACGGTGCTCAACTACAAACACACAGATGCACAGGCATAGAGATCGTTGCGCCTCTCGAGTATAATATACACAATGTAGTGTGTGCACGCGCGACGCGCGCGCGCGCACCTTTGGGCGCAATAATAACGATGCACGTAATCGTGGGGTATCGCATTCCCCGGATACGTTATTCGTACCTTGCCGTTCTATCGGTAAAAATCAACGTTACTACCGAATCACAGGATATATTAACAGCAAAGAAATAATAACCACTATAACGACCACACAATGAAAACGGTCCCCTTCCTTGCAGCTCGGCGCACTGGACATCGCCTTCCGAGTCCGGGCTACGAAACATTTGGGGGGTTCTCAACCTGTCACGACACGATACCCGATTACCTGCAAGCCTTTAAGCCGCGTTTGTGCAAACTATTCTTTCGGCAAATTTTTTTATTCCGAATCCGTAGCTGGACAATACTGCTTTCAAAATTATAAGTCAACGTTTACGAAACGTCGTAATTTTGAAAATATGTATTTGCAATGCGATAACGAACGATATTTGATTGTTGGTCGTTCCTATTAAAGGGGAAGGTGTTTCTTCCAACGCTGTGCGTTTAACACACCTTACATCGGTTTGTCGTAAGTGGCATCAGCTCGATATTTAACATTTCTTTCAAAACAGGAATGTTCGTATCGCTTCTTAATGAATCGAAATTCGGCAGTGATGCTGCAAAAAAAATTAATTCAATATCCGTAAATGGTTATATGAAATGTCAACGTAGGTGTTCAAAATACAGGGCTAAATGTACGTGAAAATTACACGAGGTAGCATACAATGGCACAAAAGAGCTTCTGACCTTCGTAAATTTTCATATTCGTCAAATTAAAATAATTAATTTACTACTACTGATTCATACTATTTGAAATAAAAGTATTTCTATTGTCATTTAAAAAAATAAACATCGAAATAAATGCAAATGAAATAACACGATATTTGCCAACTCGAAAAATCTGTTTTACGTTTACGTTACGTTCGAGATGGGTGGGCTTGAAGAGTGTACGTATGACACAACAAAGACGTACATTTTTAACAATTAAAATATATAAAATGTATAATAAAATATTTCAGAATACGAAACAAGTATATTCTACAAAAAGCTATTTTATTTCCTGTTTTCATGTTACATTTTAAATATCGTTTAATTTGCATTTATAATGACGTCTACTTTGTTAATACAATATTCTAAATGTTCCTATTCCAAATTTTATCCATCTTTGAATGTGCCGACTACAACGTTTTTCTGTTTCACAAAAATCCCGCCAAAGTACCGTTTCATTAATTAGTACCAATCAGCGATCTATAGGTGAAATTCGTTCGTTGTGTGTACCTTTGAATTTCGATTACATCGAAAGAGCGCGAAAAGTTTACGATAGAACGTCAAGCGCACGTTTCAAGGCTCCCCCGAACGACGCTCTTGTTCAATGACGTAGTTCTGCGTACATAGTTCTGTGCAACTTTGAATAGCAGTGGTAACGATTCGATCGATCAGGACCCAGTACAGAAACGAACATTTTGTTTGTTATCCTTACCGACCCTGCGGACACTCGCGATTTTTATGAATTACCAAACAAGCGCAAAGTAGCAAGCACACACGAGCATGTACCTACTTATGCTGCGTTTTGATTTTCACACTGTTTACGACAGCCTTTACATGGCCTTCTACTCAACGGCGCTATACATCAAACACAGTAAACACGCCGACATTTCACAGCGGCTGAGATTGTGCTACTGCTGCGATCGATCGCAACAGCCAGAAACACGAACAAACGTATATGTATATCTATAGTCATCGTAGAGACGAGACTCTTTGTCGACACCATTACGTTCGAAGTAAACGATAGAATCGTTAGTCGCGACCATTACTCATGTATCGTTTCTTCTTCTCACGATCAAGGAACGTTCCAAGCAATATCTTCCTCCCTTTCAACGGTAAGCGAAACGGAAATCCATCGAACAGATCGATAAGCAAAGTTTTTAAAATATGAAACTTTTCGTATAGACGGTGCTGCCACGAGTATGTTTCAATTCGATAGCGCGGGAGATATTCCCGTAAAGTTATCGATTTCACTTATGGTTTCTGAAATTACTGAAAAGAACTCTAATCTTTCACCTTTTTCTTCAACACTGATATCATGCGCGTTTCTTTATTGCAGTAGTGTCGCATTTACAAATGCTTGATTAAATCTCTAAACGATTGTCTGATTCATGGAAGTTATACATAAATAGTATTATGGAAATCATTCGCGTACATACAGGGGGCATTGAATCTGTCCGCAAGACGTAAAGTTTTTCGATTGGTGGAATGGCATTAGCAATTTCTAATAGGTAGAATATGGCGTTTTCAGTCTCATTCCACCAATCGCAAGCTTAACATTGTATATACGTCGTAATCTCGTGATGGAATTAATACTTCTCAATCTACAATTCGAAAATCTATAGCATCGTTTCAGAATACTCGGTCAAAGACACAGTACATATTTTAATAGTAATTTACAAAACCAATTTTCATAAGGTTAAATGATATAATAATACAAAGAATTCATGAAATATAAAATGTTTATTTCTGAATGAAAGTTTCCTAACTTTTCATCAACAACTTCTATTAGCGTATGTATAAATGTTTGTATTTACAACATATATTACTAGAAAAAGTCTTAGTATTATGTTATTGGTTGTATTTGATGATGTTTGATACTGTTCAATTCCCTCTCATACTTTATACACTGCATCATTTTTACCTGAGTAGACTACTTTCTTCCGTCTGCTATAAATAATTCTATTTGTCATGTGTCCTTAAACTAGAAGTTTCAATAATAGGGTATCAGTTGAATACATAGCACCAGAAAGGCTGTTAGATAAGAAGAAGACATTATTCTCATCTGTTCGTAGCACGTTTAAATTGTGTACGTGTTCATTGCAGCAGAACCGTTCGAGGAAATACTTGGAATGAAATCACCTTATTTGTACGAAAATACATATACAAAGTGACAACAGTATCCAAATAATGCATAAATCTACTTTTTAAGTAAGATTTATTTTACATCATTAATAAATCTATTCATTTGAGACTCATTTGCTTTCCACATTTTGTGTTTTCGATATAATGTTTATCAAAAGGTACTTGTTTTGTTGACTTGTTGGAAAAATTTGCATTCAATTAATTCAATATTTTACAATTTCGAATCTTAGTCTTCTTTATAAGCGATATACAGGATAAACTTTTTACCGAATATCATTAACTTTTTCCTCTACAAAATATAAACAGTTAATAAACATTCATTATTTTACGTTTCGTCCTTAAAATTTTAAAACGCTTATAGAAATTTTTTATTTGTTTAATTTTTTTTTTTTTTATACAATTCTAGTTATTTATGAAAATTGCATAATCATTTTTCCAATATTATGCAACCTTACGACGTATATAAAAATTTTCTATGTACAAAATAGATCATGTACAAGTTAAAAATACGTGTTTTTTTTTCTAGTATCTATTATTTACTTTTTTATATTGATTTTTGTTTCAATGTTGCGTGCAACATGTATTCGGTATGAAAATTTTATCAAGCGTGAAGAAATATTGTTCACGAATAGTATTGAAGCAAAACTATTTAACGTAATAAATATTAAACTAATGCAAAGAGATTATTTGAATTGTTCTGAAATTGATGGTACTATTTGAAACAGAAGTTTCGTTACAATTTATTGCAAGACATTATGTGGAAAGCAAATTAAACATTTCATAAGTCTGATTCAATTACATGTAACATATGTAGCTTTTACAAAGCATGCATATATTAAATATTTTACGATTATGCCCTATAAAATGAAAAATTAAATTTTCTGATGCGTATCGAGAGTATTTGTGAAATACAGTTGAAAATTATTGTAGATTCTTACAAGTACTCTTTACAAAAACAAGCAGTTAGTAATGGTAAGCTCGCGTAAGTACTATTACAATGCCTTGTAATGAAAAATAAACACATTAAGGTATAGGGATACAATTTCCAATTGAGCTTTATGAAGCTGAAAATTGTACACATAAAAAGCTTTTTGTAGAAAACGCAGGGCTACTTATAAAATTAAGCTTAATGCAAAATATATACTCATACAAAATCACTTGGATGCTCTTTGCGCTGTAATGTTTTTAAGTTGTTGTTTATATATTTCCGCTTCTTCTTCTTTCTTTTCAAGTCGCTTACGGTACTCAGCTGCTTGTCTTCGTGCTTCTGCCAATTGTCTATTCAGTATGGCAATGTCCATAACTGGTTCATTATTATCAGTATTATCATCTTCGGTTATTTCTTCTATATCATCATCTAATTGTAGAATTATTGGCTCTGCCATTTTGGTAGGAGAACTAATGATCTTGTTCTGTTAGTATCATATAACATCAATGCATTTAATTCGACGAGTTCTTATTAAGGTTATCGTATTAAATTAATTTTTAGCTTCGTACCTCTGGCGAAGAAATTAAGTTTTTAGATTGTGTAAGCGTTGATACGGGTGCAGTATTAGAAATCGAAGAAATGAATAACTTTCCAGCCTTATTGTCCACAGAAGATCTTTTTAATATATTTGGTCCTCTGGATGTTAGAGTAGGTGTATTATGACTTAAAATTTGATCTGCTCTAATCGCTATCACTTTCCTGGGGGTTCCTTTTTTTCCAGCAACTTGAAGTCGCTTCATTCCTATCGAAGAGTTTCTTGTTAAGTTTAGAGCAAGTTTACCAGCCTCTGCGGAAACGAATTAATATCAACAAAAACGAATGTAAATAATTAAATTTACATCGCTTTTCAGTATCTCTTACCTGTCAAAACGACTGTTCTTCCACTTTCCATGGCATTCTCTACAATGGAAGAATCATTATCTACAGGTATCATTGTGATTCCATGAGCTTCTAATAACCTAAACTGTTTGTTCGCTCCTCCAACAGTTGTAACATCTTTACGCTTTTTACTGTTAATATTATTTGCATTTGCAATTTCATCCATGTCTTCGACTTCTTTTTCATGGTCGGCATCTGTATTCGGTCCAACATGAATTTGTTGGAAGATCATTCGTGACTTCTTTCCCATTTGAACTAAATATTTAATAGAAATCAATAAAATCGATTTTTCCCTTATTTTTCAACACAGAAACTTTAAAATAATATTTTTAGAGATCAAATATCACACCTTGTGTTATTTTCCTTCTCGGCTGTGATTGTTGTTGCGACAATTCAAATTTCTGTTGTTCTTCTTCTCTTTCGGATTCTAATTGTATTAAATTATGTGTTGCTACTTCTAGTTCCGCTGAACTCACTTGACTTTGCTGATGAGCTCTAATGCCTATAATCTCCCTCTCTTGTTGCAATATATCTACCAGATCCAATCTGTCGTGTTCCAAAGCAAGACTAATCGGTGTTTTGTCAAATTTATTAGTAGCATTCGCGTCTGCTCCATGTTCCAATAAAACATGCATTACTTCTATGTGTTCTCGTTCCACTGCCCAGTGTAAAGGAGTCATTTTTAACTGGAAATGTTGCTTCCGTTATTTTATATTATTTAAAGTTGATTTATCTAATTATTATTTTAATTACCATGTCTCTACTATCAACATCTGCACCATAGTTAAGAAGTAATTGTGCCATCTGGTGATGGCCTTCGTACGCAGCCATGTGTAAAGGTGTTCTGTCAACTTTTGTCCTTGCATCTCTTGAAATTCCTGCTCTAAGCAAAACCTCTGCGGTATCTGTATGATTATTTTGTGCAGCGAAATGCAATGCACTGGTACCCAGCTAACAAGAAGTTTTTTAAATAATATTAGATTATCGTAAAATTATTTGATTTACAACAATAATATTTGTTTAAGTACATACCCAGTCTGTAGTGAACGGTGCACCTCTGCACATTAGATCACGGACGGTATCCGTGTCCCCATATTTTGCGCTAAAAAGTAGTTGTTTTCCTAGTTCTACTATCGATAAGGCATCTTGGGATCTCGCACGATGGGAAACATCGCAGGAAAGAATTTCAACCTAAGAAAGATTTATAGTTTAAAGAACGTGGATAAAGAATAACGAATAAGAAGGATCGTTAGAACAGAAGATATGTACATACAGGAATAAGGGTGTCCGAGTCCAGACCCTCAATATCATTAGTGCAAATACTTTCAGCTTGCATTTTTGTGTATTGAACTCAATCCTATTCTTTTTGATGCACTCTAAAATCAAATGATCCATAACAGTTGATATCATTTGGGCTTTTTTCAAAATAAATAGGGCTAGTTGTGACCATTCCATTTTTCACTTTGAGTAATTCGTCACTGTTCGACCTTGAGGTGCCGGAATCGAAAGTAGGTCGCAAATATTAAAATTTAATTTTAATTTGAGAGAATCGATGCAATCTACTCGGTTTTGCCTACTTGTTTGGAAACGTAGCGTGTATATTTTTCGAAATTTTCTTCAGTACAGGATGTTTTTATTTTGCCATTTCAGATTGTGAGGAACTTCCTGTTCCTGTTCATTAAACGGAAGTCCCATGCCATAGGCCCCGTGTTTTGTGCCCAAAAGCAATTCAAATCGACCAAAAATAGCATGGAAGGAGGATATACTTACGGCCAGTACATTATTCTTGCTTTTTAGCGATTTTTCCTTCTGTTTTCCGACACACACACTCCCTTTAAGGAATTGTTCCTACCCACAGCCTTCTCGATTTACCGTCTTGGTAAAGTTTCATGAAAATGGCGACACCTTGGCGCCATTCCTAATACAATTTTATTATCAAAGTAAATGGTCCCCGACATCAATACTAATGTGTTTTTGTGGCAAAATATTTTGTTTTTCATACAGAATAATTTATTTATTTACTGGATTTCGATCGGTTTGTTTCAAGTAATAATGGGTAATGGTTAAATATGTTGGACAACATGACGAATTACAGCGCCACATCGTGGAGTACGTAGGAAGCATGTTATATTAAATAGGTTAGGTATATGTATATTAAATTTAAGTAGGGTTAGGTTACATTAAAAAGTTTTCTTTGCAGAATTTATTTCGAAATAATTAAAAGAGCAATTCTAATGTCGGTAACATGTAGGGTATAACGAAGATAGTGACTGCCGAAATATGTAAAAATTCAATCTTGATAATTGGTACAAATGGAAAATATTTAATGAAAAGAATAACGTTAAGCTCTGTTGTTTTATGTAATGGTACAATGCATATTTGTTCAGCACACAGGTTTCCTCTACAAATACACAATACGAGTATCGTTTGCATAGAATTGGAAGGATTTTTATCTATTTTTTAATTGCTGGTAAGTAATCAGCAAAGATTTATCTTTTCAGCCTGATTTATAGTTGATAAAAAAAAGTAATAAAATATGAACGAATAAATTGTTAAAGTTGATTTGTTTCCGTTTCTCACGGTCAACGACATTGAATCGAAGCGACTTGATTCTTCGCGGCGAAGAATGTGGTGTACTATCAATCGATTGCCCGTAATACGCTTGATCGTTTAGTATATAATTAATTACTATTTATTATTTAGTATTTAATTAAGTGACGAGGAAAGTCTAAAATTACTATGTGCCTCGAACAAAGTGGTTTCTTAAAAAAAGTAGTTTAAATAAAGTCGAAAGGGAATGGTTAGTTATCGATAAAATGAGGATATGCAATCATTTTAAAAAATCTCTTAGCCTAGCATGCATAACAATTTTCGGTACGTATTTTTCTTCTTCTTTTCCTTTCGCGGATGTCCAGTTTTGTCCGATCTGCTCTCGGGATGCAATACGTGTATACCCGTAAGGAATACACCAGCGTGTGCTCCCTGCGAAGGATAACTAGTTTAGGTAGAGCGGTTATCGATTGCTGGTTACGGTCCGTTATCACAATTGATAATATCCGAGAATCGATCGATAGGTTCATATATTAACTAAATTATTTTGGAGAGGTTAGGTCCGTTATTTGTGCCGGTTATTACAAAAGTAGCCTCCAAGTCATATATTTCCCGTATTTTTTAGACATTTTTTGTTTGATCTAGTCACGAATTATGACGCAGTCTGCATTAAAGGTGGGTCAGGACAGCATCGTGTATGTGTACATACGTGGACTGCACTATTGGGTGCGTGCATCGCCACATCGCGTTAACCATTCCTTATATCGTAATCTAAGGAGGTGGCTGGTAGCACGGTCACGGAGGTGAGCTTGCATGCTTTCAAACAGAGTAGGTTAGAGGGTTCGTGAATTTCTCATGAAGGAAAATGCAAGGTTCGTCGTTGTCGGCTGCCGAAGCAAGAACTTTGCCTGCGCAAAAGTGGTGACGAGTGTCAAATGAGACTGGGAAAATTTTTTTTTTTTACCCACATTACTTCTTTATCGTGTATTTCGGGCGCCATATTATTTTTCTTCTTGCCGAGAAATGGAAGAATTTCGCAAATAGTATGTATTTGTATGTATGTAGATATGAGAAAAATAAAACGGTGCATATTAAATTTCCAATTAAATAATGTTAAATTAATGCAAAGGTGGCGATATTATGTTTGCATGTTGGCTGGCCATCAATTCAGAAACGGTCCTGCGTTGAACGATCTATCGTACAAGGTCATAGACAGGGGATACATATTACCAGAATGAAGCGATTGTAATGATACATTTTTTGCGTAGGTTTATAGGATGATACAACAAGTTGTACTCTTTGTTACCCTAATTATCGTACGATTTATAATATTCGATCTTGTTTTTTTTTTAGTGGTAACAACGTAGTAGGAGTTTCTCCGAAGAAAACCTTCACCCTGGCTTGAAACGCAAACTTGTACTCGGTTAATAATATACGTCACCTTTGAAGACAGTGCTGAAAGCCTTCAATCATTGTAATAGTAGATTGTAAGTAAGTATGTGGTGTACGTGGTAGACGGCGGGGCGGCAAGCCACGCTCACTATTACGGTGTTTCGCGCGGGGTTTCTGAACACTGCAGGATCCCAGGAAGTGCAGTACGGGAAATGAGGTTCTTGCGTGAACAATATACCCGGTTGGTGACCGTCCTTCTGTTCCGTATCACGCGACCAACGAGAGGAATCATGATTATTTCACGTGGATCGTCCAACGAAAATGGGTTTGGCGAGGAGGCGGGGTGGATCGGGTCGGGTCGGGTCGGGTCGGATCGGGTCGGGCTGGGCCGGGCCGGGCCGGGGCGGTCCTCTTCTTTGATTTTTTATCCATCGTAATCGATTGATCTTTAACCAAAGACCGAATACCAAAACGATTCGTAACCCAGTGTTGTACGTATCTACGTAGATTTCCTATATTTCCAGTTTATACGAATATCGTGCACGCAGATGCAGGGTGATAATTATCACACGTATAGATAAAAACACAAAACCTGCATCTTGCACGATGTTTTCACGATAAAATTTCAAGAAAATCTAAACATATTGTATAACTTTATTTAAGGAGAATCGATCGATAGACCTGCGATTTACAAATCATCCTACTTGGCCGCTGCAACTTGTGTAACATGTAAGTACTCGTAGTAGTCGAAGAGGTACATAAAGGTTATTTATATAGATAATTAAAAGTACTATGTAATTACGTCTACTATTTCACACGCGCACACATACATACATATATCGTGATACTAGATGGAATAAATATTGTTTCGTAAAGTGAGATTTGCGTATTTCTGCGCTTTAATATTAAGGGGTATCCGAAAGAAAGGAGAGTCATTTTTTTGTTTTAACCGATCGTTTCTTTCTTTTCTCTTCAGGTCGATACGGTCCCAACTTCCGGCGCACCATAACACCTCGCCACCAAGCTTGAATCCTGATTGCGCTTATTCGCGCGCGTTCCTTCTGCTCCTTTTCTTTCCTCAGCGCTTCCTTTTCCGCCAGGTACGTGTCTATGAATTTCTGGTTATGGCGATACTGCAACGACGTTACGGCTCTGCTTAAACGTTGCGCGGTAGCATCGATTCGATGAAGAGGGGGTTGGGGCGGGGGCCGGGGGTGGAACAAGAGACTTTGAAAAGAGCAAACAGATGGATAAGAAACGTTGACCCTTGTCTTTCGAGCGTAACCGTATTTTTACAGTTCCGACTTGTTCGTTCTAGACTCGTCCAGCGAAGAAGGAAAAAAAAAGAAAAGAATTATTTTTGAATAGCCAAGAACCGCTTTAAAAGATAAGATGGCACGTAATCGCGAGTGTTGTTGGCGCTTTAGGAATTTCACGTGATTTAGAATAGCCAGAAACAGGTTCTTGACACGAGTTATCGATTTTCCAGCAGAATTTCCGCATTGCACGTAGATGTTAAGCTCACAGGAGCAGGGGCTACTGAGCTTGATTTCCAATAGGCTTAACGCGACTGCGATGCAGTAAATCAACGGGTCATTAATGCGTTTTGTGACATTGGTTATGTTATATTGGAGTTAATTTATTTCCGATATGCACTCGCGACGGAAAAATATCCGTACAACTTGCGTTCACTGTTCCAACAGGTTGTGATTTTCATTCGGTTATTCGATGTTATGGTTGATGTTGTCGCTGTTCTTTTAATAAGTAACAAGACTCGGTGGGACTCGAGAATTTCAAAAAAATATAATTCTGCCGCGATTAACTCGATTAATAGAAATAATTACGGCGGGAATAAAAAGTTTGGTTGGGAAAAGTTGGTATGGTACCTCTTCTTTAAGTTCTTCCAATTCCTTTCGACGAGACTTGATCTCCCAGCGTAGCTGGCGAATCTCTTTCTCATACATTTCCTTCTCTCGAACGTATCGTTTTTCCAATTCTTTGGATTTCTCTTTGAAAGACTGTGGATTTTAAAACGATTTCATATATTAATTTACAACCTTTTAATCCTATGTACTTACCACCGTTTGTTGGATTAGAAATTTCGTGAGTTTGTTGTGAACGCGCTGGTCGTTTCTTTCGCGAACGCGGCAGTCGTTTAATATCCCTTGCAACTTTTCTATTTCCATGTCACCGCGCAACGCGTTCTGCTCGTATCTAGCTTTTTCCCAGGCGGTAACATATTTCAGCTCCACGTCCGCAATTAATTTCTCTTTCTCTACGTCTCTCTGTTGTTTTAAACGCGAAATTACCATTCCCCTGAATTAAAAACTATCAACGTGAACGTGTTTTAGCAGAATTATCCAATATTTCGTACGTGGGTCCATTTTCGGACACCTTGCCGATATTATCCCGGTCTAATATAACGTCTAAACATCGCGGTGATAATTCTATGGATTTATTCCATTTTCGGATTATCATCGCGGTGTTTTATAGAAATTTTTACTTTCCTCTACGATACCTGTTCCTCGGCGAGTTTCTTTACTATATCCTTTTGCTTCTCTTCATCGACGATCCTCTCGTCGTCGTCGTCGTCGTCGTCGTCGTCGTCGTCGTCGTCCGTTTTCTGCAACTCTGCCGCGACATTTGCCAACTTTTCGCTTTCTGCGATGATAAATCTTTCCTCTTTTTCGCGCGCGATCAACTTTTCGACCTCATTGGTCAACACTTTGAACGTTCCCCGTTTGCGTATCTCTTCTTTCAGCTCCTCTAGAATGTTTCTTATACACGAGCTGGGAAACATCGTTTTCGTGTCAGTTGTAAAGAAAAAATCAAATTTCCTAAACCAGCTAACGCGATAAGTTAAATGTCTGCTTTGAACCTGGTTTCGTAAAGTTTCGCGGACGCAGCAGCTTCTCCTTCTAGATCTTTGATTTTCGCGATCTCGTCGGGACTGAGTTGCTCACTCGATATTTCCAAGTCACTGCAACACGCGTACACGCAACGTTTTCATCTTTTATCGGGTGCCATTGCTACAATTGGTAACGTACTCGGTATTGGAATAAATGCAGTCAACATCGTGTTTCAGTGGTTCGTTCAGAGTGCTGTGGTAAATGATCAGCGCGTTTCTGTACTCGTCGAGAGCTGATAAAATTGATGCCCGTTCCGCGGGGGACAGCTGCGAACAACCATTTCTCGCGAATGTCGCCATTCCAGCGTTAAGGTTTTTCACCAGTTTCGCAGTTTTCCTTGCCGCTTTCGTTCCTGCTTTAACCTTTAAAATTCTATTAAATCGATCAATTGACAGTCTACGATAAATAACTAGAGTAGTTTCTCCAACTTAAACTTGAACGAGGGTTAGATAGGGCAGAGAATTTCATCTTTAGTATTCAGTGGGTAACGTTGAACGTATCCAACGGACAGGTACTCACGATGTCGGGTTCAGTTTAACCGACTGGTTAATTTATCACGTGCCTTCGCGTAAAAGTTTCCTCGATCACGGCTATTCCGCCTACTTTCTAATTTCGTCTATCGTGCAATTTTATTTTTTACCTCGTTCGTTGATACTATTTCTATACCATCGCGCCTTGATACTTTTACAATTCTTTGAAACAAGTTACGAACGCAAATCAAACTTCCGAACTTCCTTGTTAAAGTAATCGTGATACGGCGCGGTTCGACAGAACTAAATGCTGCTCGATGAAGGTGGCTCGCGGAGCTTTAAAACACGTGATACGGTTTGATCCATTGGCACACGTTACCCATGGAAACGAAAGTCGAGAGACGCCCAAGCATCCGTTTCTATTTACACCGGTTCACCAAACTATTTACGCGATGCCTATTAAAACTTTAATTATCTGAAAACTTTCGCCAGATTGTAATATACATATTGTATGGAATACAAGTTTTAAAACGGTTTCGTTCAAAGCCATGGTCTTTGTTGATTAATTTTCGCGACCGATTCGAGAAGAGGCTCTTTCTTATTGCCAATGATTCTCGCTGGTGCAAGTTTCAAGCATCTAAATCGAGCAATAATCGCGACAGACGGTGAATCGATTAACTGTCAAGTAGTCGACGATGTCGTGGAAATCTTCTTGTTTGTCCAAGTTTGCCTCCGAAGAATTCATTGGAAAGGATATCATCCTGTGGATACTGGACAACTTTTTTTCTTCATCCTATTCGCCAATTGTCTCTCCTCCGCGAGTCAGTAAACGAGGAAAGAAAGTCCCCCACAGAGCACGTTCCGTTCTGATTGAAAAACTTTTTCCCTACTCGACGGGTTTTAATCGAATCTGCATTATCTGAGAGCTTCGTCGCAGTCGATTCGAAATCAGTTCATTTTGAGAATCTTTCGTGTATCGTGGTATCGCTTAGGGAATGTGGAGGACAAAAGAGACTTAAAAACCTTGGTAATTTTCGTAAATGGAATAATTTTTAGATAACCAGTAGATAAGACGTATGCACAATAGACTGATGGATTCTGGCAACTTGAAATTATGTATATCTAATTTCCAGCCAAAGTTTGGTACAAAGATTGGTTTCATTTTGCTGTTTGATGAGTTTACTCAAAAAATGCGTAAAAAATGAATGTCTAGGGTAGAGAATAGCAGCCCGTTAACGCTACGCGACGCGATTGTAATTATCTGTTTGTTCAAACGGCTCAAGTAACGGGAATAAAGTGCCGCCTTAGGGGCAAAGTTTGACAAATGCAAAAGCCAAAGTGTGACGGCAGGTGAGAGAAACACGTCGGAAACATCGGTTGCGGGATCTAATGCGCTTCTGAAAAGTTTTGCTGTGCAGGGGAATTTCTAATCGCGGACTAGAACTTGAACAGAGGTGCGTAGCGAGTACGCGTACGCATGCGCAGACTCGAGGCGGCGTCGCGATTGCGCATCGTCGCCGCGAGTGTGGCGGGGCGCGAGGGCGGTGTCGGTGGTAGAAGCAGCGAAACGTTTCTTAGCCTTTGCAAAGTTCTCGTCGTTGTGGTCGTCGTCGTGGTCGTTGTCATCGTACGGTCGTCTGTCGTTTCGTTTGTGCACGCTGGTGGCGAACGCGGTGCAGTGAGTGGCGTTATTTCGGCGATCCTCGGTTCGATAACGCGTAAAGTTCCGCCGTGTCGTGTCGTGTCGTGTCGTGTCGCGTCGCGTCGCGTCGTATCGTATCGTATCGTATCGTCGTGTAGCCTTGTTACAGTCGCGTATGATACCACGATGTGTCGACCTGTCGAGAGGCATCCCCGATCACGGTGGAATCAAAGGGTATAACCTGTCATCGTCGCCGCCGCCATCGCCATCGCCATCGCCATCGCCATCGCCATCGTCATCGTCACCGTCACCGACGCTGCCGACGACTACGTCGTCAGTCTCGATCAGCTGTCTCGCGGGTAAGTAGCCAAACGAAAGTTTGTTTTCTCTCTGTTCGTATCGCGTATGTACGCGTGGTTTGCTCGAATAACCGCGTTTCTCTACCGTCGCGAATGCTGTCGAGTGTAACCTAGTTGCGAGCCTTTGTAACGCCCTCGTGTTTATGCCGCGAAAATGCGAAACGTTTGAAACGCCGGGAGAGAGGAGTGCCGCGAGAAGTACGCAACGTCCAAGTGCGTAACGTCGTCGTCCGTGGCTCTGCGATCGTTCCTTCCGTCACGTTCGTTTCTCGATCTCGACGAATACAGATGTATTCGCTCAATGCGAATCAGAGAGAGATTATCGATCTATCGACGTTTCAGAGGCTGCTGCTGCTGCTGCTGCTGCTGCTGCTGTTTTTGGAATCCCGCAGGGAATTCTATACCTATCAAGATTAACCTAGTTACGAATCTTTGAACCGCCCTTCCGTTTCGTCCGCGAGACTGAGAAAGTACGGTCGTGAGTACGGTCATTACGTTTACTTGTGAATCTGCTTAATTTACCAGTCGAGGATAACAATGTCGTGTGTTGGATTCCTCTGAACGCGTGCACGACACAAACAGACGAACCACGAAAATATCTTATTTTTAATTTGGAACGACAGTTTCGCGCGGTAAATACGGAGAACAAAGTGTTTTTCTTTTTGCACTGGATTTGCGGACCTGTAGTTGGACGTTTGGCGTCCTAAATTTTGTCAGGGCTAACCTATTTACTGGGTCTTTGGAACGCTTTCGTGTTTACACCGCGAAAAGAACGAACGTTCGAAAGTTGGCGAGAAAGCCAATGTATTTGGATTACACCCTCCTTCTCCTCCTCCTCCTCCTCCTTCTTCCCCTCCTCCTCCTCCTCCTCCTTCTTCTTCATCTCCTCCTCCGCCTCTCCATCCCCCATCCCCCGCGCATACGTCTCACCCTCTCCCACTGTTTATACTTGTCGGTTGCGCGACATCGATACTTGAACTTAATTAACGACATTAATTAGGTCGTTAATTGCCGAGTACTCTTCACAGAGAAACAAATAACGAAGCTCGATGTTTTTTAGAATCGTTACCCTTATTCTTTTTACGATCTTATTATTTCGTACATAATAATTAAGCAGATTGTAATTGAATATCACGAGTACCGTTTAACTAGCGATTAATCTATCGAAAATCATGTTTTATCGTCGAGCTGTTTGCGAGTGTTCGGCACATTTGTGAAATAATCGAGCCGTTGGAAATATCGAAGCATAGTATATGTATAGGGTGTTGTTTGCGTCGTAGCATAATCGATATGGATTCGACGATATGTTATTAAAAAAAAAAAAGCGATAGCATTTATTTAGGCGTCGTCCGTTAGATGTAGGGAAATAGCGACGCGAGTAGTATGGGATCGAATTGATCAGACAGTGGCGCGGCGCGACGCGTCGTTTCGGTTGTTCCGATCGCACGAGTTCTGCGCGGGAAATTTCGCTTTTTTTACCGCGTTTCTAATTAACGATGCCGCGACTCGTGGCTGAGTGGTTAGTTTACAGAGGCGTCAGGTACGGCCGTTGTCGCGTATTAAGTACACCATTATTAAACGTGTAGCACGGCCGACTTTAAAGGATTATTTTACGCGGTTCGAATTGCTTTTTTGCCCGGCACTGTTACTCCGTTAATCCGTTTAAGCCGTAAATACGACCCAAGTAGAAGAATTTAGGGAGCAAGTATTTCAAGTTTAAGGGCAGAATGCTCGATACGAACGAATCCTTTTCGCAAAGAAGAAAATATCGTGATTTTATTCCGAATTAGCGAGGTAGGAATGGAATTTAGTTCTTCGACGGGCATTTAGACTTTATCGACATTGAAGTTGCTCGATCGCGTCGAGCGAGAAGCCTGATATTTCGCGCTAACGATTAAATATTGTTCCATAAACGCGTGTCGGAAGCATCCGTCGTTCCCAGCACAAGTTCCTTAATTACCCAGTTTACACGGATAGTATACATAGCGGCGGTGTTGCGATTGGTTCGCTGGTCACGTGCTGCTAACCGTAATCCCGATTCCCTGGCCGACGCTCGTGATGATTGGTTAAACGTCGTTGCCGAATTTATTGCCGGAATTACTAGTGACTCGAGTGGCTCGGGCTATCCTTGTCGGTTAGTTGCATTTACAGTCGTCTCGTGCTAATGACTCGGTTTACCGTCTCGACCGATTTCATACTGTTGCCTTTCTCCAGGCAAGCCCATTTCCAAGTAGAAAGGAAAGCAGAATCGATCAGAAGAAGGAACGCGTTTTTCTCGATCCTTGTTCTTTGCCAGTTGAGAAATTTGATCGATAGGAGCAATGAATGACGGCACTTGATACGCACAATCAAAGACTCGGTCCAACCTGGGCTATTATTGTTTTGGTGCTCGTTACGACCGACCTAATCTAACCCAGTTCCTTTATCCGCCTCGTGCAGCTTTTCATTTCCAGCGACAACCTATTCACCGGAAACCTTTTAATCTCTCTTTCTTTCAGACACAATTTCGATTAGCTTGTTTGGCCCATCGTCGCGCTTCCGTCCCTTCAACGAAATTTTGCTTCTCCCAGTAGACTTTTATAAGAAGCTATGGTTATACGTGATTACCGAATCACTTTCTTTGCTAGCCCAGCATATCCGACAAAAGTCTCGAAATATCAAAGGATACGTCTAACGGAAGGGTGGGGCGTGACATTTTTGCAAAGTTACTCGGCCCAGAAGATGAAAGCCGAGCAGTCTGTGCCCGTTGGCAGCCCGATATTAGCTGAATTCCGAAATAAAAGGGTGAAGTAGTTTCCAGTGAAGCCGGTTGGTCGGTCGGTCGGTCGGTCGGTCAGTCGGTCGGCTCGTTTTACCCAGACGTCAGACTTTTAAACGCGATAATTAAAGTTTTTCTTTGAGCCCAGGGTGTCGCAGCGAATCCGACTGGTCCCCGGGTCGTCCGCATACATTTCCGTATTGCGCTAACAGCCTGCTGCTTAACTATTCCGAGAGCGTAGGGGCTCGAACGACGGGAGAATTCGGGGCTTGGCGCAAGCCTGAGAATTACATGCTTCTTTACCCCGGCCACCTCGAATCTTTCTTTTCATCGTAAACCAACAGATTAATTATTTTTTCGGTTGGATTTTTACCTCGAGTAGTTTCGAGCATTTATTTCGTCGAAAGTTTCCTTTCGCAAAGGACAGCACCAGCTACCACCTTTCGAATCTCAAAGAAAGAGTGGGAAGAATGTGTATCGTGGGTGCGTACGATGCGAGAAACTTGTAAAGAATGCTGGCCAATCGCGGGACACAAAGGGACGGTAAAAATATCGTCCATGTTTGTATCGTTTTGCTTAGCAAACAATATGCAATCTCGGATTCACGAGATTCCTCTACACTACAGATAAGGGACACACATTTTCGTAGGAAGCTTTCTCGTGCAATATTATATCCGATTCGTTGGATCTTTCGTTGAAAAGACATTGGTCTTAAACTGGCCTTACTTTTCTATTATTTTCTTCTTCGACAGCCAATATTTTCATTTTCAATAATTTTCTAGACAAGTGCTTCCACAGGAATCGGATGATTCTGATGTTCAGGAAAGGAAAATAGATTGTTCCTCGCTATTTTTCCATCATTTAGAACGCGATAAGAGTTGCAAGTCTCAAGTCCTCTTGATAAGAGACGACGACGACGACGACGACGACGACGACGACGACGACGAGGACGAGTCGCATGCCACGTGAACGTCGAAAAGATTTTTCACGTGTTGCTTATCTTCCTTCTTTTAAGGTCGCCACAATCGCTTATCGACCGGCGGGAATTACTGTCGTTACGGGCCACGCTCCTCTTATGCCATAATAATACCTATTGAAGCCCTTCCGATTTCATAGAAACTCGATCAACGTTTTAAAAGAGCCTCCTCGATATCGGTGTCTATGAAACTCTCTGCTCCTCTTTCGTTTAGAGATACGCGTATGTTACGCTACGGAGAAATCATTAATTTTCAAACTCGTGCTACCCCTTTTCGTTACCTATTGCTTGGTCCAGATTTCATTTTAAACCAGCATAGAATTTCCCGTTCGACTCGACTTCGACCAAACACAACACCGGTATCGTCGCAGAATTATTACGATCCTCTTTGCTTAATCTTCGTAACGCAATCGTGCTGGCCGTTTAAATGCTATTACACGTATAATCGAAATTAAAGTAACGATCACCTCGTTATCTTTTCTAGTTTTCGTGTTTCGTTAACGAGTTGCTCGATTAGACGAAACCGATACTAGGAATATTAGCGGTGGACCTTTTGCACGCACGAACCAACACTTTCGCCATCGAAATAGTAGTAATTAAAGTGGTGAATTTACGAGCAGAGTAATATTCCTTTATCACCGGCGTGTACAAATTCTCTTTTCAATTTCGCGTATCCCCCCCGTTAGTCAGGTCCGCTAATTAATCTGCGCGAAGCGCGTTCGACCAACCGAATTTATTTTACCTCTTGGTAAAATGTGTACAAAAGCGACTTGGATTACACAAACATCGAACGAGAGGGGAGCAAGTATGCGCGAGCACGACAAGATGAACGACGTGTTTTCACGATGGCCTGACAACCACTCGTAATTGCATAAAGCGACACAAGGCCGTAATAAAGTTGCTCTTTCCTCGCCGGACGACACTTACCCCTCCCTCTATCGTCTTTCATGCTCCTTTGCTTGCCAGGATTTTTTATTCCATTAACCTGTATCCCGTTTTTAATAATTTTAATCGCGTTTCCAAAGACACCCTCTCCTCTCTGCCTGCCTGCCTTTCCGTCACGAGCAACGTTTCTTTATAATTTCCATCAACTTTTGTGGAAAATTGAGCGTCGAATAGCCAACAGATTCGCAAAGAAACGGTTATTATCGTAAAACTGGTAGACGATCAATTTCGCTGCTGACTAAAATGAGAGCATCCTTCAGAGTCCCGATAACGACGAGGCGTTTCGAAATCGTTAGGATTACAGTGGCCCTGATCTTGATACCGATTGCTTCGCGAGAATATTATTCGTGCCGGAACACCAGCAATTCGAAAAGGATTTTCTTCTTTAGCGTAAAGATGAAATAAAAGAGGTCGGAGAAATTCGTGTCGGTATCTCTGTTGGAAGCTAAAGAAACAGGTCAGTTAGCTTGAAACACGCAAGTAACGCGTCTTGTTCGAAAAAAGGAACCTCTACACTTTTAAAGACGTTTTTTGCGCTGTCGGTCGCTCGTCGAATACGCCTTGAAGGCGACGCGGGTTAATTTCACCATTAGCCCGGATAATTTACTCTCGAGCAAACTCGAGCCAAGAAGAAATTTAGCAAGTCACAATGGATACCTCAAAGCGCACTCCCCTGAGAGGCATTACGGAGGCTCAAAGCTTTTGGGAGAAAGTCTGCCGTAACCCTCTTGTCTGCAGTTTATCTGCTACAAGTGTTCCGAATACACAGACCTCGCGTAAAAGCGCAGAGCCAACCGTGGCACGCGACTCTGAACGCTCCTACACGCTCTTTCGTTTCTCCGGAATCATCCACCGCACACACCATTTTACTCTATTCTCCTACATTTATCCCTAGTTTAATCCCCTGATCCAACACTTTTAACTTTTACTTGATAGTTAAACAGTTGTGACAATTTAATATATTAGCTCGAATTTTAAATTCATTATTAATTATTAAATTAATAATGCCGTCGACTTTGACGACCAGGGCTCCTTTTATCCCCGAGAAAGAATTTCTTTTCTCGAAAGTGCATAGGATTTCGGGGGTATATCTAGTCACCAAAAAACGTCCTTTTTCATTTTTAATAAACGTAACCGTGGCTAGTGTAGTAATACAATTTAAATATATAAAATTGCTATGGTTTCTAGTATCGACGTCACTGCTGACTGACTTGTTGCGAAGAATATAAGTCGGATAAGCAAAGTAGCAAAGTAGCGAATTGTCAGTTTTTTACGGTTGATTTTCAATTAAATAAAAGATACAATAGCCGGCAGACGGAAGTTAGAGGCTCGTGAGTGAAAAATTACATGCTGAAAAGGTTAAAGGGAGGAACTTGATTCTCTTTCTCGTTCTGTTTTATTCTTCTGTTTCTCGTTTCCTCTCGGTTTTCTCTTGTTTTGCTTCGTTTTTGCGAGACTTTTGTCTTGGTTTTCAAAGAACTGGTAAGTTTCAGAGAAGTGGACCGACAGGAATAATTGCGCTGGGACGGTTTCGCGTGTGGTTACATTGTGAATTCCGAGTTTGCGTGTCGAGCAACTGAAACTCGGGACGAGTTGCAACAGTTTAATTAAATAACGGTAGAAATTCTTTTTCGGTGGACTTGATTTTCCACGTCTTGGCGATATTTTCTAACAAACTACGCGGAAACAGTCCGGACGGACGAGATAAAGAAACTTGTGTCGTTGGAGACAACTCGTACTTATTTTTTTCATGTTTCACTGAATTCTAAACAGCCGTTTTCCATTTGTTGATTCATTTTTGCAAAGTACTTAATTCATTTTAAATATACTTTTGTTTTATTTGTTGTAAAATGTTGTAATACGAGGAATAGCGGTAGGAATAGCAGTAGTTTAATGGGCGAGAGTGTGTTGGAGCCAGGTGTTGTGCAAACGGATAGACATTTGCACCGGTGCGGCGCGGCGCGGCAATGCGGCACGAATTCAGTAGTTTTGACTGATTGTGGTCAGACGTCATTGGCAGCAGAGCAAACAGTAGTTTGGGGACAGTTGTGGTCCGACATTTGATTTTCGATTATACAAGTAGCATCATAATTTGATGCCGTTGTACGCCAGTGATGATTTTAATTAAATCAAAGTACAATATTCTTCGGTGGAAAAAGAATATGACTGTGTTGAGTAAAATTAACACAGGATCGTGTAGCATTATTTGTTGGCGCGTCTGCCTCAATTTCTGCCTACCGATATTAACGGGTTCAAAGTCGAAATGTCAAAAGTTGCCGTGAAATCGCAAGCTTCTGGGACTAGGTTCTCCTCGAATTTACCGAGATTGTCTAACGTTAATCGGAGAGGCAAGAGTAATGCGCGCCGGTTTCCGTTGCTATTAATTGCCAGGGAGAGTTGTGCGCGTTCCAACGGGATGGGTACGGGGTGGGGCGGGGGGGGGGGGGGGGGGAGGCGTTTTCCGTGTGAAAAGGCGTCCAAGACGCGGAGAGAGACGCCTCGTTGACTCGCGCGATGCGGTTAAAACCGAAAGGATACTTTGGATTTGGTTAATTACGAGACGACGCGCTGCAATTTTACTAGTCGAGCACAGCGGGTGCTTCACCTTCCAAACAACTCTGAACGGTTTGCTTTTGTCGTTTCGCGTAAAAAGCAACTTGTTTAGGAAACGATAGATAATCGTAGGCAATAAAAGTGGATTTTTACTCTGGTCGAGGTAGGTAGTATGTGTTCTTTCAAACAGTCTGTATAAATATTGATAAAAATGGACGTATTGTTGACGGTGCAACAATGTTGTTAAAATTCAATAGGTAAAAGTTTCAGGTGATAAATATTCCCGGTCGGGTTGAAATTTCTGTTGGAAGGGCGCGCGTAAAATTGATATTTAAATCGTTACCGAATTGAAAAACTTGGGCTCGCGTACTCAAGCAGTGGGGGGTGGGCGGGGGGAGGACCGTGTGTACAGATTTGGAGTGAAGTGCGAGGGGGGAGGACGACTGTCCGCATTGATTTAGCAAAGAAGAGAGGTAGGACTAATGGGAGCTGTTAACGGGCCGAGAGGCAAGCAGCCAGAGACAGAGGTTTTAGAATATATTTGCACGGCGAGTTTAGGCGCCGCGCGGCTCTGATCCTGTCGAGGAAGGCGGTTAATCTAAATAACACGTAGGAACCGACGCGACGGAAATCAGTTTCGTAGAAATAATGCAGCCAGAGAGCGAGAAAGAGGCTAGCTGGCTGGCTGGCTGGCTGGCTGGCTGGCTGGCTGGCTGGCTGGGTCTCTCTTGGCGGAAATTAAAATGCTCCCGTTTGCCTGCGAAAAGAACTAGATCCACAGCGAACATTAAATAGAACAGAGTAGAAAGCGCGGAGTCGGACACCTGGTAAAAAATTTTTCGCCGCGGTCCTTTCGGAAAACGCATTTCAGAAGGAGATGTAAAAGAAAATGAAAAATATCGATCCCGCGGCCGACTTGACGCGTTATACGCGACATAGCTTGGCACATTGTATTAGGACGAAAAGCTGCGCATGCATGTTCTTGAATAGAAAATCTGCTCGAGCATTGGGACTGCTTCGATTTTATTCCACTCCCTTTTCCCTCCCCTCTTCTCTGTCGCGCAATAAATATAAGCTCGTATCTTTGATCGGGGATAGAAGGTGTGTCGCGCGCGTACCAAATCACTTTCAGTTTACTAGTTTTCTGCCCTTTTTAACGTTTAAAACCCTCGTTTCCTCTTCTCGATTCCTACAGTTTACGTTGAAACGTGGTCGGTCGGTCGGTCGTCGGTCGTTGTTCCGTCGAGCAACGGTCCTCGAAGGTGTCCAGTGCTCGGGTGCTTTTATCTTGATTGATTTTCTTTCTTTTATCATTTAAAATGTATGCCGTGCGTCGAATCTGGAGCGCAAACCGATTTGCCACGTAATATTCTTGATGCATTTCAATTTTTATCCGAAACATTTTGCCGTTATTGCCAGTAAGTTGAACGATGCGTCGATTACAATGGGACCACCCACCGGGTCTGTATAGAACAGCGGCGCTCACGAAAAGACAATGGCGCAGCGATATTTTCTAGCCTGTCGACGGAAGAATTTGCACAGGGGCCGCGGATAAAAGCATAAGGGAAATGGAAATTTCCTCAAAATCTAAAACCGACGACGAGATTACTCTCTCGTTTTCGCGGAAAACGCACCTACATATGTTCCGCATCGTTCTTAATAAACCACTATATCACGAAGAACGCATTACACGCGGGGGTAATGGTCGGTGAAATTGCGATCGTAACACGGCACCAACATCATCGTTACGTGGTCTGTTCCTCGACAAAGCACACGGTGCAGCTTTGTCCATTTTTACGCAGCTGGCCTGCTTTATCTCCTCTATTGTATTTCTATCCTAAATTCAACGATAAATATTGGATAAAAATGAAAAACAAACGACGCGTACGATACGTCCATCCGTATATGTATAAAGTTTCATTAGAATGCAGTAAAATGTAACAGAGGTTTGAAACGAAAACAGAGTAGACTGAAATTAATAAGAAATGAAATTTGCTCGTGTTGAGCGAATATGCAAGTATACATATATATATATATATATATATATATATTTCCCTCTGTTACAGGTGACCGTCCAATAGCAGTGTTTCGCGTTTCGACTCAGCCTACGGTAAGAAAGTCAGTTTTTCGTTCTAGTCGTTTGTAAAATCCCTTTACGCACTCGTATACCTGACCAGGTAATAGCAGTAAAACCGACTTTATAGTCGTATCGATTCCGACTCGCTCCGACTGGCCAGCGTCTTTTCTCCCCGTACAATAAAATGTACAGAGTGATGAATAAAAGGGCCGCGAGAGTCTTGATTGTTTTCTTTTCCGATCGTCGATCGGCTGGCCGGCGTGGTATCTTTGAGGAATAATTGTTGCCGGGTTGAGGGTAACGGATCCGAATAAGGGAGAACCGCTCGATGGGAGAGAGGAAATTGATCGAAGAAATTGAAAAGCGCGGACGCCCCCATTAGGCCGAACGAGCATCGGCATGATTTCACGGACCGGCGGAATTATACTTTCAAAGGGGTTCGCGAGGCACGAGGGTAGCAAAACTTGATCAGAATTTGTTCGCGTACAGTGGTACATAGTCGCGTATTTGGATAAGAAAATTATAGAAATTTCCAAGCGAACAGGGTCAAATAACGGCCGACTGATAATAAACGACGAGCAAGTTATCGCGACGGCGAGCCACGTGGCTCAAGCTGCCAACAAAACGCAGCCGCGTGTTCGTAGTTTGCGCTCCAGACATCGATTGCCACTTTACGCGCAGAGTGGACAGTGTCGATGACACTTGCTCGTTCCGTAAATAAGAGACACGACGGGTGTCATCGACCGGCAGACACGTCCTGTCCTTCCTGATCCTTGGAGCAACGCGAGTTCTAGAAACCAAATGACATTGTATTCTGTCCGAACCACCAGTTCTCCAACTACATTTCAAATCTGACGTTTCTCCGCGAGCCAGAGACGCGGGCAAATTTTTTCATTCGCAAACAAACTCGTCTCTCGCTTCTGTTCTCGGAGCCTCGCGGGGGCTGTTTTGCATCAGAATGTTCTTCTTCTCCCGCGAAAATCAACGTTACAAACTATTAAGTAGCAAGTTCCGTAACAGGATCCCGCGCTGGCGAACTTGCATCGTTTCGACTTTAACGTCACTTTAAATGCCGAGGAGCGACGTTGAAGAGCGTTCCGAGTATGGCCACGCGTCCGTCCGCCCGGCTTCACGATGCATTAATTCAAAGTAGCGGCTTGGTGAATTGTGGCCCGCGGGGCCGTTTTTATCGAAACATTCCAACTAAACGCGTACGTTTACCGTAAAACAAAAATATCAAAACGATCGGTTCGTTCGATAGGTTCCTTATTATCGATTAGTTCGATTTGTCCCAGGTTCGATTTAGACGTAAGAGGGGTTCGTTTGATCTCGTTGCCTCGATAGAGAATGATTATTCCGAACAAGATCGCCGCGCCCGGTGACGACGCTTAACGACGATAACGATCCCCCATCTCCCCGATAAACGATCATTCTCCCCTGGAAATAATTATCCGCGGGTCGTGTCGAAATGGACAAATAGTTGGTCGAGTATGGAAACCCTCGAGCGGTCCGCAGAGTCGCGCATTTAATTGGAGCACATATTAATTACGCAATTTCCGCGCTCGATTCTATTATTCGGTGCAACATCCTGGGAACAGCTATCTTCGCCTGTTTCCATTTCCTTCCAAGCTGCTCCGTTCTCGTCAGCTTTCGATTTTTTCACTCGGTTTCAACATACGCTCGATCGATTCCCGATCGTTGCTCCTCTCGCTGGCTGCCCCTCGCCTACGATACTGCACACTCGAATCCTCTAAAATCCATTTATCGTAGATGTTGAAAAAGAGGAAAGAAAATGGAAGAAGGGGGCGGGTAGTTATCATCCAACAATCCGGATGAAAGTTGTAGATTGTTGGGTTGCTCGGGCAGGTAGTAGTAGGGCTCAGGAATCGACGTTCCGCAAAATAGTTCCACAAGGTGGCCCCCCGCACAACGACCTATTTTCCGTATTTTCACTCTCGTCCTCGTCCCGCGCGTAGCTTTTGTTGCTCCCTTTTCATCGCCCCAACCATGGATTCAGGTCAGCTCCGGTCGTTGCTTTTACAGCGACGACCCTCCGCCCTCATCGGGCCACCCACACGTACACGCGTGCACACGTACACGGAAACACACGACCGTTCGCAGCACCCACAGCCCATCAGGCCACGCTGCTCGAACCGAGACGACGTGTACCAGTCCACGAAAATTGCCGGAAACGCGCTACTTCGCCGGGAATAATTGCCATCGAGTCTGGCCATCGATGAGAGATCGATTTCTCGTTTATGCGAAACGCTATCTGCAAACTGCTGTCCGATGCTTGGCGAGAAAAAAAGGACAAGATCGTTCGAGCCATCGACAAACGCCTCGCCTCGCCTCGCCTCGCCTCGCCTCGCCTCGCCTCGCCTCGCCTCTACGTTTCGCGATACTACCTTCTACACCCTGTTACCTGATTACGGCTCGATTACAATCATTTTTCATCGATAGACGTATCTCCGAATTCCTACTCATTCTCGAGACAACGATTCAACGAGTGGATAAATTTGTTATAATGACCAAGATAAAGACGAGCCCGATTGTTTCGCGAAATCCAACGGGGTCTGTTGGCAATTTTTATTCCTTTTTTAAATTGGTCCGACCGGAACGAGGAGGCGGTCGGTGGACGCGTTTCCAGCAGTGTTTTCGCACCGGTCGGAAACCTTTGTTCCTTTGAAAGGACAGCGAGCGCGGAATATTTCGTCTTGGGCGTTAAACAGTGTCGCTCGGGTCTCGGTTTCGTTACGGATTCCCCCGGGCAAAACCACCTAATGACCAGACGTCGTTACACGCGTTACAACAGTCAACGTTAACGCCTATGGAGGCAATTTGCTTTAAAGGGAAAACGAGTTTACCTGTTCGCGAGCCAGTCGACAATTTAGCCCCCGCTGTTTTTCCTGGCCAGTCCTTTGTCCAGACGGAAATTCGATTTTTTGTTTCTCTCGGCGAAACTTTGCGTCGAAATATTATCTCGATATTTAAATTTTACGGTACAGAATTACTTGTAACTAAACGCACTTTTCAAAAGTCCTTGTTTATTTTTTATCGCTATACGGTCCAAGGGGAGGATTTATCGTAAATTGTAGGTAGGAAGTGGAGGTATCGCGGGCTACCAGTTGAGCTGTCAGACGCTCGAAAATTTCGCAGATTATCAAACACCTTTTCGCGGAAATGCCATGTCCGGGGGCCGGATTTTATCGCCGAAACGACGAAACTTGTCTCTTTCGAAATGTTACTTTCCTATGGAAATTCCGCAAGTTATCTTTTCGCGGAACCGGTGAAACTTATCTTCCGGCGAACGCCATTCTCTCGCGAAGATTGTAAAAGTTATCTTTCGAGAAGGATCAAAAGTTGTCTTTGCCCGGAACGTTGTCCGAGTTATGTTTCGCCAAAGGATCGTTCGGGTTTATCTTTGCCCGACGAAGAACGGCCTGTGGAGTTTATCGACGAATAATTGGAAAACAGAAAAACGCGGAGGAAAGGAACGGTCGTTTTCACGCGCAAAATAACAGAGGACGCGACGCGACGCGACGCGACGCGACGCGCTCGGAATTCTCCTCGAAACGAAATAATTGTTGTTACGGGTCGATAACTCGCCGTTACCTCGGTAATTTTAGCGTCGTCGAATGGAGGGACAACAAAGTCTTGTTCCAATTTCGATTGGGTGTTTCCTCGAAGGGGAGGGCAGGACGAAAACGGAGTATCGCGAGGAACCCAGAGACCCGACCCGGACGGGGACAAGGAAACAACTCGAGCGCGAATATTCACAGCAGATGGAAAAGTTTTCTTCCTCTTGGCGGCAGTCTCGCCCTTAAAACGCCGCTGCTTTATGAGAATCCTGTCAAGTTTAGTCGAGCGAAACACCCCGGCACGGAACTTTGGCGTCCTGCGACTCGTCCTCCATCTTTTTCGATGCCTCTTTTTAGTAACGATCGCGACCCAGTCGTACGATATTCTCGTTATTAACGCTAAACCTACCGACGCTTGTATACCCATTCCTACTGTACACTGTTGTAACCGAACAGTGGAAGCTGTGGATGATCGTCTCGTTTGATCTTTGCTACATACACATTTCGGTAGGAAAAGTTTGATAAATTGATAGACGGGGAGTTAACCGGAGATTCGTGGGAATATCCTGAACCGTTTGGTGTCTCTTAGGGATTCTCTAACGCGAGATCGCTTCTTCTTGAGGAAAGAATTAATCGGTTGTCAGGCGCAGCGTTCTCGTATCGCCCCGGGGATCCGATTTTTTCCGGACCCGGCCAGTGTGTTTTATCCGGAAAATTCGCGGCTCGGTAGCAAGTACGCGGGACAAAGGGTGTCGGATAAAGTTCCGTCGGGCCGGCGAATCCAAGTCCGGTGAACGGTAATAATTTCCTGTAGATTCCATCGCGTGCGCTAACGCGCGAATATAACTTATGAATCGTAACGCCGAGCGATCGATATTGAATTGCCGGCGAAATTTAGTCGAAAACGCGCCCGCGCGCGCATGCCCCTTTTCCGTGGATCATGCTCGGTGGAGTCGGGAGCGTAGACACGCTACGCTTTCAGTGGAAAAGAAAAAAAGAGTACCTACGTATGTATATCTGGTTGGAATGAAATATGAAATTTCATCAAGTAGGTCGTTATTTTTTTACGATTATCTCTGTTTTCGGTGGTCTGGTGGGTTACTTGGTCGTCCGTAAGTAGAGAAACTGGTGTCCTGATACGGACGACGAGGTTAGAGGAGCGATACGGCTAGCGGGATTATCAGGGCGAACCGATGATAACCGGGGTCAGACTAGTTTCCCTAATGATCCATCTATCACCTAGACTACCTGCGGAGTAGCCGAAAGTTGGTCTCGTTATCTGCGAAACAGGCAAAGTTGCAGCATCGTTGATGAGCGGGCGGCTACGCGGAACAGATAAAGGGAACTTAACTTGGCCTCTTCGGGGCTAGTCTCTATGCTCGTCTCGCGTAAAACGCTTCGAGCACTGCTAGTCGACTAAAATACGCCACGAATCTTAAAACTGTCGGCTACTTT